GTATGTATGTATGTATGTATGTATGTATGTATGTATGTATGTATGTAGACTGCAGCCCTCCTGTGACATTACCAAGCAAAGGTGGTATTGAAAACGAATGGATGGATTTTTCTAATGAACGTAAAAAAAAGCCATATATGTAAACATGTATATAGAACTGCTGCTTTCTTTTCTGGGTTATAAAATGTACTGAGGCAGGAAACAGCTATGTGATGAGATAAATCATCATTTTAATTTGTTTTTGAAAAAAAATTGATCCTGCATTCTCTAGAGCAAAGAGCAGAGGGACCACTCAGCTTCTTAACAGTGCTTTGTTAAAAGCCTGTATTTCTGAGGACTTGAGGGAGTGTAAGAGCCTGAGACTTATTATTTGTATACCTAGAAATACCATTATTGCTGAAGGTTCATAAAGGTTTTAGAACAAAAATAGGTGATGTCATTTTCAGCAATGACCTCACATATTTCAGAAAGACATTACTAACTTGCACACTTGATCTACCACAACAGCACTGCTTCATGAGAAAATAGTCAAGGTGATGGACTGAGCTTCCTGCAGTCCAGACTTTTAACCCTCCCCAAAGCTTTGGTACCTCATGAAATCCAGTCTTTATAAGTTTGAGGTGGGATGAAACAAAACAAATCTTTGATCTCCGTGGGATCGTACCAGCTTGGATATGTTTGATAGTGTTTTCATATCATCAGTCTCCATGTTTTCACAAGCAATGAAAAAAAATGATAACAAGCAGATGATTAATAAGATATGAAGAGTTCTAATGAATAACCAATTTATAATATTTAATACATACAGTTATTTTCAACTTCCATTTACTCAATTAATAAGGAGCAGGGCTTAAAGCTAAGAAATGTACACTGTCTTGCTGTGAGGACAATAAGAATATTAGATTTGAGTCAGAGAAATACACAGCTTTATTAAATCTGTGTGTGAGACTTAGATCATTTGGAGGGCAGATTACAGACAGAATTCTATTCAATTGCCATAACTGTCTGTTACGAAATAAGAGGCTGAAATGGTTGCTTTTTACTAAAAAGCAGAGAACAATATTTATCTGTTGTTTGTTCTTTCTTTCTCATTTTAGCTCAGTGGCAATAGTTGACATGTTACCTATTGATTCACCATTAGTAGTGACAGTTATTGCTCCTAAATGGAGAAAGCAACAGCTACAGCTGGTATGGTGTCAAGGCTTTGTGAACAGCTGTAAAATGAGGCAGTTCAGGAAGATGTTTCTAATTTCAAAACAGTGATGTGGCAAAAGCACCCAAAATAAGTGTGATAGCAGAAAAAGTCTGGTTGTGAATCCATAAATATGCCCTGCTGCATCTTGAGTGTAAACACATGACGTGCAACACTCACATACACTCTCTGCATTCACAAATGCATCCTTGCACAGGAAAAGTAGACCATCTGATACGAAGAACATCCTAAATTTTATAACAGCACGCAGGCACAATTGTCCTGTTGATGCTGACACCATGTGGTGGATATTGGTACCTGAAGGCTTTCACTGATTATCGATTTCACATGGGTTTTTTATCTCTCATATTTGTGCAAGTTTTATAAAAGGATCCATATTTCTATATCCAGGTAAGACAGGATTCTACTCTTTGCAAAAATTGTAAGAGTCACGAACAACTTTGTAACTCTGTTAAACAAATTATACAAATTAAATGTAAGATTGACTTGTTTTGGCTTATTGTGAAGTATGAAATTGTAACAATACAAGAAACAATTTATTTCTTCTTTCAGTGAGACCACCACACCACAACACCACTGGACATATCAAAATCCAAATTACACTGCATGATAACTCTTTAAAGTTTTGTTCTTGAACCTGGAAACAGCCTTTATCAGAGAAAACCGAGCATCAAGGCTCAATTTTCAAATTCCCATGGGTCTTTCAGTCATGTCAAAGACTGAATGTGGAGCCTAAAATTCTAAATTAACCCTGACCTAGAAAAGCCACAGAAAAAAGGAACCGTCAGCATCTGCACATAACAGACAGCCTCCCTCTGCTGATAAAAATAGAACACGAAACCATAACTGAAAGCATGTGACACTGTGGGCAGCAATGCTTATGTATATTTCTAATAGAATTCACATGTGCAATATGATCGTTTCAGAAAATGCATCCGGTATCATTAAAACTCTGCTGCGACAGATTTTCTTTGACAAGTGAGGCCACCTGTGAGAAATTCAGCCATGTCACACGGTGCGTCGTCGTATCTGGGGACCTGCGCGCACCTCTTCCTGCCTCTGCGCAGACTTCCCTTCAGCAGAATATAGAAAGGGGATCGCAGGTTTTTTTTTCAAATCCAAACGTCAGTCTGTTCTTTAAAAGCGTGTCGTCACCGGGGTGGCTGTTGCGGAAGTGGCCTGCGCTGTTACGGAGGATGAAACCTGCTTGGTGAGAGAACACTAGAGAGGGGAAAGGTGTGCGCTCTAGACCTGCAGACCCATCCGGGTGGATATGGAGTGTTCCGGTACCTGATCGTCTGAGATCCCTTGCTTCGTCTTCTTATCTGTGTCTTTAATCCCCTTCAAATTGTTGGTTGCTGGTCAGAGAAGAGCGTTTTTTGGAGCTATGGGTGCACTACAGTCCCTATCCGGTCACCCAGAATATATTGATCTGGCGGAAAAGACGGGCTGTGAGTTATCATCATGATTATTGTTCTACATTTAAAGCGCTTCTTCTCAGTTAGCCAAGAAGGAAGTGAATAAAAATAGAGCATTACAGCGGAAACGGGCCTCAGTGTCTTATCAAATTCATATCTAAATAGGGAAATCCGACCGTGTCAACATAAAGAAGATAATTCCTGTTTGCTTTAAGACGTTGCCTGGCTCGTTGCGTCTGTTCAGTAACTTGGTCTGTTGGCTGAATAATTGAGATGATAGTTAACGGAAGTGTAACTCTATTCAGTCAAAGCACGACGATGCCGGTGATAAAATATGTTTATATTTCACATTTTGTAATTGATTAGTCCCTGTTAGTTACATTATCCACACTTTGAGACTCTGTTGAGGGAGAGTGAGTGTGGTAAGTACACAAAAGACAGACCAAAATGTTTTACATAAGTATGAATATTCAAATGTCTGCCTTGAAAGCCTCCAGTAATGAATGAAAACTTGCAGGTTAGCACCTTTTCCAGACTGTAATGGGATATACCTTATGTTTGTTTTCAGTTTCATTCGAACAGATCGGAGTCCTTCATAAAAGATTCAAGCAGCTGAGCCACAATGAAGGCACTCTACGGTAAGATGAAGGGGTTTATTTTTAAGAAATCAAGGTTAAAAATGATTGTTCCACATGGTGACTCCATTCAGTTAAACTGACTTTTCAGTAAAGTTGAACTTGACAATCGTCCAGCTTTCTCTGGAGCTGGAAACCTGCTCAACAAGGTTCATGTCGGCTCATATTACAATGTGGCAGCCTTCCATGGAACTCCTTAACATTTATTTTTACACGCTCAGGAGAGCTCACTTCAATGAAATCCCAGACCTGGCGTGCAATCCCATCCGTGCACAGATCGTGGAGGCTTTCTTTGACAAAAGGTAAAGTGAAGAATTGTTTGTTTTGAATCTGCAACGTGCAAGGACAACACGTAAACTCCACACAGAAAGTTCAACCATGACTGTGCAGACCACAACATTATCACAGCCTAAATACATTTATTGTGCAAAAAGAGAAAATAAACACATTCTAGGAAAACCCACAAATCCACTGACTGTTCTCTAGACCTTCAGCCATTTTAGTTTGCAGCAATGAAATCGTAAATTCAGTTGGGAAATCATGTTCACTGCATCCTCCATGGTTCAGAAGACAGACTCTATGATGGAAAGGTGCTGCATGAGTGCACATGGAATTGGTTACCGGTACCTGAGGAGTCCCCCCCCTGCATTTCTTATGTGGGTTTCACTCAGAGACAACAACTTAAAAGGACACCTGACTATACTGATTCTAGTGGGAAATGGGGAAATGTAAATGTGTGACCAGACAAATATTTATTTCTACCCCAAGGCGTTTGAGGGGAGTACTGAACACAAATTATTCAAGCCACATATTTTACAAACATTCTGAACTCATAGCAAGAATCAGGACAAAGTTATAGTATGTCTGTGTTTTGGTAAAATGTATTTTAGAGATCTTTCTAATCAACTCTCAACACTATATGTTGTTAAAAGAAAAACTCATCCAAGACGAGAATAAGCATTTTGATCGTGCTGATGGTGTTTAACACAGTGCAAAAGCATATAAAACAGGATGAAATAAAATTCCAATTCAGACCATTGATATTTTTTCCTTTTTCTTTTCTTTCTTTTCTTAATCTGGTTTAGGCTAAATAAAAGAATTTGATTTGATTTGTAGTTACAGTTGTTTGGGTTCTGTTCAGCCTGCTGTTATTTTTCTCCTCTGTCCATTCCTTCAGAAACTTTCACCAGAATGATGACGGAACAATTGATGAGATCAACTTTGAGGAATTCCTGGTGGTCATGTCTCATTTCAGACCTCCTGCCCTCCATTTGACCGAAGAGCAACGCGGAAATGTCAGAAAAGAGAAACTGAGATGTGCGTAAATCACATGAGACTGTTTGACATTGTTCGTGGCTTTTGCACAGCGACTAAATGCTCTCTTTCTCTTCAGTTTTATTCAACATGCATGACACTGACAATGATGGGACAATCACCCTTGAGGAGTACAGACACGTAAGCATCAGCATGCTTTCGCCTGGCAGAAAGAATGTTCCACTCATGGTGATAAAACTGATGTCCAGACAGTATCTATTTGCAGTTGTCAGGAGTTGCCACACTCTCACGTGCTATGAGTGGAACAAGTTTTCCGTGTCTCTTTCTGTTAGAATAATTTGATCATTTTGATCCTGAATAAAGGTGCAGCTTCTGTGTGGTTGTCAGAAATCAGAGCTGTCAATACTCTTTTTTTTCCTGTTAGAGGAACATAAGTCAGACAAATATTCATAGAATCTTACATGTAGCCTACACGTGTTTGAGCTACAGGGCCATTGATAGTCTCACAAATAGTCTATTTGTGGAATTGTGTAATTTGGAAAATATGGAGGAATCTCATTCCTCAAGCATTTGGAGCTGATGTTCACGTGTGTCCAGGTGGTGGAGGAGCTGTTATCTCGCAGTGGATCACTGGAGAAGGAGACAGCCAAAAGCATTGCTGATGCAGCCATGTTGGAGGTTGCCAGTATTTCAATGGGTCACATGGTACGTAAACTGTAGGATCTCACACGAACAATGAGGTTTGATTCAATCATTGTCTGAACTAATGTGGGAACCTTACTTTAAAATTCACAGGAACCTGATGAATTCTATGAAGGAATTACATTTGAGCATTTTCTGAAGGTTGGTAGAGAGCATATATGTTATCATGAATATGGTATGTTTGTCAAAGCAGATCAATAATTAGCGAGACAGTTGAAACTATATATATTACTATAGGTATAATCTGTGTTGTTGCTTTTCATCAACCCTAATAAAGTGGTTTGATTTGATACTGGCTTCTTTTTTTTTAAACAGCTGCTGGATGGTTTTGAAATTGAATCAAAAATGAGTGTTCGCTTCTTGAACATGGATGCAACTACCCTGTGTAAGTGAGGAAGATGCAATGTTTATTCATTTTTTTCTGTTTGATGCTTGCACTGAATGATTGTATTAGCAATCATTTGCAAAACTATGCAAATCCAAAGTCACTAAACCTGCTCTGGGTGCATTAGAGGTAGTTTACTTTTATTATAAGCAATAATTTACCACTGTGGTATGAATGTCTGAATGAAAACTGTTATAGTCAAATATCTATGACTAGATTAAATAATGTAACTCGGTGCATGAATATAGAAATGCTTTAATAACCTCAAAGAATGCTATTTTTATAAATTATATTAATCAGGAATGTGAAAGCCTGCCTTGTAACTAAATGTTTATCACAAAATCATTTGAAATGCTTTATTTTAAGGTCACAGATAACACTTCATGCGTGCTCCGCACAATATGTTTACACAATAAATAGCTGTATAAAAGAGCTCTGACTTCAGCACTGTCCATCTGCATTTATTTAGATAATTTTCTTTTTTTTACTTGGTTTTAGTTATAAGTTTTGCATCACAATTAGTAGGAAGGGAAAATGGTTTTCTATTCACACCAGAAGCTAGATGTAGAATAGATTACATCAGGGTTTCTCAGAAAAGTCATTGTACTCTAAGAATAAGTGCTTTTCAAATATGTCTCATGTTGTTAAAAGTTTCTCGTCACTTTGACAGGCTGTGTATGTCCACATTGGTTGAATGTGAAAGAGTGTCAGTTAGAGGAAAGGAAATACAGCATTGCATCCAGTTTTATTACGTCCTACATACCACATGATAAAGTTTTGAACAAGTGTGTACAGGAGTAATGTTTGTCTGAATTTTAAGAATGCTCAAAATTCACAGGAAAAAGAAATGAAAGGTTATGTAACACAGTGACTGTAAAATGGGCACGTTTTGTCATTCTCTTTCTCTCTGCAGTCATAATCAATATAAACGCCAAAATAAAAACAGAATGCTTGAAATTCCTGAAGATGAGTCTTACAAACATGAGTCATTGTTTGTTGCTCAGATTGCAGTCATGTTTTTGCCATATATTCAACCCATGGTGTGTACTGCCCCCCACAGGTGAAAACACATTTAATAGACATGTGGAATGTGTTGGTGTTGATAGTCTGCCATCCAGTTCACTGTAATGCTAAAGTTTAAGAGCAACTAGACCAAACGTTTTGTTGGTTCTTGAAGACATTTACCCCCTTCACATGAAATAACTATTTAGTTCTACACTAATTGTTTAGAAGTTTTGTCTTTTAAGCAGATGACGCCATTCCCTCTTACCTTGTTTTCATGTGGGTCAGTGGAACATGTGGTCAGTGCCCCACCTGACCAATGCGTGGGTCTTTCTCTCCTATGAGTTTTTTTTTTACTAGCCTCAACAACCCTGTTTCAATCACAATACTGATTGTGTGATTGATTGTGAAACTGCATGGGGCGAAGTGTAAAAATTGCATTGTAAGTTCCGAGAAGGTGATACCTGAAACATCCTACTTTGTTCTAAACTGATTTAAATATGAGGCCATATTGTACATATACATTATATGCAGCACATGAATGTGACAGTATGATGGGTCACAATTGATCTATTGAATAGTATTCAGATCTGTCATTTAATCTAGACGTATTGTGTGCGAAAGACAATTTTCTTTTGATCAGTAGTAATAAAGTACTTCTGACTCAGAAAAGCACATGCTGGATTTAGAGATGTACACTTAAATATTGAGTGTGCAACAATATTTCCAAAGCTGTCTGCATCTTTACCCTCATCTGATAAGGAGTCTGATCAGTAGTAGGCCTCCTCCCACTGCATTTAAGTTTGAACTTCACAAGTTTACAATAGTTTGACACCCCTAACATGCATGAAAAAATATTTCTGAGCAGAAGCTGACACATTTCTCAGCATATTATAAATAATGTTAGAGAATTTGCGGTAACTGCAAACCACCCATTGGGGTTTCTATGTCCTCTTTGTTGGTTTTTGAGTGCACAGAGAGGTTACTTTTCTTGTCAGTCAGTGTTTCACTCTAAGTATAGAATCCTCTTGGATGGACTTCATCCATTGTGAGATCCAGTACATTTTCAAGAGGTTAATGAACGAATGAAAAATGCAGACTGAGTTGCTGTTGCCCTAAGGTACCCTCAGTGTGTGTGCTTTAAATAAGGCAGAGTTATAAGAGGGAACTTGATTCATGACCCAGAGTGAATCCCCCATATGCCTCCAGTTTCCTGAAAGCTTGTGACTCGAGGAAGGTTTGGCTAAGAATTACCTAATACCAGTAAAAATATTTGACATCAATACATATGCAGATGAAAATTTTGCAGTATTTGACTTGTTGTTCTACCTCCCTGATCCTGCCTTTTACATACCTGAATGTCTACATATAAATATGTACACATATATAAGGATTCAAGATTGACAGGCTGTTAACACACACAGTTATCTGATCCACACACATCCACACCTTGTGACTGACCAGACAGCCCGCCAGTTTCATGAAATCTTTCCTATCTGATGCAGCCTTGTGTTGAACACATGCGTCACTCAGAGTTGATATCACACAGTCAGCGTCTCAGCAGCTTCCTGATTTTCTTTTAACTCCTCTGCATGGATTCTATGTGGAAAGCAGCACATGCTGCTTCTTTTACAGTTTAAAAAAAGTGGGGTGGGGTTCACTTGTTAAACTTTTTATAAACATACATTTATTTCAGCAGAGTGCAACACAGGAGAAGACATATCTTGCATGACTTTTTTTTCTCATGGTCTTATTATTGATGCAGCCAGACACAATGTAGACTTAACTTTACATCACAAATCCTTGCACAACATGTTATACAAATTAAATACACATAACTTGCATAATCGCATCTTTTTACTCTCTCTTTCTGGTAGAAACACTTGAGAAATATAAATATTAAATAGCATAAATAGGCTCTGTTATGCCGATGTACCTGCCACCTTCATACTAATTTTTTAAGTCCTTCTGACAACTGGTTGTCTGAGGCCAGTCTCAGGTCTGTTTCAGAAGAAGAGTGCATTCAGATGTATCCTCTTTCTACAGACTCTGTTTTTGAGAGTCCTTAAGTCTTTGGAAATGTTAGACAGTAACTCCTTGTAGGTCTTCAGGACCACACAGCCGTAGACTTTTTGCTGGAAGACATTCTGAGGTGGAGGTAGCATTGTCGGCCCACCTGCCGGTTCTGGTAGGGGCAGGTTTGGGAAGAGGTTGTGATACAAAGCGTTGATCAGAAAGGTGAGGCTCCTGGAGCGAGCACTGGCACGTTTGAGTTCAGGCAGCAGTGGGCTCGTGGGGGGCTGTAAGTCTGCCTGCTGCTCAAACACTCGCTTAAAATGTGGGAAGAAAGCTTGGAGATGTGTGTAAATGCTCGCCAGCCTCTCTGAGGTCTCCAGCCCGGAGATTTTGGAGTCAGGGATGTTGCTTACTGACACCTTGCAGAAAAGCTCGGACATCTGTCCTTGAGAAGTTTTCTACAAAACATAATGATATCCAAATGAAAATTCAAGTATTAATGTATTCTAAAGGGGTGGCTTTTGCAAGCACGGTAAATTCAAGGTAAAGAAAACAGTTTCTTGTTTGTACTTACGTATGTTTTGATTAGATCAACAGATTCCTTATGGGCAAGCCTGGTGAGTTTCCAAGATTGCTGCATTGCATTCCCACACTGCTGGTTTGTGCTCGCCGCCACAATTTTTGTTGAATCAACAGCCATAAGGAGCAGTAAAGAGAGTAATCCTGAGGAGAAAGGAACTGGTCAGCTATCCCGCCTCACGATATTGAGGTGAAAAATGAGGGGAACTTCATTTTGAAACCACAAGTGCAGAATAAGGGAAACAAAAATTCTTCTTAATAGTGCCTGGTGGGATTTTACAGGAACATGAATTTACATATTTTGAAACACTGCTAATATATTCAAATACTGAATAAACTGTTTAAATTTGAATGGGCTGCATTGATGCAGGAATTGAAAACTTCAGTTGGTTTCACAACCGCTGTTAGTCACAAAAACGTTTTGCACCCTGACAGGAAAAGACACTAAAGTATTTAATGCTATTTTTCTAACCTTAAAAGAAGCAGATGTAGTGAAACTTACTTGCTGATGATTCCACAATCTTTTGAAAATGCATATTCTTCACATGACCATTCATTCTCCTCTGGGTCTCACAGGCAAATTGTGTGGACTTGTCATAATCACACTCCTTTCAAACTTCTTTAAAAGACAGAAGCCCCACATTTGTCATAGGAGGAAATGACGTGAGGCGACCAAATTTCCCAGAACTTCTTCCTCTCTTGAATATGTGTGTTCATTTTTTTTTCTGTCTTTCATGTTGAGTTTGTGGACAATGCCCCCACATGTCTGGGTTGTGGCTAAACATGTGGGGGCCTCGAATTCAAAGACCTACCTAAACATACATTTACAAGTTACACAAAAAAGCTCTTGATTGTCATTTGTTTATGGGAAGTATATCCACATTAGGTTCACTGAAGTTACTTAAAGACGATAAATCTGCTGAATTTATAAATTAGTCTAGGACAACCTTTACAATAATTTTTAAACTGAGGTTCAGCTCACCCTTTGACACAGTTTAGAAACATGCTATCTAGCACCCTCTAAAGATCAAGAGAGGGAAGGTGAGAACTTATATATGGGAAAAGTAAAAGTGAGATCCCCACTGTTCACATAGCAAGATATTGGCTGTGGTTCTTATGTATTATCCTCAGGGAGAGACAGCAAATTACCCAAGAGAAAACTTTCCTTATAACTGGTCTCAGGTCATGGTTTTGATATTTGTAAATGGCTTCTTTGGATGAAATTTGACCTGGAAAATTAATTAGCAAAACCAGCATTTTGCAGCCATTGAGTCCCAGATGCTACAAAAGTATTAAATCAGAATAGTTCTGTGGAATTGACTGTTTCAGCTGCTGTTCAGACTGCGTGTCTTCACAGAAATATTTTCTTGTGGGCATCTGCACAGGAAGTAGGCAAGGTCACAGGATATGCCTTTCACAATCAGAAACTTTTACAGCTACGTAAAGAGTTGCGTCTGCATAGCCAAAGAAGGTAATGTGTTACAACATCGCTAATTTGATTCTAACAGGCAGCGTTCATCTTATCTCTGGATGATTTCATTGTGACACATTGCAGTGTTGCATCCTCAGAGTAATCTGCTGAGGTAGGATGTGAACTTAACAAATAGTGGGGCTTTTTGTGTTGTCACTCTCATCGTCACAGCCTTCAAGAAGGGTTGGTCACTTCTGCTTTAAGATTTGACTGTCCTCAAGGAGCAGATATCAACAACCTACAACACAACAGAAAAGATTATTTCATGATAATATCCATAATATTTTTTATGTTTCTTCCATTTTTGGCTTTTGTGATTTTCTCACAGACTATGTGACTATGACTGTAAGTGGCAGTTTACTTTTTACCTGAAAGTGAAACACCTTGTTGTGATCTGACATGACCTCCTAGTTTTTGGTAGTCACATTGTGGTTTTAACCCCATGGATACTGTATTGTTGTGAAACAACCAACTACTTGAGAAAAGACTGGGGGAACTCAAACCACCACAACCAAGTCAGCACTATTACAGGTAAAAATGAACCACATTTCTGCCATCCTTGGGGCTTTCCAGTTGCCTAAAGTAATAAAAGCATGGTTGTGGTGAGGTAGGCAACTGCTGCAGGTGGTGCTGGGGAGGTTGGCAGTTCAAGGAAACTAGTTTAGGATTCCTGCCAGCAAATACAAGGCAGACTTACCAACGAAAAAGAAAAACAAGCCTAGAAACGACAGTTAAATCCAGTATGATTTCACTGAAATTAAAGCAAGCCTTGAAAAACTGAATGCTTTGGTGTGCAACTTTCCTCTCAACTCTTTCCTCTATTTCAGCTCTCTAGTTTTTGAAAAATATAGTTTTTCACGTTTTAAATTATAATTAACAGCAACTGGTGCAATGTAGGTCGCTGTGGACTTTCACACCAAAGAAAAGCAAACGTGAGAGGTGCCACACCACATGAAAGTGCATTGCAAAGAAATTCAGCCCAATACAAAAATGAAAGCATTTTCATAAGACGCAGGATGTTGAGTAAGACCCCCTTTTTTCAACAGAATCTCTTTTATTTTGTCTTTGAACTGCACAGGAAATGGTGAATAAAGTTTTTTAGGAAAGTCCCCTTTTATTCTAACTAAATACATCTTTCTAGTAACGTAAGAGTCACTGAAATTGTAAGGTTCATCATTGCTCTGAGGCTCTCAGGCAAACACATCGAAGTAACCCAGCAGCACTTATCCTTGGAACCATTTGTCCACGAAGCTTCAGTAAAACGTGACCAGACAAAAGGCCGTACTGCATATGACAAAAAGATTTCATCAAATTCCAGAAAAAAAAATCAGGAACAAAATCTATAAGGCCAAAAAAATCTAGTGTCGTCCTACAAGTTCAGAACAGACCACGGTCAAACAGATTTTACCTGTCGACATGTAAAACAAGAGCGTTTGGGCTCTATTGCCGTCACAAACATTCTTTTCTTCCTCCGTTCGAGATACTTGTGGATCATATTCGTGGATTCGGGGGCATCTTCCAGCTTTTAGCGCTATAAGAAAAATGGCCCAAAAGTATTAGTTCTGAAGAAAAATAAATGAAAAAAGACAAGAGGAGAAACGCCTGTCAAACATGACAGGGTCGAGTTCAAGACCATCACATTAAACAATGTGTCGAAAACAGATCCATGATAAAATAGCATTTATTTTCTCATACATATATTTCATTTAAGAGGGGTTCACTGCATGGGGCACTCTTAATATGTCATGAAAACAACTTAGTAGTGTTTTGACTCAGAGGGGGTCGCAAAATTCTTACATTTTGTAAAAATTAATTATCTCTCCAAGACAAAAAACTACAAGGCTAAAGGTGATATTAAAAATTAAGCACCAAACAATTATCTGTCCATTCACTACAAATGGATTAATTGTGCAACCTGTTCAATGACCATAATGAACATGGTGAAAAATATGTATATCCTATCTTCAGACACTAATTGATCAAATGCAGTCCAGACCCACAAGTTGTTGCGTTTGCTTTTATAAAGCCTCTGATCCGTAAAATATCACACTGATATCATAAGTCTGTGGTTCCATTCACCAACATTATTACAATCTGAAAGTCTAGTGATTTGACCTATCAATATATTGAGCTATTGTATGACCATTTCTCAATATCATAAAAAACAAAGCAATACCTTTATCTTCAAGCTCTGATGTCAGTAATAGATCACTGTTTCTGTATATTCTAGGTATGTTTTCTTGTACAAATATTCATATCAAAAGTTATACAGCACAATTCTCACCATTATCCTTTACAAGAGCAGTGAACATTAAATGATTCACAAGTTTGGACAAACCCAAAACAAAATGGTGCCAGCCTCAGACGGTAAAATATAGATATAACAAACACAACTGAAATTTGCTTCAGGCACAACTTAAATAAAGGCATTAGTGAAATTATCATATCAAATATGGCGCTTATGTTCAGCATCCATAGGCTTTAAAACAAAATAGAATTTTAAAAAATGAAACGCTATGACCACTTTTATTTACAAACAGCTAAAATCTCTGACAGATTCATGCTTCACTTCACAACCTGAATTTGTCCTTAAAGTGCATGCAATATTAAGCAGTTTTACCAAGTGGGATCTTGAATTGTGAGAAGATAGGTTGATCAAGCTATTTCCAGCTGATACTACATATCAAATGGCACAAAAGAGCTGTTGCCTAAAAAAGTGAGGGACCACAGTATACTGTATGCATAAGCACGATGTGGAAGTATGACCAAATGAAAAAGCCTTTTTAAAAATGAATAAACTCTGACTTTCCAGTGACCCCATACAGTAATATTCACATTCAGAGATTAAAATCAAATAACTGGAATGAAATTAAATAATAATTTTAAAAAAAAGACAAAGCAGCTTAACACCACGGGGAGGGGGGGGTCCGTAGCTCACATTCCACAATGTCCCTCCATGTAACATACATAGTGAGCGCTATATGAACATGATGGGTTTCTAGTTAAACGTATCAAAGTGCCCATTTTACTAAAATTTCCTGATTTATTCAATTCATACCAAAAGGAGAAAATGGAATGGAGGAACGAGTCTGTTGTTTTAAACACATTGAGTTACACTGACTAAGTTTGCCTTTTACTGACTTGTTGTCTATTCTTTTGTTTTACTTTACCCCTTCAAGCTTCACAAAAGTCGCTCTCATTGCGCGTAACACCTCACTTTGAAAATGCAATATCTAAGATAGAAGAAAAGTATTCAAGGAAGTTATCCGGTTTTGTCACCATGGATGTGTCAAAAGGTCAAGTGGATATGAGAAGGGCACGTTTGTTGTCCTTTAAAGATCAATCCACTTTCATCTGTTGTCTTCTTTCGGGAAGTCCAGAGATCCAAGGCTTCCAAAGCCGAGGCTTCTACTTTCTGAGTCAAAAGCGCTAATTTCTCTGTCCTGACGTTCCAACAGTTGCTTGATCTTTTCAGTGCGCTCCTTCTGAAGTGCAGCCAGTTCCTCTTCAATCTGTAATTAGCAAACACCATGGTTGTTATGGCGTTAGGTGGATGCTCAGAATAGCCAGTGTTTGCAGCAGCTCAAAGATGTCTGAAAAGCCATTTTTCTTTCGGCTCTCACTGGGTTTGGTTTACTACGCTGGTCATTACAAAAGGATTTACCCCGTGTTAGATGGATCTCTTTCTTAGAATGAACCCTGCTTGGTTGCCACGGCCAAGAAGTTGCCATTCAAAATATGCAAAACTTCTCAATCCAACTGCACAAAGATTCTAAACCACTGTTTTATTTTTAAAGTGGAAAATCCAAATTCATTACCAAGCATGTCATGATCTCGCCCTCTGAACCTGTGTAACGCTGTTGAAAAGTGTCTTGCAAAGAGTTTTTCAAAAGTGTATGCAACTGACTTCTGATCTTTTGGATATGAAGTGTCACAATTAGCTTTTTACCAGTCTTATTGTCTGTCTGTTGCCATGGTAGCAGTTAAAATAACCTATACTTGTGATATAGCATTGGCATTGGATCCTCTTAAGAGTAACACTTTGCATGAGTTTAAATGATCTTGGCAGCAAGTTAACACGCTCTCAGTAGCAGTGTAATATTTCTCACCAAAAAATACGCGGCATGATATGGTTGTCTAATTCTAAAACTGTAGTGCCACAATATATGGTTTTTAATTACCCCCAACCCTGATGTAGGGTAGTATGCATGTAATACAATTATATATGCCAGCGTCTATCTATCCACTTTCTATATTCCCTTAATTCAAACCAGTGTTGTGGGATGGAAGGGGTGGGTGAGCTGTTGGTATATGGCAGAATCTGCACACCCTGAATGATTGTTTGCCAGCCTATCACGGGAGGAAAAGAGACAAGCAACCATACACCACACTTACACTTACTCCCAAAGTCAGCTTGGAGTTATCAGTTAACCGAATATGAGTGTTTTTAGATTATGGTAGAAATGTAGATAGTGCATGCATTTTTTCCCTCTGGCTTTGTCTTGTGTGTACTTATTCACAGTCTTTCTCTATTGAACATTTTTCTGGTCAGAATGCAGTAAGAAAGTTAAACAAAAAAAGCAAACAACTATGACAGACGAACCTGTAGTTCTTTAGATTAATGCTTTCGACCAGCAACTACTAATGTTCCAGCAACCAGGGCTAAATCATCATTAGTGAAAAGGGGGAATTATGTGTTGCAGTGTAAGACAATGTAAGCTGACATGGGCACAGTTCAGCATAAGGTAAATACTAAAGAAAACAGCCAAAACCATGGTGAATCTCCAATACTTAAAATAACTACACATTCGACTAGTTATAATTAAAAAAGGATCACCCAAAGTTAAGCAAACTGATAAACATCCAGTACAGAAATGACAGAACTCAGAAAAAAGAACAAGTGCCTTACCATTTTGTAGTTCCTGATAACATTCTGGGCCTACAAAAATTCCCCACAAAATGTCAAATGGAAGTCTAAGTGTTTTGATCTGAACTAAACAGTAGGTCCACATGAGCCAAAGACAAAACAAAGCCACCACTAGTAGCCAAAGTGTTGTGGTGGGACCACAGCAGCCTTAACAGTGGTAGACAGGAGTACATGAATCTGCCTGGGAGTACATGCCAAAAAGACGTGCTGCTGTAATATGGTTGTCAAAACATAAGGAGTCTCGCCGGACACTGATCTCACCGCCCATGAGATCGCCTTTATGAGGCATTTTAGCAGAGCTTTGATCTTTAACTTACCTTCTGCTCAAGGTGCGCTCTCCGTATGGAGACCTTCTGCTCAAGTTTCTGCTGCTCTCGTTCATATTGAGCGTCCATCTGCGACTTGGTTTTACTCTGGTAGGCATCCAGGAGCTCCATCTCCTGCTTCAGCTGCTGCTTCAGAGCTTGGCACTCAGTTTCCTGCTCTGCTTCTAATCGCATCTAAAGAAAGGCACGATTATCATATGAGACATTCACACGCAGAAGCTGAGGGTTTTGTTTTTTTAAGCAAACAACTTGCAAACAGTTGAACAAAGGAGGCTTTAAGTAAAAATTTTTGTTCCAAATTAAACATAATTCCACAAATGTCTTACTGCTTGTGAAGCCATCATCTCATTGATGCTCTGTTCATACTGTTCGGCCAGTACAGCCAGCTTTCGAGTCTGCTCCTCTTTCAGGCTCTTCAGGATGGTCTTATGGTCACCTTTGGGGGACACTTCAAGCTGATGGTTCCTAAGAGCCTTGTACTGTTTGTTCTGCACCTTGCAAGTATCCTGGAACTGTTTCTTGATCTGCATTTCCAGCATCTGCAGGGGTTTAAATAGGTTATGCAAGTAAAAATTTGATTCATTTGTTGTAAATAATCTAAATATAACTCAAATAGAACGACCCAGTAAATCATTAAATGTTCCTCTTTAAAATCTTTACTGCTTTAAACTGACTGAGTTGGTTTGAAGAACTTTTTTGCTGCCATGCCAGCTTTGTCAAACACTATAATGTTTGATAGTTGGAAAGAAAACATTAACATTTTTCAAGCTCCAATATAAGGGATTTTGTAGAAGCAAGGCCCATTGCAACGTAATCAATGCTTTTCTGAAGGTTTGTTTAAAGCAGTATTTCAGGTAGATTTTAGTCTAACAAAATCTAAAAATATGCTGACTTCTTCGGGGCACTGAACATTTAAGTATCTGCTAAGCAACTATATCTGCAGCGCAAATAAATTCTTATGTTGGTCATCATAAAACATTACGTTTCTTTCTACAAATTTTTTGGAACACCATTACGTGAGATTGACAAGATTTGATTTCACTTAATGAGATAAAGATGCAAATGGGTCTCAGGCACCTTGAGGTTTCTGGGCTGCTGCCGTTGCTCCAGGCTGTGTTTTCTGTGCAGTTCCCTCTGCCGACGGTTGTTGTACTCCTCCTGGTTTTCCAGCTCTGTCTGGTGCTGCAGCCGCATGAGCTCCACGCGAAGCTTCTGGAGCATCTGTAGCTGCCTCCGCTCCAAGTCCTGGGTGGACTCATCCTGCCGGATCATCAGGGCATGTTCCATCTCCTTCTGTGTCCTCTTTTTGTTCAGCTCCTGGGACAAGAAGATCGGTGGTGGGGTTTCTGATACTAACCATACAGAAGGTTTGCTTTGCATCATTTAGGGGGGCTTATTGATTTGCATGACAGAGTATTTTTGCGGAAGTAGTCATTCATTGAATATGACATTCGCATTTGCTATTTTTCACTGGTTCAAAAATTGTCACCGGGAACAGAAGATGCTGGAAATAGAGAACACTTGGTAAGCATTGCTATTCTCTTCCAGTCCTCATTCAGTGTGACACCTTCTATGTGACAGCCTACACATTTGCAATGTGAAGATTTACGTTTTTCTCTTTCAGATTCAGAAATTTGACTGTACATTTAATGTTTCAGAATTGAATAACACTATGGACATATAGAATCATCACTGTCCTCTTAAATCAGCATCAGACACGTGATAGTCATAAATGAAGGCAGTTCTTACCTGATCCCCACTTTATTGAACAATATTCATTGCATAGCCATATGACAATGGCCTGCGTTGTGACCCCCTGCTGGAAGGTCAAGTCCAGGTCTGACTATTTTTTTTTTTGGGTTGATTGATCGAAAATGGCGGATTGCCAGCATCTTCTCATTGACCCCTTTTTGGTATGCCACACCATTACATACAGCTTGTACACACATTAACGTGTAAGAGACTGTTGAGGTCAACTGATTCCCAAAGAGGCATTTCAAGCAGAGAATGAATGGTGTGACAAAGAATAAACCTCTTTAATGGGATCTCTAGGCTTGCACACTTGGCAGACCTGCAACATGAATGGAAAACAAACTGCCCTCTTTTGCCAGCTAAAAGGAAAAAGGAAAAAGGAACTAATTCTTTGTCAACCGGTTGTCATTATTGGCGTGTTGTAGTGTAACTTGCTCTTAACTGGGTCATTCTATCCACACTGTAAACCGTCACAGCTGGAAAAAAGACATAGCCTTTCTTCTGAGAACAGGAGGACTCGTCCTGAAAATAGGGCCTTTCTTTGCAATCTTGATTTTATGTTTTGTTAGAGAATTTGGATAATTGATTACTCTTTTACTCCCCCTGGAGTTGTGAAATGTAAATCCAAGACGTCCAATTACCTCTCTCAGTTGCTCTTGTTCGAACTCATGCCGCCTGACGACACTCCGCCGTTTGAGGGCCCGGCAGCTGCGGTCGTAGACCAGCCTCTGCTGGGCCAGCAGGTGAGCTTCCTCCTCAGCCTGGGAGCGCTGCATTGTTTCTTTGTGCCTGGACAGACGCTCCTGTTTCTCCTCCTTGGGTGTACAAAGGTCCTCATTCATCTCCTACAACATGGCACAAACAGAGGAGACTGAGCCCGGGCTGCATGATCTGACACACGGAGACCAAATTTAAAGCGAGGCTTCGTGAACGTATCGGCGAGCGATAATTACCTCCTTGACCTTTTCTTTACAAAGCCTGTATTCCTTTTTCTGATTCTCTAAGAAAGCCGTAAGCTCTTTCTTTTGTTGAGCAACAATCTGTTGCTGGATCCTCCTCTCTTCTGCTGAAACTGACTTCATCTGCGAAGAAACATTGAAGTCATCACCTTTCGTTGACTCGAGAGGTCTGCACACAAACCATCTGGGCTTGACCCATTTTTAGATTGTCACTCATTCATAACTAGCAGCTGCTGAACCTGTACCTCTTTGTCTGTTTGAGCAGCATGGCGTTTGGCCAGTCTTTCCAGCTCAATGTAAGTGTTGTTCACTTGTGTCTCTAATTCCTTCTGCAGCCGGAGCCTATGCTCATCCATCTCGGCCTTTAGCCTGTTCTCCAGGGCGATCAGCTGCTTCTGGTGCTGTCGCCGCATGCGCTTATACCCAGACATCTGCTCCCGCAGCTCAAAGTCCTGCTCATGCTCCTGGATCTACCTGATGCCCTGAACACACGAACACAGGCATCAGGATGCTGAATAAGCCAAGGCAGCAAGAAAAAACTACGATTCCAGTAACGTGTATTAATTCCCATTAATATTTAACCAAGCAATGAAAAATGGCCCGGACACTGTTAAAACATATTCATATGGTTGATTTTAATCACAGTGAAATTCATTGGTCTCCCCCTTTAGCATCATTGTGGACTGATAAGTGACACGAATCACTAGCTCTATTAGGCTACTGACAACTGAGAAATGTTGAAATGCACCTTTTTTTTACTATCTGTGTCAAAAACTAACCCTCAGTGCAAGATATATCAGGCAGAGATTTGTATGGGCTACATACAAATGCACACACATAAAGGCAGAGGCATAGAGGGAGGCTGAGGATGGGAAAAAATGACATCCATTAACAGGATCCGGTTGCCATGACTACAGATGTACAGCTGAGAACACAGACACCCCTTCTCTCCCACCTCATCGCCGCCTGCACACACACATACAACCGTACTCGAGCGCGCGCGCGCACTCACACACACACGCGCGCGCGCGCGTATTTTTTCATGCAAACGCTGTTGATCCGTGTGCAGCGTACCAAAGATGATGATTTGATGGTGGTAATACGTTCACAGATCTTGCAGTCGAGAGACCGGCTCTTGTGAGAAGTAGGCCGCAGCTCTGGCCTGGCGTCCCTGTGCACGGCCTCATCCCTCACGCAAGCATGGTCCTGCAGGGGGGGAGGAAAAGGAGGAGATTGTGGGGCTGGGTGCTTCCCAGGCCCTTTGCGCTCGCCGTTTCGGATAGAGCTGCTGTTACTGCCGAATCTCCCTGAATGCAGCACACATCCAGCGTTAAATGCATCCTTCCCGTGCTGGTCCCCCCGCTACTGTGTGCAAGTCCTTCCTAAGAGAGAAAAGGGCATTGCCAAACAATTGCAGGCTCCACCGAAGAGGCAGCCGCTGGATGTAGTCGTTTTTCTGGCGTCCCCCTCTTCCAAAAGAGGAGGAACCAAATGTCTCCGGTGGATAAGGGTGTATTATGCAATGCCTACCATTGATAATGAGAAAAGCAAACCAAAGGGATGTATATGACTGCTGCTCTTCTTTTCCGTTTCAAAATGCAGGAGATTTTGGGGAGGAAAAATAGTTTCCCTGTGTTCCTATGATCGCATGTTGTAGCATACTGAAAAAGACTTGATTCATATAAGGCACATCCGAACATGGTTTTCCCTCGAATATGTCGCTCAATGTATTCCACTCGAATTTCTGTCCTACATTTACAGCGCACTTGGTCATGGTAGGTGGTTCTGGTGCCTTCTATTCATCTCTTTCCTCTGTCCCTCTTCCACACTCCCCCTTCCTTTAAAGAGACACCACAGCACTATAGCCACATCTCACTAAGGCTGAGGTAATTTCACAAGGGATCTTTTTTTTTTTTTTAGACACATACCTTTATTGATATGATAAGAATAATGTCCACTGATGTAGCGGAGCAATAAAAACAAAGTCAAGGAGCCTCGTTTTACTTTTTGTCGAAGTAAATGAAGGAATGAGAGCAGTTTACAAATGTAAGTTTATCTCTGAGAAACTGTTGTATTACGGTAATAGTAAAGCAAAGATAACGTGTTTTATATAGAAAATAATTAAGATTATTCCATGAAAGAGTAACGAGTCAATATCACTTAAAATAGTCACATTTTCATCATATTCTTATCCTTGTTGTTACGATGTGTGACCATAAGGGTGCGATGTAGACCATCTAATTCAGTACTGGTCTCCCTCATCCCGCCTCGTTCTCTCTCTCTCTCTCTCTCTCTCTCTCTCTCTCTCTCTATCCATGGTGCTGAAAATAACTCCACATAACAAATGAGGTAGTGCTGCTAATGTTTCTCCGATTAGCAGCACATCTAATACCATCTCTGTTTGTCTAGGAGGCAAAAAATATATCTGTCTCCCTAGAAACCAGTCATTTAAGAGGTCAGCCCATTCTGTCTTCAAAGAGCCAATAGTCCTACCGCAACCATTTAACATATTCCGGAAACATTAAAAGCAACCCCATCACAATCTATTTAAAAAAAAACATCAGACCACAAAAAACTGCCAAAATAAAACAACATTTTCAATAGACTTTTTTTATTTCCCTCCCACTGTCACCAAGTGCTTGCTGCCAACAATTACAGTAGTTGTTGTAGCACTATGCTATATGGGCTACATCGACTACGTTGACCACTATGAGGGTGATGAGTAACAGTTTGAGCAAACGTGCAAATTGTATCATAACATTTAACTATCATTTTAATCTCAGTTCATCTTCATTTGTGAGATGACTTTGATATCGTCTCTATCTTTTGCCTCACCTTTCATTAAGGTGACTGTAGAAGAGGGACAAAATTAGTCGAGTTCATATATCTGTTTCTTCACTGCGTTGTTCAACAATTTATCTGGAACATATGTCATTATAAATTGAAACATTGCCTTAGGTAAAAATAGAATTTGAGGGTATTTCCTCCCATAGTCCTTCAGTGGATCACTTTCAGATAATCTGTCAAAACCTTTTTTTTTGTCCTGACTCCATTTTCCTCACATTATTTTCAACAAAATAGTGCACAAATTGCCTAGATATGCAAAGGTTTTGGGTGACATCTCTTTTTAGTGTAAAAGCAGTTCATGCTTCTCAAGCTTAACGACTGTTCGTTATGTAGTAATCTCTACCCACACTAGATGTCACCGTTGATCTTTTGAAGGCAGCAGCACACCAAAGAGGACGTTACCCTACCAGAAAAAATCGTTTGTGTTCTGTGAAATGATCACAACCATGTTTACATTTCATGCATGTGCAGAAATGTTTTTTATATATGTGTTTTTTTATTTGTTCATGGCCTCATATTGTACAATGAATGTGCAACATAAATAACATTTTGTAATCGTTTTAAGAAAAAACATTTAGTTATTTTCTTGTATTCATGCAGCAAAATTTCTTCAAAACATTTGATTAGGATTTTATGATATTGTGGAAACTCCAAAGGCACAATTATTCTTTATTCAAGGCAACACCATACATGGTTTCAGTGCATACTCAGAAAACTAACCTGTACCACACTTTGTTTCTCTGCTTCAAACGGAAAAAAAAACACTGCAATTTCGGTTTGACACTGATGAATCTGAATCTGAGCATAGAAGCATCAACAAGCTAAGTGAATCAATATTAAGTGCATCTGTCTTGTATTTCAGTTTTTTGTGTCAGTCCTACAGATGGTGCTACACAAAGCTTTGGCTACTGCAGTTTCTGCTCACTCGGTTCACTTCTCGCCATCCTGTGTCTTTCTGATCTGAACTGGTATGACAAGCTCATTGCCCTGGTTACTTTTGGCAGTCCCAGGGACGGGAGCTTCCACGGACAGGACGCCATCACCAGACAGTGATGAACTGATGTGCTGCAAATCAACCCCCTCCGGTAACCTTTGGGGAGAAAAACAAAAGAAAGAGGCACCATTACTCTTTATTCTTTTTAGATGTCTAGGTTGTTTATGTGTTGATCATCACACCCAGATATAAACCACACCCGTCGCTAAAACACACAGTCATTTTCCAGCAGAATATGCCGCCACAAGCCGCTCTCTTGTCTCAAAATGTGTGTGTTTGCAGGACGAAGCAGCAGCGATCATTTTTCAGTCATGCTCATATTGTCAGAGAACTTACTTGTATTTACGAGTGAAGCACCTTGAGACTGATCCGTGTTCATCTTGCCTCTCTTCATGATTTCCTTGAAGGAAAAACACAACTACAGTAAGTAAACGTGCATAAAAACCTAGCAAAACGAGGTATTTACAGCTTCTGCAGCAGTTGTTAGAGAGCACATTCCTAATTACACAAAAAGAATCCTGCGTACTACCTGATATTTGTAAGTAACCCTCCTTAGTCGTGATTGTGATCTCCTCAGGTGAGAAGTGGTTGACGTCCAGGTTTATCTTCCAGCTATTCTGGCCGGTTTGGATCTCCGACACTCCACCTGTAAGTTGTCTCCGATGCTTTTGGTCCAGTGTTGCAGGGTGTTGACCGGTGAAGGGAGGCAGAAGTGGGCTTTGAGCAAATCCTGGCCAGGAAAAAGTAGTTAGTCTCTTCTTTGCCCAGTCAAGCCAGTCCAGATCACTGGGCTCCAGGAAAGGAGGGAGGCCGAAATCCTGTGAAAAGATGCGGCTTGGCTGTGTCCAGTTGGGGAAAGGGTCCCAGCTGACATCCCGGCGAAATATGGGACGCGACAACATTCTGTTGTGGTCACCCATGTTCCAGAAAATAAGGGAGAAATGAAGGGAAGGTAAAAAATGCAAAGCGTGAGGCTCCTCCCTGAAGAACAAGTGTGGGGGCCAGACCCCTGAGCTGTAGAGCAGCTGTGCTTTTATGCCAGTAAGGAGCGGGTCGGAGGAAAAGGCTTGTTTTGGTTTCCGCAGCTCGGATCAGTTTATATACCCAGCTGATTTGTTTAATCACTTGTGCATCGGCAAGTGTGATGTAAGAGATGGGAATGTGTTGATATGTGATGAGCCGTGGTGTTACTCCTCTGTTGCCCTAGGACACGCACAGGACACTGCCAGATATTTGTATTTATATCTCTTGAGTGTCTCTGGCAAGTTGTTGGTGAGTGACTTTGGAAGCAGCGAGCGGCCGGTTTATTCAGCAGTGGCCTCTGCAGTCTTGTCACATACTGGTGCTCTTTGTCCACAGAAGTCACAGCGGTGTGTTATGTGGGGGAACAGCGCGTACATTCGAGGTCACACGGTAAACAGAAAGGGTGCTCAGGCCCGTCTTTTTCAAGTCAACAACTGAAGAAATGATGAAATGAGCACAATCTCATGAGGAACATGTAAAGAAACATTTCCAGATCACAGAGTTCGAAGGGGGTCTTTACACAAAGACACGCCAACAAATGGAAAGAGTGCTACATTCTTAGGTTGATGTGGAATTTCACAGCTGCATCTTCGTGGGTGACATGTCGTTCAAATAATGAAGCATCCACAGAGGGGTAAATTAATGGACCCCTGAGAAGGAATGGAATTTTTTAATGATACCATAAAAAAATACTTTTTCAACTGAGCCCAAGACTTTGATCAGGTTTATGTTTCAGTCGTGGTTTCTATTTAGAATCCACTTGCCACTACAAAATGTATACGGAGCTCTAGTTCCTAGTTATCATGTCATGATCATAATAATAAGTGTGGACTAAACTCGAAAAACAAATGAACCTTTTAATTTTAAACAATGTGAACACGTTCCATGTGTTTTGTGACTTATTTTCATATTCAACCTAAAATGTGAAATTTGTCTTTTGTATCTTTACACCTCAAGATTGGACTTTTTTGCACAAATGTGGAATAGAAGGAATCAACAACCATGATTTGAATAACACGAAATCCCGATGTAACTTTGACATAATCCCACTTCATTTCGAAACATATATTCTTGTTTCTTTAAAAACAATGAACAGAAGGAACTGAGAAGTAATGAATAGGTATAAATACAGCTTGTTCTTTTTTTCAAAGTCCAAATACAACATTTGTTTTCATTGTATGGAGACACAATTGCAGTTTGAATGATTTACTTTCACCATGTAGACATCAAAGGGAGCAGATAAATGAATCTGAAAACATTAACAGGATTCAGAAGATGTACTTTATTCGTTTTCAGGTGCTGATAACACTTCCAAGTAAAGATTGAGAAATCTGCAAAGGCACAATGGTTTGAAACTGTTGTCTACATATGAAGCAACAAAAACACAGTTAACGAATAACAGTATATGAATAAAAATACGCAACAATTATATACATTTTTCTGTGGTACTGTATAGTGGAGTGTTTGTACAATTTTTAGTAGCTCTTGGAGTTTTACTGGAGTTTTACAACTGAACAAGCTGAAAATAAAAAGATATACCTATGAAAATGAAATAAAAAACTATACAGACATTCTACAAAAATGCCTTTTGGCCCTGAAGAAAGGCTGATGTGATCTTTTTTTTTAACTCTGCATGCTCTGTATGCTCAACCTCATGTCATAGACTGCTCTCCACTGTGAGTATAAACTAGTATTTAAAATCAACATTAAAATGTCAAAGTAGTCTTCTTTACTGTACGTAAGTCAATGACAAAATGATGAAAGCTGTAATTGATCATTCTTACGCTACTCTAACAAAAATGTATTTTAAAAAAAGGAAATAGCATGACTGAAATACACCCAGGATTCTTATCAGAAGGTTTCACTTTTTCCTGCTTCTTCTGAATGTGAACTTTTTCTGAAATAGAAGGCAAAACAAAATTAGAACAGTTAGAAATTTGGGCGGTGTCACAGAGGCGCAGTAAACTGCAACAAAGAATATTTTACAATCATGTATCTGACTCATTCTGGTCAGTCAATGAATACTGAGAAGTATGAATCCGGTCCTGTACCTTTTCTGTTTTAGGGCATGGAGCACAATTGTTGTTATGATCACTGCAAGCGCCAAGGCCCCAATTACTGAACCAGCCACAATTCCTGCGAGATTACCTGAAAAACAATGATATGCACTTTTTTTATTATGCAGCTGAGCCACCAAAGCCATGTGTTGACTGGGTTTGGGGGTCTTGTTTTGTTTTTTATCTATGAATACTTAAAATGAAGATTTAACTACAGCAGAGGGGTCAAGCCAAAGCACAACCAAGCCTAAACTTACTTTTTTAAACAAGAGGCTATCAAAACGCCCCAGGATTTTTAAAAATTTATTAAACAGGAATAAATAAGAATAAATAGAAAATAAATTTGAGCTCAATATCTCGTCTGAATTTTTTGTGGAGATATTTGAAACACTTCCTGCTAAGACAACATAAACGCCTGATCTGATGTTTGGATAGAAGCGAACAAACAGCGAGATAACATATACCAAATATATCATTTTACATCTTAGAGAGCATTTATTCTGCTGTCTGCTTCTAAAGCAGTATTTTCATTCCTTTTTATTTTAATCTGATAAATCTAAGAGAGACTGAGAAAACTGTACCCAAACCACCCACATGTTTTTTAAAGAAACTTTTGTGCATTTGAATATTTTAGACCTGATTTGATAGATCAAATGACTCACCAATGCACATGCACACATTCACTCACACTAAACCAATGATACATTTGCCACCCCTGATTTATTGATTTGTGGAAATCAACGTCTGGTTGTTTATTGATTGTATTGTTTTTCCATACTGGGAACCGAGCAGCTTGTGTCGTCTCCAGACCACTGGCCATTGCTTTGGCAGACTCGCTCTGCTGATCCTTTGAGTGTGTAGCCGCCATCACAGGAAAACTGCACCCTCGCTCCTTCCAAGTAGGTTGTCCCCTGCTTTTTCCCATTTATTGGTGGTGGAAGCCATCCACAGGATATCACTATACAAACAGCCAACATGCGATGCCAAGTTAAGATTAATGGTTAGGCCTACTAGATATTTTCCAAAGGCTCTTTTAACTCGTACCTGGTTTCAGATCCTCGACAAGAGAAATGTGACTCTGGAAAGACATTCGTGTAGCATTTCCCATTCTCGGACTTCGACCCACCAGGATATCATACCTGCAGCACAGTTGGAATGATAGTTAAACTGGTTTGTCCAGAAAAAGAAAAGACTTTAAGACTTTTGTGTTATTGTGTCAGTGATGTAAAAAAACAAGTATAAAACAAAAGAGACAATAAAACTGAATTCCAGGAAACTGTGAGACACCATGAGAAACAATTAAAATGAAAACAACGAAACAAAAAAGCCGTGTCAACATTTACAGAAACACTACTGCAACAGTAAATATCAGGGTGATGTCATATAATCATGTTAAGCTGCTCAGTGAAGACACTGGAAATCATGGCCTTTGTATTTGTGTATAACAAAAGTTCAAATGATTTTACATACTCCAAATTTTTCATGCATTTTATGAAGCCACAAAGCTGAAAACCAGATTTTTTCCACATACCTACAGAACTGAGAGCCCTCTCCAGAACAGATCTCAGCAGCCTGATTGGTCAGTGGATCGTCTGGATTTTCAGGGACAGAAAACACTGGAGAAAAACTTGGGTCGTGTCTAGGGGCGTGGTAATACTGGTCCAGAAGATACTCTGAATCGTACGTAAATAAGGCTGACGTGTTCATCACTGCCCCTGCAGGTAAAAAAGCAAACATTACCCCTGCTTTTATCTGCTTTTTCGGACTTCTCAAAAATACTAAATGTGCAAGGTAATCATGAAAGGAGATTACATAAATTACTAGATTTAATTAATCCAATTGCATATCCAGAGTGTCTCTTTTATGTATAACGATTATTTCTGCCAATATTTTGAGTAGCAGTGAGACCATGTCATGTTTGAACCGCCTAACATAATCTGGTGGTGTCTTACAGCTTGCCCCAAAGCGGAAGAGCTCTTCTGGATTGCTGTTGTTCTGCACAAGCTGCCCATCGCTAAGAACAAGGTCATCTTTGGCATCGCTGTTCATGTTTCCCAGCAGTCCGAGAGTAGTCGTTTTAAATTCCTCTGGCAGAAGGACAGTGGTCATCATGGTTTCTTCTGTCCGTCGCACTTCCACCCCAGCCCCAGAGGAGAACATCACGGTCACATTCGTGGAGGACGGAGAAAACACAAACACACCTGGAAGATATTTAGTAAGGAGACAAGCAGATGTGAGTTACTTTAGAGAAGATCCACAAGTTCAAGTAAAATTTTGAGCAGAAAGTATTAATAAGCTCTTGATGGTGTGTAAACATGTATTTCACATGTAATGTATCAAAGGGAGCATCATTCAAAAATATATTCATGCTAAAAATGTGAGGGCAACATTTTAGGCTCTCTGATAAGATGAACAAAGGCGGTTGTTTATTGGCAGTTTACAGCTCCTGATAAGCAGGCGAACAGTATCTGAGGAATGAAGATGACTCTCACCGTGCAGGTCCATCCAGCTCTGCTCAGAAAAGGAGAGGGCTTTCTGATTATGCAGCACTTCAAGTCCCGTATTTCCGCTGACAAGACGCACCTCAATAACGTCAGAGGATGCCTCTCTCATTGCAACAGCTGACAACTTTGTTGCTTTGATCGTTCCTAGACGAGAAAAACCCACGGTAACCTTATGGAACTTAAGAGCTTTCCCTCCTTTGTGAGAAACTGACTGATTATTATTGAGAAAGACAATCGGCCTGTAAAGAGCAGCATCTCACCATTAACAGGCTCCGTTCTTGCTTGGATTGTCAATCGCTTCTCTGCTGAGGTCAACAGAGTGTATTCCCCTTTGCCGTTGAAAGAGTAGCTGACACCATCAAACGTTATAAAGTGGGGATCTCCGAACACCACGGCTGGTTTTAAGAAAAATGGAGGACTTTATGCAAAACAATGATATGATCAAACACAAGCTGAAAAGCCTTCCTTACCCGAACTAGGTGACTGGTATCTCCTGCAGTCACTGGAGGGCCGATGTTTGAAGTAGTAGTGACAGTTGTCGGACCACAGGCAGCAGTAGTAGAAGCTGAGGACATCGTAGACCCAATGCGATTGTCCGGGAATTCGAGGAGGTTTTCTGTAGGGAGGCGAGCCCCAGTCGTGCGCTCGGTCTGGAGTACTGCCCCCAATTGAGTCCGCTGTCAGGACCTGAGCCCCAGTGCTGTCGTAACAACACTGTTGTCCTGCTGCATACTTAGGACTGGGGATCAACATTGGTGATTAAAACTGTGAATTCTCTTGCAGCAGAACACATAAAACCATTCAATTAAACACCAGGGCTAAGTTAGTGAGAAGATGATATTCAAGTCTGGTGTTTTGAGGAATTTAGCCTTCAAATGAAAATTTCATTGTAAATTGAACTTATAAGGGAGCCATCAGAAATAAAAACATTTAGATTGACTTCGCATGGATTAGTCAATTACTAACTTCTGTAAGACAGATTTGTTCTTTTAATTGTCAATAGTGGCCTAGAAATTTCTTATTTAATATTTCCTTCATCTACAATGTAGCATGTTCCGACTCACCTGGCTTGTATGGCTCTTACACAGTGAACACTTCCAGGATGGTAGGTGCATACACTCCCTTTCTCTATGTCACATCCATAATCAGTCTGAGGATCACAGGAGAAATGAGGTGTTGGGAAAAGACAGTCAAGAGTACAGTTATGTGTAGTTTAATAAAGGAGCCCCAACAAAAGCCTGTGTGGATTTATCACAATACAGCTGTAGTGGCTACATATAATTTCAGAAGCTCGCACAAGCTGTAGTAATGTTACAGTAAAACAAAGAAACATTGTTTTTTCAGTTTGATTAAGGTTATTTTTAATAATCATCGAAACAGACATTACTTTAAAACTGTAATACTTGTGAGTAAGCGATTATTTAAAAGACAGCGACCTCTTTATGGATTTGTCCAAAAGATAAATGCTTCCTAGCATCCCATGGATACAGTTCACATATAAACTATAATTAGAGTACTCTCTAGACTTTGAACTGATTAGCATGAAGGCAACTGCTCCACCACAACACCTTAGAGTCTCAGATAATGACATGCTTATTTAACATGACCTCTCAGTGGAGTTCATCTGAGACGGATCAGTGCTCAGGGTTTGTTTTTATGATCTTGTTCAAGTCATTAAACTTTATAGTTATAGTCATGGGAGTGTGTAGCAGCATTGTCCATGTGCTACAAACACCCTGTAATCATAATAAACTTTTTCTAACTGATTGTGAGTCCAAATTTTCTCCTTTTCACACTTACATGAAACCTCCCTGTGTCTGCCCGTGCTTGAGCCAGAGTGCAGGGACAGTCGATGATCTCACTGAGGAAGTTGGGCAGCTGATTTTCCAGCTGATCCCAAGAAAGGCATTTCTCAAGAGCCCAAACTGTTGAGTTCTCCCTAAACCTCTCCTCTAGATGCCAGGCCAAAGCGTGATCCTCTGTCCACGCAGCTTGAACATTCCTAAGTGACACATAGCCAGAAAAGCTGGTGAATCCTCAGCGTCTCTGGTGTATTTACTTCTCTCCTAAACCAAATTTGAAGAATGTGAATGAAAACCATCACTGCTGTTTCGTTAAAGTACGTACCGCATGCCATCCGGGTGGCTGCTCGAGCTGACACGGAGAGAGCCAAGCTCCCAACTGGAAATGCCATTTTCTGCTGGTTTTGGCAAAAAGCTGAAGGAGCCATTATTTGGATAATCCTTCGCAAGAGAGTACAGATACTCCCACTCACCATGCCACTCCTCAGAATAAGGCTTTCCTGGAGTGAAACATCTTTTTATTCAGCGTTTTTTTAAGATTTACGTAGTTATGTGGTCTAAATAATTAAATACTTCTTGACTTACCAGTCTCTCTGTAACCCCAAAGCTCTATATTGACTCTTTCTGCTCTGACTAAGGAGGTGTTCCATGTCATTTGAAGAGTGCCGGCGACGTTAAGCGTGCCGTAGTACTGCCACTTAGTCGAGTTCACCAGGACAGCTTTGAACTTAGAGTCTAACTTGCCCGTGTGAACTGCACACAGCACATGTGAAACAAATCAAGTACAGACAATTGTCAGGTCAACACAAAGTATGAACTGTCAAAGCTCATTCTTACAGGCAGACTTTTCTATCACCCTGTTCAGGATGGTGAAAAGAGCACATGAGTAATACCTGAAAGCCAGGTTCCAGCTTTACTGAAGGTGGTACCATTGTCTGAGGAGATATGCAAAGAGACCCATCCTGTTTCATACAACTGCGGAGAGATACAGTGGCCTCTACTGCTTTCATCCACATATCCCACAGTATCAGTTATATTGTTGAACCTGACATCAAGAAAGAATGATTAACAGGTTTAAAGGCGACCCTTTTGAAAGGATTTTTTTTATATGAGCATATAAAGAGATGTCTAACCTGCAAACAATAGTAGAACTCTTATTGAAACTTGCATCAAGCACAACGAAGTCTGTTCCACCAAAAATGGATCCAGAATATGGTGATGTACTGACACAGTGCTCCTTGTAGTCGGTGCAGCAGTTCTTCAGAGACGCACACGTGGGGTGGCAAGAGCATGAGCTGAATTTTTCTCCACAGTTTCCCTCACATGTCTGGCCTATCCAAAGTAAAGAAGCAGAGGTTTTAAGTTACTTTCATGCTCAGGCTATTTTTATTTAAAATGTATCTATTATTATACCTTATATTCAATCTGATTGGCATTATACATTTAAAATAGTTGAAATTGAAAAAAAGTGATGTACAAGTGCTTATCATTCACCCATTTATCCTCATTGAACCTTCTTTTCCATAAATAACTATTTTTGCATAAAATAATGGCAGACACCAGTAAAAGCATATGTTTCTACATTTAACACATGTTACACGCTAACATATCCTAAATAACCAAGGTAACAAGTCCTGAAACCTCTAAAACAAATTTTAAAAAATTGATTGGATATATGCAAAGACTTGTGAGAGTTTTGCTATCTGATATTAAAAGATAACTGTTGCCTGTGTAAATAAGACAATATCTACTTCCTCGATGACTGATTTCTACCATTGTTGATAGATACAGACAGATAACAGGGACTGATGAATCACTTACCAGATGTCCCACGGATACTTAAAGCCAGAAGGATACAAATTAATGCTCCAAATCTTCTCATCTTGTCAGAGTCAGATTGTCAGCCAGTGTTCCTGCTGCATAGTCTGGACGTCCCGCAACCCCTTCCCTTATGATAAAGACGAGCCCAGCATTTTTCCAAACCTTGGACTTTTGATAACATGTATTTACAAACTCCAGTTTAATCATCAACCGCGGGTGGAGACTAACATTTTCAGCTGCATCCTCACGTGTCTACCATTAACCCTCCCTCTCTCCAAGTCAGTCAGTTTGGAAAATAAATTAGAAGCTCATTCAATTCTAAATCAACCTTCAAAAACGTATCCCGTCAAATCTGCCTTTATTTGATCTACAGTGTGCTGATAATGCTGATACAGCTGAAGGGATAAAAGATTATACAAACTTGTTTGTTAAGAAATTCCTAATATCGTTCTCATTTAAATGTACAACAGTTTTAAAAAAAACTTTGAAATTCAGCATGATAATAAGATAATACCATTATCTGAAGTAAGACTTACCATATCAGCTAACTAGCATGCGTTATGTTGTTTATTTAAACCATCAGTGTTGCATTATGTTTGCTTGTAAACAATTTTTATAGATACAACTTTAACATTATATGCTGTTTATCATATTTAATACAAAGGTGCAACAGAGTTAAGCTGTTACAAATCTTATAGCCATGGCTTCACACATGCATGTCTGCACTGTTACAATGTAGATGGAATTAAAATACAATTTAAAAAAGAATACTTTCAAAGCATGAAGTTCCTTCGCAGAGGTATAAGTTTGTTCACAGTTATGATTGAAACATTCCTCTGGCCTCACTCAGCTCAAATTTGCACTTCCTTTAACCAAGGAATTGGCAGCATTTGCGTAACAGTAGCATCAATTTTACACGGCAACATCGAGGCAAAGCCGCTGTGATGAGAATCAACAAACAGAATACAAGTTAATAAAAACAGAACAGTACAACACATTGAGCATGGCTGTTTGTTCACTTCTAGAAGCACCGTTATGCAGTTTAACTGGTCTCTTCATCTTGACTTGGCTCTTGATGATTCCTATAAAACAAAAAGTTTTGGATGTGACACATATTTATAATGATTTCATATTTACAGGAACTTCAGACTCACCACCATCAAATGGCCATTCCTTGTCCGGTAGATCATCGACTCCTGACCACTTTTGAAGTCAACGAAACCCTCTCTTCCAGGCTGGATGTCAAATCGAACACTGCCAACAATAAACAGAATTCCATTCTAAACTAAGATTGATTCAACTGAGTATTGAAACATATCATCCAGATTCTCTACCTTCCTTGCACCACTTTGATGCTGTTCTCCTTGTTTGCAATGAAGCTCAGCTTAGTCAAAGTCTCAAACAGGTAGTCACACTGTAGAACCAGATCCCCCTAAAAGAAACACACACAAAGGTTATGACCTGAATAGTTGCATGTCTGAAAAGCTATAAACCTGGGTTTTCTATTAGAGTCACCTTTTGCTTGATTTCGTCACATGTAACATGAAGAATGAGGAAGTTGTCACTCAGATGACTAACCGACACACCTGAAAATAAGAGGATTCCCCTGAGTATGTTTTATGTATGTAAAGCATTGTGTTCCAAAAGTGAACTAGTTCCAAGAGAGTGTATTTATATCTCTGGGGTTTGTGTGTGTGACAATGTATAAAACCTTTCAAAGAGACATAATCGATCCGTTGCTTGATCTTGGCCTCCTCGACTAGGTAAGCAGCTCTCTGGGTGAAGATAAGCTGCCGGAGATGAGGCCTGAAGCCGTTCCTGTCATACTTCACCACTGGCACACTGTACTGTGGACACACACACACACACACACACACACATGCATCAACCAGGATTAGAGAATACAGGCCAATGTGAAGTGAGTGCTGATATCAATTTACCTTGATGAGTTCATGTTGAATCATCTGAAGGACCCTGATGTTTATGTCTCCCAAGGCTTGATAAAATATTAGAAAAATGAGAGTGACAGAAAACAAAAGTCAGAAATAATGTTGAAATAATGTTATAAAAGGATAATAGCAATGATCAGGATTTTTATGTTAAGTAGTAAGCACTGGTGGTTTATCATGTGCGCGTAAGAAACAAGCAATAAAAAACACTTTGGGACTTTAAGTGTGCTTAAACTCAAGAAAAAGATGTCGGACTCTTACAGATCCTTGTGTCCATGAATGGTCTGCTCACACTGAGGGGGTAGTTTTCTTTTTTTCCCTTGAACATGGAGCTTGTCTGTACTTTTAACAGGAGCTGATAAAAGTGTCACATGTTATTCCCAGAGTAATAACAATATTTTAAAACATATTTTTTAAAATGTTATTGTATTTAGCAACACAGTTTTTAAGTATTCACATGGAATGTGATTTGATTTACATTTTCATACGTTATGTAGTTCTTGTAGTTTGTGTATTCGTAAGATCTGTTGCATTTCTTGTATATCTATATATGCGTGCAATTTTTTTTTTTAGCTGACAACTACTAAATAAATCACAAAACTCTATAGCATTGCTTATTTTTACAAATCTAATCTGAAAACAAACGTGACAACAATGCTGACAGATATGATAGATTTTTAACATCTGCATGGAAATGTTTTGGTGTAAAGTGCCCCGCACATTCATTACTGGAGCACAGCAGACTGTACCTGAGCTTTTCTTTGAGGAGTGATTCCTCTGACATACTTCCGCACCATGAGGCGAGTATAGATCTTTTTCAAGAGCTGGGATACCTGCAAAAGTCCAGTGGTTTAATATTCAATGATCTGTTCACTTTATCATCCTTACAGAATGTTGCCATCAGCTAAATTGTCTACCTGTGCCCTGATGCACGCACCCTTTAGTTTGTGAGAAGATAGAAACTCTCACCTCGTTCATAATCGGTGGAGGGGTGAGCCAGGAGTCTTTCTCCAGGACTGTTTTGGGAAGGTTTCCTTTCAATCGCATGAGGTAGCTCTGCCTTGCGTAGGCCAGGTACTCACTGTTATCGATGCATGCTGGTTGATTTCGGGTCATGAAACCTTTAATAAACCTAAAGTAAATGAAGCCACAGTTTAGCTCCCAGTCCACTCTCCTAGCCAAATGCTTTCATCGCTTACCTCTTGATGACCTTGGCAGCCCAAGCTCTCCTCTCACGTTCCTTCCTTGCCATCAGACCTCTCCAGCAGTTCTCAATCTTAGTGGCTGTTTTAACGAACCAAAGTAACATGAACCAATTTAGCCTTACGTGAACGCTTACTTCAGTAATTAAAACACATGTTGCTCATCAATCACCTGCTTCCTTCTGTTTTAGGTAGTCTCCTTTCACCCGGTAGCCTTTATACTTGGCCTGAATTGTTGTTGCTGTAAGAGCAACAGTTCACAACTTTAGTCAGCAATCTTTATTGTTCAAAGCAAATCATCAGAATGTATGAAACCCCGTTTCACCTAGCTTATGCTTGCAGACTTGGAAGGCATCCTCTGTTGCAAACAGAGTTCTGGGGTGGCGGATGAAAATCTTTGTCCTTGAATTACAAAAACCAGTAGCATTAAAGAATAACAACAACCACACATCTGTTTTTGTATGTAAGATCTATGACACCCATCCTCTGACAATGGCCTACCTGCCCATTTTGTACTCATCAGGTTTATAGCCGAGGTATTTGATCAGGCACCGCACACCTTCGGCTGCCGTGCCCCTCCAGTTGGGCCAGGTGTCTGGACATAGAGGCTTATACCTGAGCACAGTAGGGCAGCTGAATGATGATCTTGCATTCAGAATCAACCAAAGCTGATGAAAAAATGCCTCACTACCTCTGGAGGAAGATTTCATATTTACGACGGTAGGCAAACCCAGCACGTCTGACCCTCAGGTGCTCCATCAGACCCAGATACTTAACCTGATGTCTCACCAACACATCATCAAATTGCCCTGCAGGAGGCACCACAACACAGAGAGGTCAGGGCTTTCTGCTGGGTTATCTTGGTACTTTCTTTGGCGTCTTGACTACAGCCGAATACACATTGCTTTTGTATCAGAACTAATTGTCATTTGAACACAAAGCCTCACCTGGCTGCTTGGCTTCATTGGGCTTAATGCAGCGGACATACCAGGGCTCTTTGGACATTAGGATCTCAGTCAGTCCAACCAAGCTGTTCTTAAACTGGGTCACCACCTGAGAAGACACCAGAAAAATGGCAGTGATGTGAGTTCTGGCAGATCCAATCCAATTGCTGAATACTCACGGTTTCAGGTCTCTTTTTGCTGTCTGGTTCAGAGGGAAAACAGCGTCTGATGATGGCGTTCTTGGACTGTCGCATAACCTTAGGAAGAACAGGACAGTTCAACTTAGACAGAAATTTCCTCACAAAATGACTATTGATTTATTTATTAGATTTTTCTTAACTTCTACTCAGGTAAAGAATGAGTCTGGTGAACAATATATATCTTTATCTGAATAAAGCAATAACCATTTAACAGTTTTTGTTTTATTGTAAATCTTAAACAAAAATCACCTCTTTTCCATTTCGATACAACAGATCGTTGTTTTTGTCCAAGAAACCTGAAATCAATAAATCAATCAATACATTTTGAAATTCTGTATTGTTATTGACAAAAAATTTCATTTCAGAATCAGTTAATCATCTACATGTGAGCCACATGTCTCAGATAGAAGCATCAGAACAGACAACTATTACGTTAATCTGATCTCTTACCAACAGCACAGTATGTGACCTCCCCAGCATAGTGCAAGAGGCGGAAGTCTCCTCTTTCCATTGTTTTCCTCGTTTTTTTGTCGGCAAGTTTATGCCTGTGGTAAAGGGAGTATGTATTTAGATGGTTATGGTAATGGTTATGGAGGAAAAGAATCAACTCCACGTGTTGTCATTGAAGCCTGAGAGTATTTGCTCACGTAACAAAATGTGGATGACCACCGATCTTTTCCTCCATCTTTTCCAGGAAGGTGAGGTCTGTGGCCTCTCCAGGGCGTAAACATTCCTCATCCTATGAGGACATAAAGCATCACTCTAGCAGACACAGTTCAGATTTGTGGGTTATTACTCATTTTCGTCTTTACCAGTAAAGAGATGATTCCTCTGAATTTTTCATCCACGAGATCACAGATTATCTTGTTGTTGAAATATGGCACTGATTCCCACTATATAACCAAAAAAATGAGAGCCACTATTGCAGATTTAATTGTATTTAGTGTAAGTTCTGTTTAGAGCATTAGTTACTCCATGAACTGTGAAAGCATGCCAGACTTAATAACTGCTATTACTTCAATCCCTTCCATCTCGTACTCTTCTTGCTCTGATTTGAGGGTCAGCTGGATGAAAAGCTGCTGCAGTTTTTCATTGCAGTAGTTGATGCAAAACTGTTCAAAGCTGAAATGATCAACAAGTGTCGTTAGTATCAGAACCTTTATTTCAGACTTATGAAACAGCTCATAACTGGCTCACCTGTTCACATTGAAAACTTCGAAACCATAAATGTCCAATAAACCAATCACTGTCTTTCTGGAAGAATCCTGCACAAACACGCGCAGACACGAGAAAGGTTTAGGGGTTAGACATGAGATGGTCTGATACACTTGCAAGGAGTATTTTAGCTGGAGCATTAAAGGTATTTCAAAATTACAGGCAGATAATCTGTAGATAAACTTTGCCAGTCTACAATTTCAGTTGGATTAGGAATTAAGAGGGGGCTGCTTTATGGCTCACCTTGTTAACTAATGAATCATTGACCTTGTCCACCAACCAGTTGAAGGTACGGCCATAGATGGCTTTGGCGAGGGCATCCCGGGCATACACTGCATGATCCACGGAGAAGGGGCTGAGCACCTTTATTGTCAGAACAAAAAAAATGTAATTGAATGTAATTTTACACCACAAATAGTAAAAATAAAAAAAAAAGACATATTATGCTTTAGAAGTATCACCTCCTCTGTTTTGGCCTCAATCTTTCTGTGGGTTAGGCCCTCTTTTAACACCTGATGAGGAATCCCCAGCAACTATGTGGTAAAAGTGAAGTAAAAGCAGACAGGTTACATCTACTTAAGGTTTCAATGAGCTAGTTACATGAAAATAGACAAAACATTTCCACAAGTTCGTTTGGACTGTGTGTGGATTTCACCTTTGACACCCAGTGCATCTCCTGGTTGTTGTTGAGTGTGGCATATCCTCGAGCATTTGTTTCAAACTTGACATTTCCCAAGTGGAGCACACTAGCAATGATTCCAAATAGGTGCTAGTTGATGAAAAGAGATACACCGCTTGTTAATCGCCAGTAAATCCGTCGTTTGAAATTCTGTATGAAGTTGAGCTGTGCTACCTCACCTCAGTGTCGCTCTCACTGAAGTCTATGACAGAGAGGGCCTTTCGCACTGTCCTCCAATCACTTTTATCATTAATTGAGCTAACTTTGGCACAATCTCCCTAAAAGAAAGAGAAGAGGAATCTCTAAGAGAGGAGTTATTTTTACACACAAGAAGTCTGAAGCTTTTCTTCGATCTGACCTGCACTAGGTAACGGTAGTTCTTGCAGTTTCTCTCCAGGCCAAGCCACCGAAGCAGGTCATCCTCTCCGCCCTCCACCAGCTGGTAAAAGATGTGGAAGTTTCTCTCCCCGTGGTTCTGGTGGACCACACGAGACTTCTCCAGGAGGTAACTGAGGATGTGACCACCGACGGCTCCTCCCTGAAGAAGAAATGAAGTCTCTGGTCAACACTCTTTCCTGCTATGTTAGTCTATCACGTAATCAGACTGTTTTTGTTTTTCTGGATCCTGACATGCTTCTGAATGTATTAGGATCTACCTGGTGGTCAAACTGGATGTCCATGTATTTTCCAAAGCGGCTAGAGTTATCGTTTTTCAGGGTTTTGGCATTTCCAAAAGCCTATGAAGAAACGAAAGACTTTTAGTAGGCTTACAGAGCACAAAATGTAACGTGTCTGACCCTGTCACTCACTTCAAGCACTGGATTAGACAGAAGCAGCCTGTCCCGGACATTGTTCAGGAGTTTGGTGCTTGGACAGCTGACGGCGTAGAATTGAAGGATTTTCTTGGAGGCCTCTGTCTTTCCGGCCCCGCTCTCTCCTGAGATCAAGATGAAGTGGTTGTTGAACTCAGACAGCATGGTGCGGAAGACGTTATCAGCCAGAGCATATCTGAGAGAAGAGTGAAGCGTGGAAAACAATTCATGTTGAGACAGTATGTGGTTTCATGTCTCTCCTAAGACGGGCAAAACATAAGTTCATCCGAAGGGGAACATGAACATGGGGAAAATACCAAATAATTTCTGAACCATCCTTTTCACTCAGAGCCAGAAGGCTTAACCTAGTAAAGACAGGATCAAGACTGTGAATCGAATCCATTTTAAACTCATTCACTTATTATTGAGACAAAGTCTCATTATGAATTGGAAAAAAAAACTCACATATGAGGCGGCAGCTCAAAGAAGTTTACTCCCATGTACGTATCCATTTGCTTCTTGCTGAACATGTCTAAATCTTTATATGGGTTGACTGAAACGAGGAGAGTCCCAATGTACGTCTGATGAGAAAGCCAGACATTACTTCACATTCTGCAATCATTGCACATTTGATGATAAAAATGATTTTTTCTTAAAGATCACATGACACTGAAATAAAGCTCTCAGTACTGTGTCAGCATATCATTCAGCCACTTAGAACTGTATTTAGTTTTGTCCTTTATCAACAGCAGTAAATTTAGTTAATCGTTTGTCCTGACCCAGTGGACACTAGTGACCTTAAGCATGCTCACTCTGCAAATTAAGAGAACCAGAGCTGCTATCTCAGCAACACGATGCGCCAAATTTATCAGAAGGCAATGATACATGGGGACTTCAGGGGTCATAGGCGGAGGATGGTAAAGTTTGATTAACTTGACAGGAGAAGAGTGAGATTAAACAGGAAAAACTCACGTAAATGAGATTCTCATGGAAACGTTTCCTCAGGTTGTCCAGGAAGGCAGTCTCACTTGTGTAGGCGTCCAGGAGAACAAAATCTTGGATTCCCACCCGATCCCGGGCTGTCAGGGCAGCCTCCATGTTTCTCAGAATCCGGTTACACCGCTCCTCCAAGCTCTGTGTTCATCAGTGATGTGAGAAGAAAACAACAGAACTAAGAGTACAGATACCATGCTATTGTTAGCCCGGGTTTTACTCCTCTTGTCAACACTGGTATTTGTCCAGCCTTTTTCCTGTGTTTCATTTTTCTCTCAAAGTTATCTTTTTTTGGCGGGTGTTCGGGTTGTCAGCACAAGAGACCACCTCAACACAACCTCAACACACACAAATCTCCTCAAACGGATCACTCTCTTCCTGCCTGGTTGTCCCCATATCTGCACATTCCTGTTGGTGGCCGTGGCCACATCCTTTATGGTCATGCGAAATCTAAACTCAGCCACAACTATCTAATCTGCACCGGTTTTCTCAAAATAAGTCATCTTTCTTTCTGGCAGCAAGATAAATGCAAACGCCTCCCCACATCAGATGCTCAGTCCAGACCCTCTGTAATGATTTTTTTCCTATAAATTCCATAGAAGCACATTTCTAGGACAGTAACATTGATTGTCATTGGTTTGCTACTTGATACAGGATGGATTTTTTTTCCAGGTAACTATCAGCAGTGCAGTGCACTGTAATTACAGCTCTATGAAAGAAGCCTCCACTATTCTGCTCCAGCAGCTTGGCTTTCATCACTGCTGAGCTGTAGTATCACCAAGTTCAAGTAACTGGCACTGACAGTTCGTTCTCCATTAAAGCAGGCAGCTGATCTACCGACCCAGCAAAAATTAATGTCAAAATAATTTCCTATTCTGAAAGCCACTTGTGAACTTTGTTAAAACTTCAGTCCTACATTTCACAGGAAAAACTGTAAAAAGTCACTTACCCTGAGCGTCCTGGATGTGCCTATGAGCAGTAAAAATTTTTGTACTGAAGTGAACATCTGGTTTTATTGAGGGGAACACAGGAAACAACGATAGATTACAGACACGACTTCCTTCAATAGGAAACCATCAATAATGATGTGTGTTCAGCAAAGGAAGTAAGCCAAATTCTAAATATGTGTTTTATTTTGTGTTTTGGGACAAAATAAGTTTTATTTTGATGTAATATGCAGCTGTGGTAGGGAAACAAAAAATAGAAATGCCATCCTAAGCTACCAAAACATTATGATTTCAAATTCACATTATATATAACTGTGATAACCATAACAAAAATGTCTCTCTATAGGTAGCTTTAGAAACTTTGTAACATTACAGCTGTAAGATTTAAAGCAGGCACCTGAATTATCAAGCACAAAACTGAGCTTTTCTGTCATCGAAAGGAAACGTGACGTCTGATGATCTCACCATAGGCAGGAAAAACAAGTGATGTAATGGGTTTGAAAATTTGACAAATATCAGTGACAAAGAAAGAGGAAAACTGTCCTAGCAATATTGTAGTTCAGTTTTAAATTAGATGGCCCAGACTGACTAAATTGAAGGTCATTGAAAAAAGCACCAAAACCCAACTATCATAAACATCACACTTGAACAGGAAAGTCTATCTGACCGACAGAGCATCACCTGAGAGGGCTAACCATTGTCCATGTCTATCCAATAAGGTGCAGGATCCTGTTACGCAGCCACAAAGTGGCAGTTAGGTTCCTGAAAGAGATAGCACTCCTCGTGGGTCATTGACTGACACTACACATCACCCACGGCAACACACATTTAGGGACTCCAGGTGTCCAGAGAAACCTGACCTTAAACAGGCCCCCATGGTACCAGTCAAATGCTTTACCTCCTCAGTTGGTGCTGTTTTACTCTAGCATGTACAAACAAGTGTTGACATGATGACCAAGTTTGGATAAATGCTTGATCTGCTGCATGGTGGAGAGGAACAATTTGGCTTCTGCTAAATAAGAAATGTGTATTCTATTCAAAGCAGTAGCTTGCAATATTGGGATATCTTTTTTAACTAATCTGTTTAAAAAATCCCTATTTGGCCAAACTATCAACTCCTGACACAATTTCACTAGTAAGAAATCTTAATTGAGACCATGGACCGGCAAAATGTGCATTTAAAGTTGTGTTCCTTGTTATTTTTCCTTTAGTTTAGATCTCTGTTCATGTGCATCACTTCAAAGAACATTTGAATACAGTTGCCAGAACACTAAACCAAACCTGAAACAGAAGCCGTTTATCTCATCCAATCTTGCATAGTAATGCATGCACATGCAAAGAAATACTACTGAAAACCCTTTTCATCCACTGGAATTGCAGTACCCTTCTGTAATTATCAACTAAACTCAGCTGCCTACAGTTAAACATAGGATTGTAGATCCAAAAACAGTGCAGATATGTACTCTTCCAACAAAATAATAGGCTAAATGTTACCAAAATGCTCTGCTGCATGATGAATCTATGGAGATCATTCACTTGACAAGTATTAATGTAAATTCAATTTTTTTTTTTAAACTTCTGATTACACCACTTAACAGAAACAAACAAGCAGAGAGACTTTAAGAATATTTAAAAATGTTATTTTTCTTAACGTATTAAAGGCATATCACTTGCAAAAATAGTTCATTCATTTTAAAATGTAGCAGATTTTTAATCTTGTGATTTACCTCCTTCACTTCCAAAGCCTTGTGTGTCATGGTTGAGTCTGTCATCTTCGTCGAGCCTTTTTGGGAATATTCCAATTTACTCAATTTACTCAGCCTCAGTCCAAAGGTAAACAACCCAGGGCAGCAGCTTTAGTAACTAAGGAGTTCTTCCATAGCAGAGCATCATCAAGTCAACACTGGTATTTCACTAATAATCCATTATCTTCAGTAATGCTTATTTGTACATATTCTAAAAATTGCCCCAGAGCAAACCCAATACCGCAGCATGGGACAGAAAGGCACAGAAAGAGGAGGAGTAGGGTGGAGTTATGGCGTTTCTGCAGTGGGGGCTGGCCTGCGTTGCTGGTAATGATGCCATAATGAACTACCTGGCTACACTGGGCTGCTTAAACATTCATGGAGCCCAGGCAGCAAACATTCATTCAGCGCTTCATCTGAGTATTCAACTACGTGTTTAAGGAAGTGTGCATGTGTGTGTATGTGTGTGTTTGTGTGTGTGTTTGCAGGAATGTAACTCAAGGATGTTGTAACTTCATCCACCCAGAGACCCACTCTCACCCTCCTCCCCACAAAATTACAGTAGAAGTATTCAGTTACTGATCTTTGATTAGGCAGATACCTTTCAAACTAATTACCACCAGCCAATTAAAGCTAGATTGGTTTAGCCAATTTGGAAGTAATCGATTAGTTTAGAACAATTTTAAATTGAAATAGAGATTAAAATACAACCGAGATTAAAATGCATTTTTATGAGCTCTTAATCATGTAAGTTTGTAAATCTATGTTGTTGTTTTTTCCATTGTTGTTTATTGCAGGGTTTCAATGCATCTACTGTTCAGAGGCTCTTTTTTGATTAATTTTCATTTCATAGTCTCTTGAACATTTTCCAGAGACAGGTCCACGTTAATCTTGTTATCAGTATCATGAGCATTAATGCAACCAAATATGTATTGATAACAAATTACATTTCCCTGCCAAATTAGGCTGTAGAAAGCAACTTAGTCCCTCAACCGAGTACCCCTCATGTAGATAGAAACCAAAGCTTATTAACCCAAAAACCATTTTCCCCCAAAATTGATCAAATTCATCCATTTTTTACTTCAACATGTTAAGAAACAATTGATTCTTTAGCAACATATTTGCCAATGAAAAACTCTGCCTCTGCGAGATGCTCTATGTGAAACTAGCCATGTTATCAGGATGTATCTCATGGACTATTTACTTTTTTAGATACATTTTAGGACCGAGCAAATTTGAAAGTCTTTTGTGTTGGGCAACTACATTTTTTCGTTTTCAGTTTACAGAATAATTTTAGCATCATTTTTTTTTTTCAAACTAATTTTGTCAAATCTTTGCATTTGGTTTGGATTGGACATATCAGAGAGCAACTAACAAAACTGTTAACAATGCTTTTCAGTGTGAGACAAAGACCTGATAACAAAAATTTGGAATGATGCAACTCCAGCAGACGCCGCCATTTGCTCAGCCTCATCAGTAGAGATTGCATCTGGTGGCTCAGCTTTGAAAGACAATGTAATGTTGTCTTCCAATTCCCTGTGTTTAAAATTTAACATAGTTTCCTGAAAGCATCAGCTCATGCTTCTTACATTACTGCTTCATTATTGGTGATAACACAAAGTGACACAGGAGAGCATGATGGAAAAGTTGTCATTAACATAATGTATTCCGTTATGTAAACAAAGTTGGATTTCCAGGATCCTGTCAAATTTTAAAGCGTATGACCGTGTATGACACGCGGAGACACACACATGCACGCACACGCACAGCCCCAATGAAAATGAACAGGGATTCAGGCATTTGGTCGTTGCACAACAACGACGGTTCGGATTTCTGGTAGTAAGTCACAATTGTTACTAACTGGAAATGATAACCTTTATGGACAGGATTTCTTGCCACGGCCAATAATGTGACATGTTTGTTCTTTGCAGCTGATGTGGTCTTTTTGGCCTCATCAGGTAGAAGGCTGCAGCACTCACTGAGGCAGTTTGGATGGGACTGTGAAGGATAGCTGTGATGGGAATTAGCACAGATTAAAAAGGGAAATTATGCATTCTATGAATTGTATCCTTTGAAGACGGAGCTGAGGTATTTTGGGGTTTTGTTGTCAAGTTAGAATAGAATGAAACCAACAGATCAAGGCAACATCTGGAATGATGTGTATGTTGCATCAGTATAAGGAAAGGCCCTCACTGATTAGCATTTCAACACTTAACTAGAACCCTGGTTGGTGCTAAAATCCTAACTGTTCAGAGGGGCCAGCCTGAGCCAAGGCACATTGAGTGGAAAATTCCCGTTAATAAACCAGTGATCACCCAAATGCAAAGTTGGTTTGGGCATCTTTAAGGATGCCTGGAAGTGCCCTCCAAAAATGTACCTGCAGTGGTTTGGTGGTAACACATCACTCAGAAGAGGGGTGACAACTCTTGGCTTAAAACAGTAAGTGCATCAAAACATGTTTATTTTATACATTTTTCTTAAGAATTTCATTCATTTCAAACTACAGGGATTCTTCTAATATTGTTCACAACAACTGAAATCCGCAACCCTAACCTAAAGTAGACCACTGAATATGGGACAGAACGTGCCTCTGAAGAATAAGCGAGGACAGAACAGTTCTGAAAATAAGATCATTATTTGCTGCAGGTACACACTGTCGCCAATGTCACATCTAACAGATTAACAACATGCTAAATAAAACCAAATAACTGACACCTACAAATGTCTGAACCTTTTCATTTATGTAATAGAAACTGTTTTTCAGAGCTGATGATTCCTGACTGGTGGGATTGCAAAAAATGTCCTTTATCCACCTCTTATTAGAATAGATGTTGGAACAAATATTCCCACCCTCAGTTGGCAAACATATTGCCATCACCGGGGCGGGACAGCTGTTGGTTTCATAAGTGGTGCAGTTAGTTAGGAAATCACAACGTTATATAGAGCACTGCATTAAAAGATCAAATTGTTGGGTAATAAACCTATTAATTAAAAACCCATGTAGAGGAGAAGAAATTATAACCAAACCTATCATACTAAATCCTTACCTCGAATTCCATGTTGTACTTCTGTGTAGAAGCCAAAAGCTCTGGTGAGTTTCTGTTTCGCAGTGAGCCTGACGGGGCGGCTGATGTTGGGGCAGAGGGATGCACTGTATTCTACCTGTTCTGTATTTATGGTTGTCCCATAATGCAGCAGCCTCAGCATGTCCTCTACTGTCCTACTTTTCTACCACTTCTAAGGTTGGCCTTATTCAAGTGTGAAGGATCAAAAGACTCAAGCTCCCAAAAGCAATAGAAAACTATTGAGAAAAAGCTTTAGTTAAGTGACTGTTCAATAAGTCATGTCTAAAGGAGATGACAACACATCTCTAAAAAGGAATTTGAACGTGACAAATAAAACATATTATAGTGTGATCATGATTCATTTAATGAGATGTAGGAGTTCCTCTGAAGTTGAAGATAAATGCATAACCAAAAAATAATAATTCCATATTTTTCTGAAAGGTTCTGTTTAAATGTTTGCCTTTGGCATTTGAATACTCAGTTATGAGAGTTATCACACATATGTTTAGAATACCTAAAAGCAGCAGTCTTTTCAGATGTCTGGCTTTTGAACAAACAACAGGATGAGAGCACAACCTGCTGTTAACCAAAGGTTATGACATACTGTTCATTTGGCGCGGGTGGAAGTCAAGCTGAAGACTTCTGTTTCAGCTGTCAGCATTCATACTGATGTGGGATTGGGATTCATAGAGAATTTTTAGTTGATCTCTCGCTTCCTTCTTGGTAAAAATTATATTCTAGAACTACCAAGAAATAACAAAAAAAAAATCTATAAATCATGCCATTATTTATATCCTCATTCTGTAATAATAATGAGCATTGTTTCTTTTGTTAAATAAAAAATTAAGATATTTGGTTTTATTTCTAGTTGAGTCTAAGGTGAGCATAGTGGTTTCCATTCTTAAATGAGAAAAGAACTTAAAATCAATTTATCCTTGATCGAAATTAAAAATGCATTGTATTGATGCATTAATATTCCTAATAATTCATATATGTCTATGTCTTGAATAAATATATTTGTTATCATTTTGAGGTTATTCAGAGTTTTCACAGCTTCTGTTGTTGTAATGTGATTTTGCTGCTTTGTGGCCCGGCCCTTTAAGGAACTGCCCTCCCACAAGCACCTGAAGAATCACTGCTGAGTTTCCTGCTTGTGCCCCGCCCCTACCTGTCCCTACATGCATTGTTTTCTGAAGAGGTGTTTCTCTGAAACCTTAAGTGCCTCACAAACAGGTTTTCCCACGAATGACTGGCATGGTGTGAGCTGGGCTCCTGTTCCAAGCTGTCCACTGCAAGACTAAAATGGACAAGTGGGCCAAATCAGCGAATATCACTTACAAGAGGTGGAGAAACTCTGATGCTGGGTAAAACAACATCATTTTTTCCGTCTTACTTATTGGGCATATATTTTGAAAGAATTTAAATCTGTGTGTGTTTGTGTTACATCCTCATTTATGCAGGATTATGTTGCAACGTACCGTTGTACATTGTTAAACCAACCTTTTGTGCTGTATTAATGCTTGGATGTCCCCTACTGTGCGCTGACCTGTAGGAATGAGTCAGACTTTGTGAGCCACATCGATGAGGACCAGGGCACAGACAATGAGATCTGTACGATAGCCACAGCAAGAGCTGCCCCTGTGGGCCACCAGTCTGCAAATGGCTCTGAAATGAAGAAAACTGAAGGTTAGTAAAACACTGCTTTGTCATTGTTTTGCCAGCTTGCTCTTGAAAAGCGAGAACCACAGTTAACATATACAAAGGCTGTCGTGTCAACATCAGCTGAAACTGAGTTTTTCAGATGATTTCCTGAGGTAAAAGTATAAAGGCACATCTAACAATAATTTGTTGCTGAGAGTAATTATCTAAGTCAAAGTCTCATTTCTAAATTTTGCAATGTCATCTTATCGGATGATTATTTTTAGATTTCTTTACTATTTATTTATTGTTTTTGTTTGATTTCTTTTCACTCATAAATCTATAAGAGCGCCTCTTGTTTGTATCAATAGTCTGAGTTAAGTTTAGATTCTGGGTCAGCAGTTCAGTCATTGGCTGTTCTTAGTGGAAAAACTCTTAACATGTGATGTGTTAACATAATGATGATTTTAATCCATTCCTGTTGAGACGTGTATTTACAGATGGGGCTGATCAGGCTTTGACTGACTTACCTTACCTCTTACAGGAACCTTTACAGTAGACGATGCAATCGAAGCCATTGGATTTGGAATTTTTCAGTGGAAAATCTCGCTCCTCACTGGACTGGCATGGGTAAAGATGCTTAAAAATTCAAGATCGACTTTTCTCTGTGAAATACTCATTCTTCGAATCTCTCTGGTTTAGATAGGAGACGCCATGGAGATGATGATCCTCAGCATCTTGGGCCCCCAACTGCACTGTGAATGGAGCCTCCCCAGCTATCAAGTGGCACTCATAACATCGGTAAAGCTGTTTTTGGATACTTTCAGGAGCCTTTTGATTTATGCTATATATGCAACAATATGTATTTGTTTTGGTTTTTTTAGGTGGTTTTCATTGGTATGGGGTTTAGTTCACCTGTATGGGGGAATGTGTCCGACAAGTATGGCAGAAGAGTAGTAAGTATCAGATTTAGTATTTTTTACTGTGGGTTTAATGATTCCTCAGCATTACCTCACACATTTTCTGCATTTTCTCTGTTGAAAGGGTCTGACTGTTTGCATGTGTTGGACTTTTTTCTACGGCCTGCTGAGTGCCTTCGCTCCAGTCTACGGCTGGCTCTTGTTCCTGCGAGGCCTTGTAGGCTTTGGCCTCGGTGGAGCTCCTCAGTCGTGCGTTTTCTTCTGTCACCATGCACAGCTGGACATGTTGAATTATTCCTCAATGAGGGAAAAAAATTTTTTAACACAATCACTTCTTTTTAAGGGTGACTCTCTACTCTGAATTCCTGCCGGTGAAGTCCAGAGGGATCTGCATCATGCTGATTGCGGTACTGGCAATTTGACATTAATCAGACAATTAGCACCTAAATATGCGATCTGACTGAGATTGTGACACACAAATTTCTTAAGTCTTTTTGTTTGTTTTCCTCAGGCTTTCTGGGCAATAGGTGCAGTGTTTGAGGTCCTCCTGGCCCTGTGGATAATGCCCACTCTGGGTTGGAGGTGGTTACTCGGCCTGTCCACCATACCAGTGGCAATCTTTGTTTGTTTTTGCTTTGTGAGTATGCTGGTGGCTATCAGAGTTCTATATCATAAAACCTCCCGCAGACAAATATTGTGTTTTACTGTGTTGAACAGTGGCTGCCTGAAAGTCCCCGTTTTGATGTGCTAACAGGACGGCGGGAAAAGGCCGTGGAAACATTGACTCGTATAGCTAAAGAGAACGGCAAGGCTATGCCTCAGGGAAAGCTGATCGACTATAAACAGGTAAGATGAAGGACAAAGGTCTCTTTTTGGGGGGGGAAACACAATGACGAGCCTTAAGTATTCACCTATGAATCTTCTGTTGGCTATTAATTTCCCAGACTGATCGAGGACAGATCAAAGATCTCTTCACTCCTCAATACCGGAGGACTACTATTCTTCTGTGGTTTATATGGTTAGTCTGAAAAACAGATGCTGTACTTTGCCCTGAACTTTGTTTAATCACGTATTCTCATCAAGTGTAACTATTTAATCAGGGATTGGCAGCTGCTCATTGGTGCAGTGTGCATCAGCTGCTCTGTGGCTGAAAGCAAACACAACTGAGACAATGTCTCCATCACAAGCTTTAGGATACAATCGTTAATAGATCAACACTTAGTTTTAAAATACAATTGATATTTAGTCTTAGGTGACATACAAGTAGGTACAACAGTTTTGAGCTGTCCTCCAGTTTCCTATGTGTTCTGTTCACTAAATTCACACAAACACACAAAGCACCTTGAAAGCTGCAGTTAAAGGACAGAATGTGATTATTCTTTTTATTGCTTTACTGTCATCCACCTTCACACGTCACATTTCAAAAACAGCTGTTGCTATTTTATCCCAAGGTTTGCGAATGCCTTCTCTTATTACGGGATTGTGCTGTTGACCACCGAGCTGTTCCAAGCAGGAGATGCATGCGGAGGTGTGTAACATCTTTCTTCATGATGATTGGATGTGTCCTGAATGTGAGCAAAATAATGATATGAAATTGGTCTCCTTCCTTTACAGTGACTCAAGGAGCCAAGATCGAACCTCACTGCAGCCTTGAATGCAAATATTTGACATCAACCGACTATAAAGACCTTTTATGGACGACGCTGGCTGAATTTCCAGGTGAAATACCTCCAATCATCTTGGCCTACAAGCATAGTATGCACATTAAATTCCAATTCGAACTCGCACACAGAGCAGGGTGAACGTTTCTTCTCAAAATGAAGCTTTGTCACAATCTAGAAAATGGTGATGGATTTCTTACTAAAACTTGTATCTTTTCACCCCACTTCTATATTAAGGAACAACAATTACCATTCAGACTATGTTAAATGGCCTTAAACATGACTTTAGAAGCAGAAAACGACGATCGTGCTATTTAAACTGAATGAACTTGTCACTTCTCAGGTCTGAAGTGTTCAGTTAAACGTGAAAGTGAGATTGGCAAGACTTGAAAAGCATAGACTAACATGACTTTCTTTTTCAGTGTCTTAAGAGCTGCTAACTGCCAGTTTTCGTTCATTGAAGGTCTCTTCGTGGTTTTTCTGGCGGTTGATTATCTGGGCAGGAAGAAAAGCATGGCGCTGTGTTTCTTCATGTTTTCCTTGTGCGTTCTACCGTTGTTTGCTTGCATTGGAAGGTGAGCAGAACGTCTCTCGTTCAAAACAAAAGCCACACAAAGACTTACCATGCCTCTAACGCCCTGTGTCTCTTTGTCTTTTGTTCACGCAGGATAGCTCTCACAATCTTTATCTTCATTTCAAGAGCTTTCATCTCTGGAGGATACCAAGTTGTTTTTGTTTACACACCTGAAGTATGCATCTTCATTACAGGAAGCACATTTATAGACTAGTTGATTATGACTAAACGTGCTCCCCTTCTGTTATCTTAGGTGTTCCCTACAGAAACCAGAGCTTTAGCAATGGGGACAGCCAGTGCAGTGGCTAGGCTGGGTGCCCTGATCACGCCCTTTGTCGCTCAGGTATGCAGAACTATTTGATGATCCTGTTTTTGGAAGTATGACATGTTGTGAGCATTCTTTTAATTCTTTCAACTATACAGAAAGATGCATTGTTAACAACACGACACCATCGTTCAGGGGAGCAACAAAAGCTATCCCATTCCTTCTAATGTGCACTGCTGATTTTCTCTTTTCTGAAGGCTAATGTCAGAAATCTTATCAGTGAACAAAGGGCTGAGAGGGCTATTTGAGATGGTCACTGTCACATGCATTGTTGAATTGACCAATGATTGAGGTCTGTCAGTAAGGACATTTTTTACCTATGTTTACTTGTCGCTATTGTGAAATCATCCTCCTTCACCGAGTTCAACTGGTTTTTCCTGTAATGTTTGATTTTAATTTTTTTCTCCATACTTTGGTTAATCTCCTCTACTAATTCACCTGCCAGGCACATCAAACTGGGCAACAAAAATCAGAGAGCCTGGGTTCTTCTGATTTTACCCCCTTTTCTGAATGTATTCCAATGGCAGTTTTCATTCATTCTATAGGTCTTTTTATGGTTATTTGATATGGTGTCCTGAACACTAAGATATGTACACATACCATTTGTTTTGTTTTGTTTTTTCAGGTGATGCTCAGAACATCTGTGTATTTGACCCTGTCTGTGTACTGTGGCTGTTGTCTGCTGGCTGGCATTGCGTCGATGATCCTGCCCATTGAGACGTTAGGCAGAGGTCTACAAGAATCCAGCCTTGACCAGTCGGACGGAGCGCAGACAGACAACACAACCAGCCATACATATGGTTCCACACACTCTGCAGAGCAGCCATAGGTCAATAAACAGGAAGAGGATCTCATTTATTTTTTTTCTTCCCTTCAGAGACTCTTGCAGATGCCACATTTATTTATGTAACAATGGGCTTAATCATCTGAATGATGACTGGTAAAGAGCAGCAAAGGACAATCTCATTACAGACTGGGAGTGATAATTGGGAGCTTACTGCCCATGCCTAACGAGAGCGAAACACGTTTGGTCTTGGACTGTTTTTGTTTAGTCGTGTATTTAGGTCATGAGAAGAAACAGAGGGACAATTTGAAAAAAGTATTTTGAGCCAGAGAGACTCCACTTTGAATATTTGAACCCAAACCTCATGAGACTGAGAAAGTAATTCTACGGGTGTCAGCTAAAAATATTTATGGTATTTATTTATATTTGAAGCCACAAGATTTTCATTACTTTGAACCAGTTTTGGTAAAGATGTAACAATGTGGGTTTGGATTGTTGACAATCTAATGATTGTCCTTTTTAAAGTATGAACAGTTCTCACTATTTGTTTGTTTGTTTGTATTTTTCATTTTACTCCAAATAGTTGGAGAATAATCTTTTCATTTCAAATTATTTGGTGATGTTTATGGTGAAGAATCACAGAAGGAGCCCTACATGTAAAATCCTTTTTTTAATTAAAAGAGTATATTAAGTAGTTCTTCAAAACGTTACACAAACTACATGAAGTATTCATGTGATTGTTTTGCAATGAAAACAATGACATGAAGGTAAGGTAAGTTGGAATAAAAATGTATCTCTTAAATTTATATATACCTATATATATATCATCAGCTCTATATGTATTACATGTTAGCCATAGAATTTGGTTTGACAAAGCAATTGCAAACAATCTACAATAAACATTAAACAGCAAATCTGAACATAAATACAAATTCACGGAGCCATGAACAAAGGATAAACATTTGGTTCCAATATGATATTGGAATTACTGAGATACTGGAAATACTGAGATGAAAATCTCAGTATTCTCCTGGGCCCACAAATATTAGTTGTTTTTTTACGTCTGAATATTCGAATGGACCATTTCAGAGGACTTTTTCATTTTTGCTGGGAAAAAGAAGACGGCTGTCAATGAATAAGGATGAATCGTTTCGTCAAAAAGTGTACACAATACTGTAAACGGACGATTTTGTTTATTTCTTGCTGGGTTCCATCAAAGGAGCAGAATTCAATTCTACATTTTATGGGAGTCTCTAGTCTGTTCTGTCACCTTGACAACATTGGCCCAATGACAGCGCACACGCGAAGTGGGCCAGCCAATCAGAGGCGTCCGGCAAAGCTGCGTGTCCTTTCTGCCCCGCTCGCAACCTGCACTGTGTTTTGTTTGTCTGTCTGCGCCAGTAGTGAAAAACACGGAGGGGCCGTGGGTGGCGTTCAAATGGTTTAACGACTTCCATTCGTCCCGCTCATGAGGACGCCGGTGACCACGGAGTATCCGCCCAGCAGGACTGCGAGGGAGCGCCGCCGGACTGCGGCGTCAGGTGCTGCCGGGAGGAGAGTCTGACTAGGCATTTTCTACCCGGTGACAGAGACTATCGCAGCGGTGCATCTCCTCGGATTGGCGTCCTCGCGCCCCTCGCCGCTCCCCTCCCGCCCCGCACGGCTGCAGCCCGCCGACCATGGCCCTGGTGACTCTGCAGCGCTCCCCCACCCCAAGTGCAGCATCCCCGGCCAACAGCAGCGCGGGGGAGGTGAGTGGAGGAGCAGGGGCTGGGTCTTTGTGCCAGGAGAAGGGGGGGGAAACCGCTGAAAACGCCGAAAATGACCCGGCACGCGCCGGGTTGCGTTTACTGTCCTTTGCAGGGGGGAGGCTCGACTGGAAGCTCTCCCAAAGAGTGTTTGTGTGCTGTGTTTTGGAACTTGGGAGGCTGCTTCTGCTGCATTGTTCCGGCGGAGTTCACGGCTGCGTGTTTGTGGCATCTGTGCAGAGGATTTGTAAACAAAATCCCGCAGAGGGAGAAGGGGGGCTGCTGGGTTGAGCTGTCAAGACAAAGTGCTCATTTTGCTGCGCTGCGCTCAGGTCGCCCTGGCTCCCGTTTGCAGGGATTTGGTGTTTCAGCCCTTCGGCCACAGGGCTGGACACTGTTAGGGCGAAAGCCCCCCGTCCCAGAACGGTGTCCCCTGTCACCCAGTGCCTGTTTAGTGTTTGTCCATTTAAAGAAGTGTCTTTTAAAACACCGGAGGGCCTTTTGCCAGGTCCTACCTTCCTTTTCCCCCCATTTTTTCACATCACCAGACAGGAAACAATTAACCTTAATCATAACTTTAAAAAGACTTCTATTGAGGTTGAGGAGTTCCAGTGAAATCATAGTGGTACTGCTCCAGTTTCTCATTTTTGGAAAGTAGATTATGGGCCCTGAAGTAGGATGACTAGACAGTGGTGCAAAAATGACCTGGCGCCCGTCTTCCTTTGAAGATAAGTGGGCTCCTACTATCGCTTTCTCACACAGCAGATGTTCTGTAGGCAGAAAAGGAACCATTGGATGTGGTCTTTAGGCACACCAAAGATTCAGCTGTCAGCTATTTTGGACTTTAGAGCAGATCTTTTCACAGTGGTGACCAGCAGATGGTGCTGGCAGGCTTAACTCCTTCTGTACAAGCAAAAAAACAAAACAAAAAGAGCAGTTGATGAAAAGCAGCAATATGTTTTATGATAGCTGTTTTCTTGTATTGTCGAAAATTAATATTATTCCTGAATTTTCATGAACGTCAGGGCTCAACTGCTCAACTGATCCACCTAGACTGCCACAAAATTAACTGCCTGTGCTCTGTTTCCTTCTCTTTCAGGATTTCGGAAGTGATGATGACAGGAAAAATAATCAGAGGTAAGATTTCTACATAAAGTACGTTCACAAGAAACTGGAAGGAGCGACAGCTGGTCTGGCTTTGTCATGACTATCATGAAGTTATCAGCTCTGTTTCTGCACACTTTTGGAAATGAGAGGCAGCGCACGTTCACGTTAAGGGAGCAGTCGTGATCACAAGTCAGTTACCAGCTTCCAGAGTCACAGAATCCCATATGACATCAGCTGGTCCACTGACTATAGTCACCTGCTTTTTTTTTGTTGTAAACTCAGTATTTAAATACACTGAACACTCTACTTGTGCATTTTAAATTTCCTCCCACCTCCATATTACATTTTTAGTTCATAAGCAGCTGCTGATATATTTTAGTCAGTTACGTTTCTTCCAAATGCTCCGTCCACCATTGATTCTATATTAGTTACAGTTGCTTTGGAATTTGAATAAGGATCTGAAAATTAGGACAGTTAACTGCAAAAAAAGCACTTTTTCGTCTGTTTTCTGTGTCGACGGCTCTGAATATGCAGAGCAATAGACTGCAAAGCTATGTGACGTTTGCCTTAATTATCAAAGCCCATTCTGGGAGGCGTTGAGTTATTTGTCCTGTCCTCAGTCCTACAGAGATGCTGCATAGTCAGCCAGTGTCGCTGAGATTCTGAGTTGGATTTTTGTAAGGGCTCCTAAGTTCTCACTGTGATCACATGACAAAGGAGGAAAAGCTGATGCAGTGTGACACATTTTTCAAATAAATATTCTTGTTCTCAGTCGCATGACAGAGTAGATCAACATTTATCCCTGTTTGATTCTAAGGCTTTCCTTTAACCAACCGAACGTCACAGAAATCACGCCAATTGCCAGAAAACCCGGATTCTGTCTTGGTTGTGTGTTTGTGCGGGTTGTAACGGCCGTGTCGTGCTTTGTGATTCTTCGGTGTGGCGTATTGATTCAGGGTGCTTGATGTAAAACATGAGCTTGTCGCCAAGTCACATTCCCGCCGCCTGCGCACGCTCACATGAATGACGGCATTGTTCCACAGCGCTGCACAGGCAGAGCTGATGGCTGAGTCACACGCTGCCAAGCCGAGAGCGGGAGCTGATTCTGAGCTGCTCCGGCCGGCTGCACGGCCACGGACGCTTCAGGGCCCCGGGATGAAAGAAAGCCACGGGAGGAAGAGGGGAAGGACTTTCCAGGCCAAGACAGGAGTAGGGAAGTTTAACCAAATAGTGAGGAACCTGCAGCTTTTTTAAGATGGACGCACGGGCGTTGGTGAGCAGGGCCGGTGTGGGGAAGCCTGACTTTTTCTGAGGTCAGGGTGAAGGATAGGAGCAGCAGGATGCATCTAGTCGTGAGATCTCCGCATAGAACCGTGTTCGCCGTGCTGCCTCGCTTTGTGGAGAAAGCTGCTCTGACTCAGACGGAGATCTGCCGCATGTAAGTCCTCAGACCAGCATGAGCATGGAGACTCTGCTGGGGAAAGTTTTATGATGGGGAGAAGTTTGAAGCAAATGCTCCACATTGTAAACGCAGGCAAGAAAATCAGCCGTTTTCCTCTCAACACTGTATTTAGCCTGTGAGTGTAGACTGCACTATCCAAGACTTCTCGGGCTGTTTTCCTTTCAGATTTAGGGCTTTGTAGACACAGACGTCGGCTCACCGATGCGCCACTTCATCGTGCGATGCCAGGTTTTACACACACCTGAGGCGCAGCGTGCTGGGATTAAACTTCAACATTAGACCACAGCACAGTTACGAACTGACGCTGAAGCCCCGAGCCGTCTTGCGCCCCTCTCAGTCTTTTCCGGGATAGCTGGAGCAATATGTGCTTAGGATCAATCTTAGGATCAATGTCAACCACGAAACCTGCTGCGGTTGAGTCCATTTCACATTTGTTGGTGTTCTCGGTCTAATTTCCCGAGGGATCCCATGAATTGCCGCCGCACACCTCGTTGTGCTGTGAACATGTGTCCCATTTCAGCGCACAGTTCAAATCAACATCAGACGTGTGACAGTCGCTGTCAGGGGTGGGAAACGTCAGATCCGACCTGTGGGGATTCCTGGGTTAACTGCGACTCGCATGCAGTGCGTCGATAGCGACTGCCCTTTTTTCCTTTTTTTTTTCCCCCACAGAAACTTTTTTTCTGCTGCTGTGTTAAGTTTGCACATCAAGCATAAGAGTTAATTTAGCCAGTTTCGTCAAACCAAACCACGCAGCAGGGAGTACAAAAGGCCCGGTGATGGTCCCACCCAGTCAAACCAGACTTTGTGTGGATTTGCTGAGGGAGCAATGAGACCGCGGGTAAACAAAGCCGGGCTCTGTTCGGCCGGAGAAAAGATCCCAGAGCTCTCCTCCTGCTGCTGTCGTGTCAGTGTTTTAGCTCAGCGGCGTGTCCGTGTGGCCTGATGTGTGATCCATGACGGGTCGGCACGCCATGCCGAGCCCATCAGGTGCTGTGGAAACACGGAGCTGTAAGACAGGTCCGGAATATTCTGACATCAGCCATAGATGAGCCTTTTGTCCCGTTCCATGAGGCAAGGAGAGCAACAAAAAAAAAACACTTTGAGACATGTATGAAGTAACTTTAATGCTTTCATCAATCAACACGAAGACATAGTCCATTTCTAGATTAATTTTCCTTGGTTACTCAGGCATGCCTACTACAGTCATTTGGATGCAAGTTTTAAAACCACGTCAAACAAGTCCCAGTTTTCCTAAAACATAACATCTGCTGACCATCTCATATCAGCCTTGCCTACCATGTTATAGACATGTTATCAGCAACCCCTGACTTGTGAGGCTTTTATTGTACTGACTGTAATAAATGCAATTGATTTAAACTGGAGAGAATCTCAATCCCTCACTTTACATGTATCTGCTGCCACCATTTGCTGCTTCTTTGCCGTCTTGTCACTTAGAAGCTACAAGTGACAGAGGAACATCTTTCCCTTTTCTCTTTCCCTCCTGCTGCTTTCTCCTGAAATTTCTCTCCTTTTGCATCTGGTCTCTTTCCAGCCTCAGTGAGAGCTTCTTCATGGTCAAAGGGGCCGCCCTCTTCCTCCAGCAGGGCGGCAATGCGCAAGAACCAAAGACTCCAACCCACCACAAACATGCAGGTAGGAACAAACACAAACACACTCAAATCTTTGTTCCTCTTGCGCCGGCTCTCATTCCCCGCACATATAAGGCCCGAACAAAAGATGGATTGTTTTTGCCGCAGCGGTTTTGTCTGTGGGTTTGTCTGGCTTCGTTATGGACCGTGTTAGGAGCCGTTACCTTGTTTGCTCTGGCCTGAGGTGCCCTGCAGCTAAACAGCAGAAATACAGATATACTTTATCCTTTGGAGGACTTAAGTACATTTGCGCAATTTGTACAGTATACTGCAAAAACATTTCAAAATAGTCGTAGTCAAAACCGGCTTTTTCAGCTTTTCTTCTGCCGAATCAAAGATTTTTCCAGTCAGTTTGTTTCCATCAGATTTGAATCTTTCTCTCTCGAGTCTGAAGCCATTTGAGGACAACAGCAGACGAGAAGTGAGAGGTGGGTGTGCAGAAAGCTCAGGCATTATTCAGCTAAATCTTCAGGTCAGCAAAAGTCAGAAATCAGCACTTTTAGCATTTTATGCAACTCTCACCTAAGCGTGGGCCGCTGCGGCAGGAAACCCCCCCTCTGAAGCAGGATGCGTGGAAATAAGAGCTCAATGATCAATGTTAAGAGTGGGTGATCGATGTAGGTCAATTTGGAAGTTGTTGTTTTTTTTAACAACTAAAGCTCATTGGCCTGTAGAATCAAAATATCTGAAAAAAGACCCAAGCATAGAAGACAATGCATCTAGTACAGGAAGGTCCTGTGCTGTCATCCGGTCTGAAATCACTGTTGATGATTTACTTCCAGGTGATTTGCCCCAACACCTCCAGGTCATGTTTAAAATCCTCCGGTCTGAAGATCGCATCAAGCTGGTCAGTATAAAGATGCTGTGACATTTGACTGTATCTTAGTTACTGTACATATTCACATATTCATCTAAAGCTGTCATAATCCCAATTATTTCTGGTCTATTGGCAGTTAAATACACCACAATTACATCAGAAATACCCCTAAGTTAAAGGAAAAATCTTATATGTTCATATGTTTTATGTTGTTCATCTTTTTATTCCACAGGCTGTGCGGTTAGAGAGCAGTTGGTCGGATCGAGTGCGTTACATGGTTGTTATCTACACCAATGGCCATCAGGACACGGAGGAAAATATTGTCCTAGGCATGGATTTTACAGAAAAGGACAGGTATAATGTCTCAACAGCAATGCGCACTGTTTATTTTCCTTCATGTCATTTGATTTGTTAAAGTTTTTTTTTTTTAATCTCCAGTAAAAACTGCTCCATTGGGATGGTGCTGCCGTTGTGGAGCGATACCAACATACATTTGGACGGGGATGGGTAAGTTTCAGACAGTCCTCAAAAGTGACCTGAAGTGTCTTTTCAGTTTAAAAACTACAGTATATGTGTGCATCTTTGGGATCTCTGCCCCCCAGTGGCAGAGGACCGTATTACGCTCTCTTAGTTTCCCTGTGTGAGAACAGTTCTTGCTGACCTGTGAACATTGTCTCTGTGCGCTGGCGGAATGTTCCACTGGTTGGTGCTCTGAATAGTCCCACCAGCGAGCCTCATACTGCCTGTGTTTACATCTCATCATATTCCCCGTCCACCCAGACTCAAACTGATCCTCTTCTCCTTCACCAGAGGCTTCAGTGTGAACACAGGAGGGCGGTCACATGTCTTCAAGCCTGTATCTGTGCAGGCCATGTGGTAAGACGCTGATGTGTTTGCGTTTCATTTCCTCTTCTAATGACAGCGTCAATTTAAAAAAAAAAACATTTCTTTCATCCTGTATTCAGGTTTAGGTTGTTTTTAACATGGCAAACATTTGAATGTGTTTGTTATATCTATGCACGTCGCAGTGTGAAGGAACAAATTCAGAGCTGAGATTAGCCGCATTAGGAGAAAAAGCTTCTCAGAAGGGTTTTTTTTTTTTTTTTACAAACATACACAAACTGCCAAACTTCACAAACTTAAAGTATACAAGTGGATAATGATCTATTTTAAAAAGGACCCACACTGTCCCATTAGAATTTATATTATTGCTTGAAATTTATCCTCCTCTAGGATTTATTTAAGAAGAAAGATTCACTTTAATACAAGGTTTTTGTTGCTGGCAGTTATTATTTTTGTACTATGTACGGTAAGTACATTATCACTGTAGTCATTTGATACATTAGTTTTTTAGTGTTTGCTAATTATCCAGCAAATTATTTTCAGTGGTTTGAGTTTTACTTCACACAGACATCTGTAAGGATGCACTACAGTAGAAATGAGCAAAAAATGTATGTTATTTTCTGAATGAACATTTATTTAAGATAAAAAAGACAACAATTGAATTTGATTTGTTAGTTTTTTATTCTTATTCACTCTGGGAACCTTTTCGACCAAACTGACTTCTTCAGCAATCTCATGCCACCTGCTGGACAGCTGTTAGACTTACCACAGAATCCTTTTTTTTTCATTGGGGTCAGTTTTCCTGTCCGTTTTGTTTTTCATATCCCAACGACTTTGCCAGTCAAACTCTTGATGTGAAAATCTCTCCGTTCTCCTGCAGGTCTGCCCTGCAGGTCCTCCACAAAGCGTGCGAGGTGTCACGCAGGTTCAACTACTACCCAGGGGGCATCGCTCTCACATGGATGGCCTTCTATGAGAGCTGCATCACCTCTGAGCAAAGCTTCATCAATGAGTGGAATGCCATGACTGATCTGGAGACCACACGCTCCGATTCTCCCAACATGTTCGACGACCGGTGAGAGGACAAAGCGTGACGTAGTAGGATTATATTTTTGATTTAGTATTACGGTGCCAGCTGAGTATGCAATTATGTGGTGTCGGAGGATCGTGTAAACGAGAGTTTTCCAGCTGATTTCAAATCTCACTGTCTCGTGTGACCGGGCTGCCGAGCGGAGGGGTGACATGCCTCGCCCGTCCATGTCGCCCCGTCAAGAGCAGAGTTTTGACAGCAGCTGCCGTCCGTGCCCTTTGTCGTCATTAATGGAAACTTCCTTCACCGTTATGTTAATTAGCATTAGCAGAAAATAGCACTGATATGCCGACGTGCTCTTTGCAGGCCAACTGAGCGGGAGAGAACCGAGTGCCTCATTAAAGCCAAACTTCGCAGCATCATGATGTTTCGGGACCTGGAGAATATCACCTCGAAGGAGGTAAAAGTGACACATCAGCAGGTCATCTGTGTGTGTAACGGGTGCAAGGCGTTTTAACACCACTTTCTTTCAAATAAAAGGGCACTATGTTATGTTATGTGCATAGAAAGAGAAGGGAAAAAAGAGAGAAACATGATGGTCTGGTTTAAGTCAATGGTTGTGTGAGAAATGTGTTGATTTACCGCTTCTTGAAGTTGAATTTCTATGTCCGTTCTTCTTTTGCAGATCCGTAACGAGTTGGAGCAGCACATGAGCTGCAACCTCAAAGAGTACAAGGAGTTCATAGACAATGAGATGCTTTTGATCCTTGGTCAGATGGATAAGGCCACACTCATCTTTGACCATGTTTATTTGGTGAGTTTCTTTCTTCTTTGCTGGATTTCCTTCTAGTATTATTGTGGAGGAATTAACAATGATAACTAAGTGTTATTCTGTCCCATCGGTACACCCCCTGTTCCCGTACCTTCCTCTTCCTCAGCCAGGGCTTTGTAAAGTGTGCAAAATATGGGTTTGAACAGTTAAGCTGAAAAATGCATGAATTTCCCTAGAAATGGTGCCACCTTTAAGGCAGCGTTTTTTTTGGGGGGGGGTGGTGTATCTGTGTTGTGATCAAATCCCATGCCATGACATTTCTGCTGCTAATGCATCTGCCAATACTGGTTCAGATTTTTATATTTCGTCACCCTGCGACCCAGATGGGTATAAGCAGGATAGAAAATGGATGGAATAATGTTTCATTGTTACATTCCATGTATTAAATTTGGACATTTCTTAAACTTTTGTTTGGAAGATGGAGATCTTCTGCCCGTTCTGGTCTGCTAGTACTCTTTCTTTAGTCAATAATGGTTTTATAATAAGCCATATGATTTATTTAAATCATATCTTTAGCATTTTTCTTACCATCATATTTTTTTTTTCAGTTTCTATCTGAGTACTGTTTGCTATACGCAAAACAGTACTCAGTACTCAATTTATGTCTTTGTCACAATCCAAAGACATAAATTGAGACTTTGAAGAAGATGAAGTTTCTGTATGGACAGATATTCTGAATCAGTCTCTGCCTTTATTTGGCTTCAGGGCTCTGAGTGGAACGCCTCCAACCTCGAGGAACTTCGTAACTGCGGGTGAGCTCAAATTTTATGGAGTGAATCCTACAGAATAGTTTCACAGTATTGAATGAGAGTGGCTTGTCTGCACTGTTCAGATGAATTCACTGAATTACAGACTTGTAATGATTAATGTATCCCTGCCAAAATCCTGACTGTGTTGGGCTCCGTGTAAGCAGTGAGGTTGTCCTGTGCTGCTTTAGAGTATGAGCTACCTGCTCGGGACACAGATACTGTGCAGGGTTCTGCAGGCTTTCAGGTGACACAGCAGCAGAGTCAGTTCACGTGACCGAGGTGTCTGTTTTACTCAGCAGTGATGCAAAGACTGATGCCTCCTTTGCTGTGGTTGCAGAGTCGGTTACATTCTGAATGTTACCAGAGAGATTGACAACTTCTTCCCGGGGATGTTTTCCTATCACAACGTCCGTGTGTTCGACGAGGAGGCGACCGACCTGCTCGCCCACTGGAACGACACCTACAATTTTATCGTCAAAGCCAGGTGAGAACAGCCCACTGACGTTGAGCTTCTGTGATGCAGAACAGATGAGAGAAAAAAAACATTTAATTTGTTGTTTGAGTCAAAACACTCACTGATATCATACTGTATATTCCCCTCGTAATGTGATACTGACACCCTGTGCTCCCTGAGTTATGCCAGTAGCACAGATGTGAATTAATGCACGCAGTCCGGTTGCTAAGCAACTGCCTAAATATTTTATTCTGAGGTTGAAAGGGTTTTATGTGTAAAAATAGTCAATATCAAGTTTCTGCTCGCGAACTGCTGCAAATTCTGAATATACGGTCTCTTCTACACCTCTTTCTCATTTCATTTCCTCAATAGGAAGAATAACTCCAAGTGCCTGGTGCACTGCAAGATGGGGGTCAGTCGGTCTGCTTCCACAGTTATTGCGTATGCAATGAAAGAGTACGGCTGGCCCCTGGAAAAAGCCTACAACTTCGTCAAGCAGAAGCGGAGTATAGCTCAGCCAAACACCAGCTTCATGAGGCAGCTAGCAGAGTACGAAGGGATCCTTGACGCAAGGTAAGCAGAATCAGTCTTGTGCTGTGGTTTAATAATGTCTTCAAGGAGTTTTTATTATTTTTGATCTGGTTCGTCCAAAATCTTAATATGTCAAAGCTTCATTTGATGAAGCTAGTGCTAACTAATGAGGGTTGTGCTTTGCCAAGTTCTCTGATTAATTGTCAGATTGCAAACCGAGGTTGTTGTTTTTTCTTTTTGTTGCTTTGCAGCAAACAGCGTCACAACAAGCTGTGGAGGCCCGGCACTGACGAGGAGGGGTCGGATGAAGCGTCGGGCCACTGCACAGGCGGAGAAGAGACGCCGGTGCTCCGAGAGGAGGAAGCCTGGGGGGGCTGCGGGGCGTCGCCCTGCCGGGGGATGGGTCTGGAGATGGAGCCCCTGGACTCGCTCAACTACAACTACTACTTCAGGCGCCTCTCGGACTCCGCCCTGGACAGCGAGCCCTCCACCCCGGTGCGAGGGCCGCCTCTGCTTGGCATGGAGAGGGTTTTCATCGAGATCGAAGACGTGGAGCGAGACGCCCTGCTGGAGGACGAGGGCTTCCCCATGGCTCACCTGACCCTGCCCGGAGAGGGCACGGCGGCCCAGACCTGCGGGCGCCTGGATCCCATGGAGGACATGAGGCTCAGGCTGGAGTTCAGCACGCTGGAGGAAGAGGATGAGGAAGAGGCCAAGAAGGAGGAAGCCGAGATGGCCGCCTTGGCTCAAACGCCTGGGAATTCAGAGGGCAGGAAGGCAGGGGAGGAGGCTGAGAGGAGTGAGGAGAGCCGGTTGGGCTTAGCCAACCTGAACACCAACAACAGCAACCGGCTGGCTGCCAAGCGCAGCTGTCCCGCAGCCTTTGACGTGAGTTAAGACAATATCACTTGATACCATGGTAAAGTCACATGTTCTGAAACTGTAATGCAATGCTTAATGATTCCGTTCAGAGATTCTGTCTGCTACTGACTGTGCACTGTATCTGTTCCAATTTTGATCCGTTTAGGACAGTTCTAGTACAGGAAACCCTTTAAAAGTGAAGCCCTCCTATCAGTCCTGTAAAGACTGCATGCGTCTTCCACAAGGACGGCGCTATGACCGCCCGGCGGGAGGCCGGTCCCACCGCTTTAACCCCTCCCGCCACTGCACTGTCCCCTCTATATGCATTGATCCGCCCGGGACGCACTTCGCCCCCCCCCCCGTCCTGCAGCCCCTGGCCAGCCCCGCTGCCCTGCCGCCCACTCTGCTCCAGCCCTGCGACCACCTCTACCACTGCACCACCTGCACCCTCGGTGGCCCGCCTGCGCCTGAAACGGGCCACCAGAAACGTTTCTCCCCCATGAGCTGCGAAGACTCGCCTCCCGAAAGCACAGAGAACATGGACGGGCCGCAGGGCGGCGGCGGGGGAGAGCAGACACTGAGACGCAGCGGCCAGGCCACCGATGTCCCGGATGCAGAGGGTTTCAAGTTGCAAGGTGGTGGTGATGGTGGTTGTGGTGGTGGGGGTGGGGGGGTCCAGCTGCAGGAGCAGGCGCTGACCCAGCTGCACATGCCCGGACTGGGACTACAGTTTGGCCTCGAACTGATGCGGCAGAGGGCCGAGCAGCTGGACAAGCTCCCCGACGTGGGCGTGGAGGGCCAGTTCCCGGTGGGGTCCCTGCCGTGAGGCGGCAGCTCCCGCACGCCGACCGACGGTCAGCCGCTGCCCCGGCGGCCCTGACGGCCGGGACACAGCAGACCAGCCCCTCCGCCACCCCGGGCCAGAGGCCAGGCCGTGTGCTGACCTGCTAACTCCATTTGAAAAGGCAGCAGCTGCTCTCTGACTCCCCCCCTCACACACGTCTGGCTTTGAGACCCAGGCGAAACTGGCTGTTTTTAATTACATGCTGAAAGTCTGGATGCTTCTGGCCAAGCAAGGAATGAAGGGAAGACCTTCCCACGGTGTTCATCCGCCCCTTGAATAATATCCACACACCTTTCTCCGCTTCCCACTGGAGCTGATGTAATCTCACCTTCCACAGGCCCGTTGGAGAGACGGGGGGGGGGTCATTAGATCGAGGACTGCAGTGAGCACATTAATGTCGACAAAAAGAAAAATAGCTGAGAGAACATTTTTCTGTCAGTTTTCTGTATTTATCAGTCCAATAAATCGGCCTGTTGTGTTGTTCCACCGTCATGTCGCCACTCGCGTAACAACAGTTTGGCTTTTCTCACAGCAGCTGCTTTAGCACCATTACGGGGACTACGACGTAAAAAACATGACTCTGTTTGTGTTTTTGAAAGGATGTAACTATACGGGAGCCTTTTTTTGATGCCTCATTGAAAAGAGTCATACCTCGGACCACAAGCGTCTCAGACTGTTTTGGTCAAAGACTGTTTTGTTCTTTGAGCTCAGTGGCTGGTTCACGCTGACCTCCTCCATTAAAGATAATATAATCATGTACTTTAAGAGCTCAGTTTAGCCCATGCATGAGAGTGCGGTTTTACAAAACACAAGTTCAACACGTCTCAAAGTCGTCCTTAATTTTCACAAGCTCTTTTTGCCATACTCAAAGCTAATTACTGATCACACTGTACGTACAAAACAAAATTACTCAACTGAACTTAAACATTTGCCTTCTGTCTGAGAAGATGTGTAGAAAAAAGAATATTGAAACACATGATTTTCATACTCTTAAGAAAATTAACTTAAATAACTTCCAAAGCAAACAAAGCCATACTATGCTTTTTGTACCCATTCCTAATTTTTGTAGTTCTTTATATAAAAAGCCTCTATAATAAATCATATGTCAGTCATTTCAGTTTTCCTTCACTTGTTTTAAACCAGATCTTTCTCAAATGTTAAAATGTATATTTTCAATAACACACCAGTCATTTACAAAGTTACCACTCAAACACAACCAACAATCCATTTACTCAGTGCACAAATGTGTTTAATATACATACATATACGTATATATATCTGAATCATATTTCATCTAAATTACTTATAGCTCACTCAATCAGAAATGGAGACATCTGTTATAAAACATCTCCAATATGCGTCAAAGATTACAAAGAAGTTGTGTTATTTGCCTGCAATGTCCAGTGGGGGTCAACCCCATGTATGGTGTAGTTCGTTTGACTTAATAATCACCAGACAGCTATTTGTCAAAAGCATGACATTCTGTAAATCTGTCGATCTGTTTTGTAAAATGAAAGAAAACTCTTTTAACTGGCATGTATAACTAGGACAATATTTCTAAAATTACAATACTAGATTTAATTTATATCAAATTCAGTTAAAGCAACCCATCTTATCAAGACTACTAAATAGACTCCCCTCCCCCTTAATTTGAACGCTTCATTTTCTAGACATCCAAACAGTGTGAGAGATAATTATTTCACAGAATTTAGTAAAAGATTGTGCTGCTCATTGTGCGGTACGGTTCAGGTTTTCTTTTTTGTTTTGCTTCTGGTTGAAAATGTGTTTTTAGTTCACGGCACGCTGGATGTGCTCAAATGAAAGTGAATGATGTCGGCTTGTATGCAGGAAAAGCACAAGCTAGGTATAAGACTGTGTTTGGAGAGCTTCAGGAGAAAAGGAAAACTGTGCACAGAATTAATGCAAAATAAATATATTTAAGTATAGTGCTACTGTATATTTTTTGTAGACACCCATTAGATTAGCAGATGACACTGCATCCTGTGTTCCTTTACAGTTGCTTCACTCTTTAAGTTCAAATATTCTGTGGTTCCTAAAGTTGGTTCTTTCACTTACATGCCATGTGACCTGACAAAGATGATGCCACACATATTTTAGTTCCAAAACTGAAAATAAAATGAGTAAGAAATGTTTTTTGAGTTACGAGATCGCTGATAACTGTTAAATTGTTTGCCAATTGTAACTTTTTTTGTCTGTGCCATAATGAAGCTATGACCATCAGCCAGTTAGCTTAGCTTAGCTTAGTTTAGCAAAAGACTCTACCTCTACAATTCACTGATAAATGTGTTAAATCTGTTTTTCTTCTTTTTAAAGGAACAATATGCAAAATCTAGTGACATCTAGTGGCAGAGTCGGACATTGTTTTGTTGGCTTCATCTGAACTATATTAGAAAACAATTAACCGAATACAGGAGGGCGCTCATTGTCTGATTTAGCTTAGCAGCTATTTGGTTGTAGCTTCTGATTCTCTTGGCAGAAGAACAAGTTTTAACCACATTACAATATTTTTGTTTCAACTGAAAAAGGCTGTTGGTTAAAAAAAAGTTTATGATGCTTTCAGACTTGCGAGACCTTTGCATTAAACTCTGTTTATTGTGATGGTGTAAGCCAAACAACACTTTCACCTGGAACACTTCGTGCCATATTTGATGCCATTTGCGTATATAGCTTTTACTTCATGTTTAGCTAGTATATGTCCTTAAGTTGAATATGTTCTCAGTTTAAAGTGGCCCTCTGACAAAATTAACAAATGTTGAAAACTCCATTCGTCTATCGTATATTCACAAGCTCACGAGATGAGGAACTCACCTCAAGAACATGCCAACAATTTCAGTGCTATTTTAAAATGCCACAGTCCCTGCTGTTACACCAATCTATCTTGGTTTTCCGACTGGATCATTTTAAAATGACATCCTATAATGTAGTTTTCCTTATCAGTTGACACTGTTGATGCTTCAGATTCCCTGTGTCTGCGCCACTGCTCTACATCTGGTTGCTGGCATCATGGTTTGAAGTTGCTTTTTAGTATTTAAGTGCCTTAACTTTGGCCGCGGCTCTGTTCTAAAGCATCCCAGCCTTTGCAGAGTTTCTGTGAGAGTGTTGATGGTCTGGCTTGTTGTATTTCTGCTGCCCTCCTTCCCAATATTAACCAGGCTTCTTTTCATGTTTCACTTGGCACATAATTCAGTATATTGTTGGCAAAGACACCTAAGCGTATCCACTGCAGGCTCCTCTGCATCCATACACCTTTACTTGATGGACTTCCATTTATAAAAGCCTATGATGATATAGTATTTGTTTGATATTGTTGAGATTTGTGGTACATTGTTCATTGCTTCAGTAGCTGGCTGAAATACCTTCTTTGCTGGAACGACAAATGTCAGCTACATCAGAATATTAAAAAGGATGTATTTGTCTTTTGCATTTACCAGTCTGTATATATATCTTTCCTCTACAGTATAAGTTCTGCTGTTTGAAGACATCAGCTTGCAGACGTGGTCACAATGAAGAAAAATATTGTTAATGCGACAGTCTTTTGAGAAGCACTCGTGAAGTTTGGTGTATGAACCACATCAAAAATGACTTTGGATCCACATTGGGCAAATGTTTTCAGGCCCTATTGAAAATGGCTGTTTTCAACCTTGTTTTTTTTATTTTATTTGTTATTATGATTCCATTAGTTCCAGGGAGCAAGCATCAAAATGACAATCGTAGTTAAAAGCCAGGAAATTGAGTCATTAAGGCTTATTGGAATTTAAAGTGCATCTAATTTGTCTATTTATTGAGTTTACTTAAAGAGCACAATTTGTACCCCAAAGCCTGTGAAGTTGACATGAGCGGAAAATGTAAAATTTCCCTGGAAGTATTTATGTTTTGTTTTTGTTTTTTTAACTGTACTGTACATTGCCAATGTTCATGTGTATGCACTTTTTTACATTTTGTTGAAATGTGTCTAATGTTTATCATACAAATAAACAATTCTTCTGCATAATCTTTGCATTCAATGTGTTCGCTAATTAGCGCATCAGACGTGGACAATATCGCTTTTGGGTCAGATATTGCCACCTTTGGTGACAGACAGAGTTTGTAAGTGAGGGGGGCTGAGGACTCTGTAGGAAAGGAGAGCAGTGAGGTGGGCGGCATCAACCCTGAACTTACCGCACAGCACTGATGACATGAAAAGGAAGCCTCTTCTTCTGCTTTGACTTGCTCTTTTACCCAAATGGAGAGAGCAGAAGGTCTCTTATTGAATTAGTCAAATGAAGTCAGTCTGACATAACAGAGCAGGTGACTGCAGAGGGAGACGTCTCCCAGACGGAGCAGAGTCCCGCAGGACGGCGGCAGGCAGAGGAGAGCCCAAGTGAGTAACTTTCTTTTCCATCCTGATGTCTGTGGGAATCTTACTTGTCTTAATGTTAATGAATTTTGAAACGCTTTTGCATGAAGCTGGGAGGAAACTTTTCCTTGTTCCATCAATGAACAGAAGAAAAAAATTTTGGGGATGTGAACCAGTGCCAAGTCTGCGTCAGGGTTAAACTGATCTGTGGTTCTCCACGTCTAAATATGCTATTAGAGCTGAAGAAAACAACGTTTCCTGAGTTTGTACACTGGGCATTTGTAGGTTTCAGGTTCGGCATGGGGTTATCTTTTTCTGACCTGTCAGTCCTGCCTTTACATGCTATGTAAATGTTCCAGCTAGATTACACCTCTGAATATCACCCTGGTGGACAGGCTATTTGAATTTAAGTCTGTTTAAAAAAAAAAAGAAGAGCACAACATCTTCCAAACAAAAGGCGTACACTAAGACAGAGCTAATAGTTTAAGTAGTCTTAGTCACAAGTCTCTTATAAGCTGTTTGCTAACTATTGGAAGCATGAGAGACACACAAAAACTGAAAAGGGAGAGAGAGAGGTATTTCACAAGCCAATGCCACAGATGCCTCCCATCACTGCTATTATAGCACATCCGTCTAAAAATAACACATTAGGTACACTGAAGCGGCAAACACACCCATCTGTGAAGCGATTGGACTGTTGTTGACCGCACACCACAAAACCAGAGCTGCTCCTCACCAGCGTCAGCTGACTCGCACATGAAAGTCCATAACATGAAAATAGTTTAATCCCCCACATTCCGATCAGGTAAACCTGCTCTCACTGACACGGACATTAGCCAGACACCAATTATTACACCTGGATTAGTCTGTGAACCACTTGTGCGTTATTTGTGGATATTTGACCAGTGTCGGTGTCTGTTAAGCGTTAAGCTGTAAGCTGGAAATAAACTGCTTCCTTGTTTCCAGACTGTATCTACCATTCAGTTACTGTACGGCTTCTCGACTTGTTTATCACAACTGAAATATAGGCTAATTTATGGAGAAACAGGTGCCTAATTTCAATGGTAACAATTTTATCGATGCATGTTTGTTCAAAAGAAAGAAAAGCAGAGCACCTCAGTCAATCCCTTGTCCTAAAATGGCTGAAGCAGAGATAGCAGATGTAGGATGAAGATTGGTTCAGTCCCTTCATCATTTATTGAGAAGAAGAATGTCCAAATTGAAATTCACATTTTTTATGTGGACACGGTGTTGCATATATCCTTGAAAAGGAGCTAGACACAATAACACTAAAACAACATCAATAAGCTGAACAATATATTGAAAAGTAAATACACACAAGCTTCAAAAACCAATGAGTGACAGAGATGTATGTACCTGTTGGTGATTTTATGTAACAGTATGTAGTATCCAGTCCATGATTATCCACGATATTGGCTTACACCGGAAAATTCCTCATAGAGTTGTTTAATCTTACTGCACTCGGTTTATTTCAGCATCGATGAAAACCATTGATCTGCAAATTTTAGTAGAGCATGTGTGAGTCGGTGCTTGTTCAGGCCAGAGTAACCGACCAGTCAAGGATTTATTTTTAAAGGGAACATCCTCCCTTTACCTCTGCTATTAGCATGTTTAATAATGAAAATAATAGAAGATAAGATTTACAGCTAGACACTGAAACATGACTGAGTACATTGCCTTTTTTGTTTGGTTTGATGAACCTCATGAGATGATTCCTGGATTAAGCCAGCAGACAAATTATTGTTTATTCTGTGAAATTCAGAATTCAGGAGGAATCAGATGTGTGTTTTCAGAGTTTCAGTTAAACCACTTTGTACGAAAAAGCAATACTTTTGCGTCTCTTCTTTTCCGTTTAGCTCTTTGCCTGTCAGATAAGAATACCCATCCCACATGCCACATGCCGCTAAAGCCCGTTGAGCTGTTTTCCTTTGTATTAATCTCCCATGCACCATCCATCATGTCTGGGGTTAAACTGGTCTCGTCAAACGCTGGACAAAGAATTCAGTCTGTAAGTCAAAGCCTTTGTGACTTGAATCACGTATTCCCGGTGACCTTTCTATAGAGCCCGTCACCAAAACAATCATAAACATTCAGGCCGGCTGAGGAGAGGCACGCACGGCACAAACAAGCCTTGTGGCCGCGACTGTAATTGAGGGAGCATGATGTATCATAAAGGGACATGTTTGAGCAAATGAGTTATTCAACTCCCCGATGAGACAAAACAAAGCTTTGATGCCATTCAGCCACTGTTGAAATGGCTCTAAAGGACACAAAATGGATTTTTGATTGAACTTTCACCTGTTTGTGCGTGGACATGGGGTCATTCTAACTCTGGTCTTTTTGTCTGACCTTGTCATTTAGCAGCTGACCTCTTATCTAACTTATCTTGTTTCCTTTTTGGCCTCTTGACTCACTGGCAGCCGTCAGACCTATTTTAATTATAGCCACCACAGCATTCCTTTGTGACAGAATAGGGAGAGATAAATAGTGAGGCCTTGGCATGGCGAGTGTGAACAGGGTGGAAGAATTAAAGAATACATTCAGAGAGAAGATTCAAAGTAGTTAGAGGTAGAAAGCACTCTGTGTGATTTAATTTCTTGGAATGGAGAGACAAAATCTCCATAAACTGCTTGTTTCTTTCTATTCATGCACTTCCTTTTTCTACTGTTCAGACAGGGTGACAGCCATGGGCCAGAAGCTGGAGAAGCTTTCGGAGAAGGATGAGGAGTCGCTTGATAACTCAGACTGGTCTGAGCAAACTGGAGACACGCATCAGTCAGAGGTTGCAGAGTGTGATGAACGCAAGCATGAGGACGATGGAAGGTTTGCAGCCCAGCAGAGTGCTGGCGGGATTAGCGGGATCGGAACCAGCATCTCAGCCAGTGAGCACCAAGGGGAGCTCACAGTCACTCCTGCACGTACAGACCCCCAAACCCAGCAGCCAATCAGACCTCTTGGTCGGCAGGAGCCCCCTCTGAACGCCAGAGGAGAGCGCGTGGGTGGAGACAGGGGGAGAGTCCCTCGAACTGTGAGAGAGTCAAAAACAGCCCCGAGCCCTAAGGAGACAAGAGACGCTTCACCCAAAAAGAGAGGCTCTGAGAACAGAGCCCTAGCCTGGACTGGGACTACAGCCATGGAAGGGCAGGGGAGTCGGAATGCATCCCAAACTGACCACAGCGGGCCGGGTCCTAATACCCACACCGGCAGTGCAACAACAACCTTCAGTCCCACCAATGAGGACGACTTTGTGGTGCTGGAGAGGGATGGCACCTGGATATCGCCCGATGCAGAAAGCAGCGCTGTTGGGGGCCAAAAGAACAGGGGAGTAGAGGAGCACCCCTATGAAACCTGCAAGGACAGCCCGCCTCCACTGTCCAGGGACGGTTCTCAAGAGGAGAGTTATAGCAGAGCAAAGTCTGGGAACGCCGGGGCACGTGCTGAGAGTTCACCCGCAGGCTGTTTTGAGAAAGAAATGGGTCGCCATTTGGCTGAAGTGACAGGCAGCAGGTGTCGGCTAAATGAGGTAAGTCATGTCGGAGAGACAACTGGCAGAGGAGTGGTAGCAGAGAGGGAGCAAGATCTCTCCGCTAGGCAGAAGCAGGAGTCCAGATTACCGGGAGACATGTCAAGAACTCACGAGGGAGAAACACAACCGCCGCAACCAGCCGACCGGTGCCGCCAGAGCAGGTTTGCGGGAGCTGTCTCCAAGAGGGCCAGAGCAGGAGTCGGGGCCAGTCTCTTAACATGTGCCAGGAGAGCCGACAGCCAAGAGATCGAGGAACTCGTAAATTCTCGACCTTTGCAGGCGTCGACTCCTCCTTCTGTGACACCACAGCCACAAGACAACCGCTCCCTCACGCTGGGACAAAGCGACGTGATGGCCTATCCTCCTCTGGCAGGAAACAATAGCCAGGATGAAAAGATCCAGGTTGCCGGCTTAAAGAAGGAGAGTGGGCTTGTTTGCTTGACTGCTGGTGTCACACCTCCACCTACCGCGCATCCGTTGCCTTGCAAAGACACGGCCCCGGCAGGCTCTGGCAATTCATCAGCCGGGACGGATCCAACATCCGATCCCTGCTATCCTAAAGATGAGCCGAGGCCGGCAGAAAGGCCAAAGGTCAAAGGTCCACCTCCTCCTGTTCCCAAAAAACCAAAGAACCCGTTTATAAAACTTAAAACAGCCCAGTTAATGTCCACTGATGTGAAAAGAAGAGGCAAGGATAACCTGCGCTCTGAGGAAAAGGTGAAAAGGAGGCATACATTTCATTTTAACAAAGACCTTCCAAACCGCGCTGGAGGTAATCAGGACATGTGCTCGCTGTGGGACGAGAGGGGCGCTTACACCACACCAGCTAGCAACCGCAGACTGTCAGTCGACCTCAGTCCTTGGGAGCATCTTTCTCTTGGGCACATGGATGACCGTTATGGAGATATGATTGATTTTGAATATTGTGCAAAATTAGATGAACTTTCTCCCGTGGAGGAGACGCGAGACTTGGATATGACGCAAAGAAGGATCTTTCTAGATCGACGGTCCAGACGTAAATGGTCGCCCCCAAATCCTTCCGCTTCTACAGAAACGATTCATATACCTGAGGTTGCGTCAGATGAGGAAACTGAAAGCTCAAAACCTGCCTTTTTCAGTAAAAGAGAGCTTCCACCAGAAAGAGCACGCTACCGCAGTAGCAACAGCCTCGGCGACCTCAGAAACACTATGGATCAAAGTAGAGATGAGAGAGATGAAGGAAGGGATAGCGAGGTGGGCTCCTACAAGCCCGTGGCAGAAATTATCAGAGAGACTAACCAAATGCAGAGGCAGAAGGGCCGGGTCAAGCCCGAGGGGATCAAGCCTCAGGTGCGTGTGGCCGAGCAGAGCCCCAGTGTGAAGGTGTCGCAAATGAAGAGCAACTTCGACGTCCCAAAAAGATCCAAGGAGAGGCCGGCAGAAGTGCAAGCACCTCCAAAAAAAGGTGGGAACCCTCTGTTATATTAGCTCGAAAAGTTTTTTTAAAGATGGATGTTTTAGACTCTGTAATGTCTTAGAAACTACTTAGAGGTCAAGGTTGTTAAAACACCCAAATTAAAATCTTAATCTTAATAGTTACACAAATTAGAAAGAAAAAATTGCTCCATGCAATGTTTTGTTTTTAAAAACCTAATCGCTAATCTCACAATGGCTGCTCAAGACAAAACCTATAGCAAACTCACTACAGCTCTCCTCTGCACATAGGACATTTTAGTCTTTGAGCTTTTTATGCAAAATTTTACAGGAAAAAAACAACTGATAATCCTATCTATGAAACTATAACAACATGAACTCCAGGTTTTCGTGTACAAACAACAACTAAGTGTTGTAACGATCCCTCAGAATCCTTAGAGTAACTCTATAAATTGGTCCCCTCACTTCATTTTGGGGGTTGCTTTGGGCTGGATTCTTGATATTGGTGGGACATGCTATGTGCAGTGAGATGGGGCTGGGGGGGAGGGGAGGATCCTCATAACAAAAGATGCTGGAGCCAAACAAATCAACCTGCGATTTACTTACATAGTTTAACCAAATCTGGATAACTTGTTTTTAAGATACAGGATATAGCAAGACACCCAGTTTCCTGCAGATCCATCCCCATTCAGAATCCTAGAAAATGAAATCAGACTGTCCTCTGCGCATGCGCCGCAGCCAGTCATCAGTGAATCCTACTGAATTTGATAACGGGATGCGAAAAGAGTATTGCTAGTCTTCCGCAGGTGAGGAGCGGATAGCCCACGCGTGCTTTGTGAACTGGCATTTTGGAATAAATCAAAAGCATTGCTTCGGCCACATATTGATAATCGAGAGGGGGAATAAGAGCATTGCGGCTGGACTTTTTTTTTTTTTTCGTGGAGACAAGGGATACCAAAGCAACGTCCTGCAGGATAAGGGCGCGCCTAAACTGCCAGATTCATGTGTTGAGATCGAATACCCCCCTCGCGTAGGAAAAATCTTGCATAGATTTAGGAGGTAAGGAAGCCCGAAAGGCGTCTTTGCATGGTGCGCGTTGATATGTCGGATTGTGCAGCATCTGTGTACGCTGGCTGAACGGGAGCAGCCAAAAAAAAAAAAAAAAAACCTTTGGGTGGAAATATCTGCACTTGCGTCAGCTGGCAGCGATCCACCGCGGCTAGCGGTTAGCATGGTGCTAGCTCCCCAGCAGAAGCCCAGCGGAGCGGACAAAAGATACCTGTGCCCGGTCCGTGTCGAAGGGCACGTTTCGCGAGCTACTGTGCGGACACGAGTTCCACTTGTGAAATGTTTTTTTTTTTTTTTTTTGGGGAAAGAATATCCGCCCCTCCGTCCTCTGCCTCCTCCCTGCTCGTGTCCGCCGCCGCTGACTCTGGACCAGCCCCGGCACAGCTGCCAGCTGCCCCATCGCACCGCGGCGCAACCTGCCCCCCTGGTCTCCGTTTTCTCCCTGCCACATTAAAAATATCACTGAGGAAACTTATCGCACCTTGTTGTTTTACGGCCGTTTGGCGTCTACCAGACCAGTTAGAGGGTCATTTAAAGAAAGCCACATCTGGAGAGTGTCCCCCGCGGACGGGCACCTCCACCGGCGTTTGTAAGCCTCGCCGAAGTAGCTAACTTAGGCAGCGTTTAAAGCTTTAGGGTGTTAGCTTTGGAGCAGGAACGACCTGGTTTGTTAGTGGCAAGATAGTTTAAATGAAATCCCAACTTTGCCCTCGGCTGTTGGGTCTTTCGTCTGTGTCGGGCTCTCATTTTTAATAGTGTCTCCTCGGCTAACGCTAGCAGGCGACCATTGTTTAACGGTGGAGCCGCGCACGCTCAGCCTCCACCGAGCACCAACCGTCGGCATTCATTAAAAAAAAAACATTCAAACATTTATCAGCCTGAACGTTTAGTTGGCGGTGGCGCTCGCTGTTTCAGAGGCGTCAGACGGACTCATTTCATTTTTCATGTATAATGGACATCACAAAAGAAACGCCAGGCCCCCGCGGGGCTCCGGACTTCGTTAGAGATTGGGAAGTGTTTGTCTCCCCTCCTGCCCCCTGTCCGGGCCTGCTCACGTTAACACACAAAAGAGCCACGGGGCTCGAGCTGGAGACGTCCTTCCCCAAAAATAAGACTCGAAGAGACCCAGAACAATGACAGGAACACGCTAGAAGTCCAAATTCAGCGACCAAATCCATCAAATTAGACGCCCGTTTTTCCACAGTTGGACATACAAAACCACATGTTTTAATAACAATGAAAAGCTTACACTGAAATCAGTCGAAGACCAACATTGAAAAAAAGTGAAATAATGGGATTCAAATATGACAAAGATACAGAACGCCAGTCAAGCATTAATAAATGCTCAATAGCTCCGGAAATACACATTAAAAGATTAGACATGTGACACTAAACAACCTTAATTTGGACCTGCATAGTGATGTAATTACAACAATTGGTGCAAAAAAACGAAAATGGGACCTAATAGAACTGGGAAGGGCTAAAAATAATCTACTGGAGACACAAGCTGACTAACCCTAATCTTTAAAACCACTAAACTAGTTGTAAAAGTGCCAGTAAAGCAGTTGTTGCATGTTGTGTGAAGTCCTGAAAGAGGTCAACAGTTCTGAATATGGTCTCAGGGATGTTCAGATTTCTGGTTTGATATGATGTTTAATTGTTGCATGTAAAAGCATGACCTCAACCACTAAGACTTAAGGCCTGCGGGGACCTCATAGATTTTGGTTGTTATGTAAGTGAGTGTGCTAAAGTTGTGGGAATACTCGTTCCTCTCCATGGGCTGAACAGTAAACATGTCAGAATCATGACACCATTACATAAATGCATTCAAATAAAGCATAAATAATGATGTTTTCTGTGTCAAAACTAGAGGAAAGTGTCAGCTAGTACAAACCCACACAGTCCTGAGATTTAAGTCTGAATAAACCGAATAACTGACAAGCGTGTGGGTGTGTGATGTGTGTGAAAGAGCTTTAAAACAAAAAAGGACAAAAAATACAGGCGTTTATCCAGAACTGATGCCGAATGTCTGAGCAACAGAGCTTTCTTTCCATGTTAAATAGAACATTGAAACGTGTTGGTGACAGTTCAGGTTAACAGTTGTTCACATTGTACATCATGTTTTGCCAAGAGGGATTTTTTTTGGGGGGGGTAAAAATATCTGAATATTTTTACATCCCAAAGACAGTGAGTCATCTTCTCCTTGTGTAAAAGCAACAACTGACTGTGGAGAAGCAGGTGTCTGATGACAAACCTGTGCATGACTGAGACATGCAGAGTGAATATCAACTCAGCTGCTCGCTTCGGGCTGCTGGCGGCTTTAATTATCCCTCCGGAAGTCCTTATTTGTCCAGATGGGCACGTCTGTAATATGTTAACGCCATTTTTTAATTCACAGCGGAGAATTGATGTTTTAATGCTGTCACTACAGATCAGTTTCGAGAGGGGAGCTGTGGCAGGGACGAGGAACGAGAAAGCCCAAATGTGAGCGTTAGATGTGGGGCCACAATTGACATCTCCACCAGAATTTTTGCAGCACCAACAGGCCATCTGTGGTGTTTTCACAGGGACTGGTGCAGCACTTTAAAAATATAACATCCACTCCGACAGTTCTGAGCCTTCACCCCCACATCGTAGTTAAAATAAACTCCATTGTTCGTGTTTGGGACTTATTCTTTTACAAGAAATTAAAGGTTAAAATGAGCCACAAGCCTGATCTACCGGTTTGAATCCTATTTAAATAGGACATGGCTGAATCAGCTAAAGCCTTCTTGAGCGCAGATAACTGAGGTTTTTTTTTCACACAGGTCTTGAAAATTCCCCCAACGTATGAAGTCAAACAGCTGGAAAATAAATTTGCCCCATGTGCATTTTACTTCAAATCCTAGCCTGCAGACGGAGGCGACTTCCTTCCTTTGCATGCGCTGAAACAAACCCAGTCACAGTTAATCCGCAGAATTTCAGACAGGGGCTCTTTTTCCGTCCCTTTTTTCTTTCCTTTTTTTTTTTTCACTGAAATGTCTTTGTCTTTTTTCGGCATCACTTTGTGACTCAGTCCCGCTTCCCCCTGCAGATATGTTGCGGCGAGTCGTGCGACAGAGCAAGTTTCGTCATGTGTTCGGTCAGGCTGTGAGGAACGACCAGTGCTACGATGACATCCGGGTGTCCAGGGTGACATGGGACAGCTCCTTCTGTGCTGTCAACCCCAAGTTTGTTGCCATCATCATAGATGCTAGCGGAGGAGGGGCTTTTCTGGTTCTTCCTCTACACAAGGTGAGGTATTTTCATCTGCACTCACTACTAAGAGATGAAAAGGACCTTTTATTACTCCGGAAGATGCATTTTCAGGAGAAGAAGTATTGAAAAAGGTTGCATACATTCCCCAAAATCATTTAAACGCTTAGAAATCCAGCCAGATGAGTCCTGTGATGCTGTGTGTCTGGAAGGCGACTAAAGCAGGCCGTCCTCTCTTTACAGTTCATTAAACTGTCCATGAGAATAGCAACAGTGAATGATTTGTCAGCCTGGTGTCGATAAATCTGCTCATTAAAAAGTAGCCAATCACCAGCACAATGCAGCTGAAAACTTTTTGCCCAACTTGTAATATATTATGGTGATTTTATATAGAAAAGTTACATTAGTAACAGTGTATGATTGTCTGGATGTTCCAAAATGTGATGGATTTAAGCCTCTTTCACCATGTGTGAAACTTGGCTGTAGACATAGCAGCATGTCAGCGCCACATTCTGAGCCAAATCACACGAGACCGAGCATCTCCTAACAGGACTGATACACCCGGGTGTACCGCCTGCACCATTTAAGCTTCAGATGGCCCAAAAGTTTCTCTTTTTGCCAAAAAACATGAAGTGAAAACGTTTAATAACTCGCGGCCGACTTTGGATGAGCTGCTCTGAAACCCTGTGCAGGCCCTCCCCATCCTGTGGGGTTTCACTGATGCCTGTGTCACCACCTGAGGGTTCCCATTTGCTGTTAGAGTGTAAAGGCGTGCCACTGATTACATGGTTTGCTTTGAAACTTGATGCGCACGCTCAGTCAGTTCCCTGGATAACCTATGCTTTGTTTTTAGCACTAACTAGTCGGCGTAAAACTAAGGTGGGCCTCATGCTGTACTCATCTCAGGCTAAGTTAGCATTTAGCTTCTGTGCTGTACGTGAGCAGAAGGAATTGTGTAACAATGGCTCATTGGATCAGATGTGGATACTGAATATGAAGAGTGTATGCAGAGGCACTGGGGCAGCATCACATCATGGCATTCTGAACGTGTGCGGAAGGTTTTCAGTGGGCCTGCTGAACCTGCTGTTCCCTTTTGGCTTCTATCTGTGATCTGGTAATGGCTTGTGGATAATCAATCCATAAATGTGCCTGATAGTAAAGGCGGCCTTTGTATATGATGTTGCAGCTGCTACATTGGGCACATGATCCTCATGGGGAGCGGGTGCTGTGACATCATTTCAGGCCACTGGGTTAATTGGATTATATTTCCCAGCGTGATGTCCAGCCTCTGCTGTAACTGCTGTCAGACCATCGGACGGACAGCGCAGATACCTAATTCACTGTCGTGAAAAATCAATCAAATCTGATAAATCTTTTTTCGAATCTGCTCAGCTCTCTTCTCTGGGCTATTAACGTACAATGTTTAATTTTTCTGAGCCAACACAAAGCCATTAAATGCTTCATAAAGGGTCACAGCTGGTGTATGACTCTGCTCCGGCTCGTCCTGTTTGTGACATACGTGTCCTCTGTCTCTCAGACCGGCCGCATAGACAAGGTTTACCCGACAGTGTGTGGTCACACGGGCCCGGTGCTGGACATCGACTGGTGTCCTCATAATGACCATGTCATAGCTAGCGGCTCGGAGGACTGCACGGTCATGGTAAGGACGCGCCTCATCTATGAATAAACACGTGATCTTTGACTCTGAGATTCCACCCAACACATCTTAGTCTTGGATATATTTGTTGATTTGTGGTTGTTTTTTTCTTGGGGGGGGGGAAGCCTTGTGTCTGGTTACTGTTCAAATGTCTGTATTTCTTTGTTTGGCTGACGTAGGTCTGGCAGATCCCTGAAAACGGTCTGGAGACCTCGCTGTCAGAGCCCGTGGTCGTGTTAGAGGGCCACTCCAAACGGGTGGGCATTGTGTCTTGGCACCCCACCGCTCGCAACGTCCTGCTGAGCGCAGGTAACCCCCAAAGCCTCGCTTTCCCGCTCTGAAACCCTGCCCTCTGTCACAATATTTGGTCAGAGCCCATCTGCACACGGAGCCGTTTCTCCGCGGGCCTTCTGTCGCATTGCTTTGTGTGATGTGAAGCCCAAAAATAAACCCAGACAGAGAGGGCTGTGCACTTAGTCCCTGCGTGTCCATTTTAGGGTGCGACAACCAGATCATCATCTGGAATGTGGGCACGGGAGAGGCCATGATCAACCTGGAAGACATGCACCCTGATGTTATCTTTAGTGTCAGCTGGAGTCGCAATGGCAGCCTGCTGTGCACCGCCTGCAAGGACAAGAAGGTCCGCGTCATTGACCCCCGCAAGAAGAAAATTGTGACGGTAGGCGGAGGACTCTGTGGGCCAGGAGGGCCCGGCACGTGGCACCCGCTGTGCAAGATGCTGAGGCAGCCTGCAGCCACAGCCGCGCGGTCTGACGAGTGTGTTTCCGTTTTTAGGAGAAGGACAAAGCTCACGAGGGAGCTCGACCAATGAGGGCGATCTTTTTAGCAGACGGAAACATTTTCACCACTGGATTCAGCCGCATGAGCGAGCGCCAGCTAGGCCTGTGGAAATCTGTATGTCACCGCCGTCAGTCTCATTTAATCTTGAACACACCGATAGATCACACACACACACACGCAACCTGACCCCACCCCGATCTCCACTTTAATCGTCAAACCACGTGTATTTAAACTGTGTCACCTGGTGATTGAGTGTGGGGCTGCAAGGCCTCCAGATGGTAGAAATAGGACGTATCGCTTTACCTTTGAGGAAGGAGGAATGTTTCCTTGTTGCTCTTTGTTTCAAGGGTCAGATGTGATGAGAGGACTCTAAGAATGTCATGGTCATCTTGCTGTGCATGTCTATTAAACTGCATTCTGATCGTGCACATAAACATCATTTCTGCCGTAATGCTCAGCCTGGTTAGTCCTTCCAGTCGGACATCCCCAGAAAACCACCCGTTTGCCATCAAAATGCTATGAGCCGTGGGTGTTTCCCTCTGGTAAAGTCTGCAGAGGAGCAGACAAATGGAGACTGTGACCATTTAACAGTGGGGAAACCCCTTGGAGCTAAAGCCTGAAAGAGTGTGTGTGGGGGTGGGTGGGGGGGTTTCGGTCAGGTTACTGTTGTCTTATGCCGGCCCTACAAACCTCTATGCTCATGTCATGACTCAAAATATAGGCCATGGTCTCCATTGGCGCTTTTTAATGTCGTTTCAGTAACAATTCCTTTTCTTTCTAGAAGAATATTGGCAAACTTTTGATTGTAAATGGAGGCTATAACACCTCGTCTCCAGTGGGGGGAGTCACACCCCAAGTGTAGCCATTAGCCACAGACCTCCCAGACGTAACGACAGAGTGTAATTTGTTGTTATTCTTTAAAATCCTAAACTAATCAGCTCAAAGCTGCTCCTAACCTCATTTGAAAGTTGGAATATTGTGTTTTCAGGATAACATGGACGAGCCGATATGCGTTCAAGAGATGGACACCAGTAATGGAGTTCTGCTGCCCTTCTATGACCCTGACACCAGCATAGTCTATCTGTGTGGAAAGGCAAGTCAGCTGATCATCGAAAATAAATAGACGAATAAGCCTTGCGATGCCACTCGCCAAATGCTTGATTTGCTGTGGCTGGGTCCTCAGGGCGACAGCAGCATTCGGTACTTTGAGATCACTGACGAGGCGCCGTTTGTTCACTACCTCAACACCTTCTCCACGAAGGAGCCACAGCGAGGCATGGGATACATGCCCAAGAGGGGTCTGGATGTCAACAAATGTGAAATCGCAAGGTACGGGAGCAGATCAGCAGTTTAAAAAAACCTATTAAATATGATCATGATCCTCTCATGAACTTTGATCATTTGAGGTTGAGACGACGACAGTCTGAATCCACTGTCTGGCGGCAAAACATACTGATTTGTTGTTAAGATATTAAATTGCTTTTTCCTTAGACATTCATTCATTTATCTCTGCAGGTTTTACAAATTGCATGAGAGAAAATGTGAACCGGTCATCATGACAGTCCCACGGAAGGTAATTCTATTTGTGCCCTTTCGTCTCTGCTCTGTGTGCTGTTTTATCCTGTGTCTGTAACTCAGCGCTTGCATCTGTTTTCCCATCCTCACATTTCCTGTGTCTTCTGCCCAGTCGGATCTGTTCCAGGACGATCTGTATCCAGACACAGCTGGCCCTGATCCGGCCCTGGAAGCAGAGGAGTGGTTCGCCGGCAAGAACGGAGGCCCCATCCTGATCTCCCTCAAAGACGGCTACGTCTCCACAAAGAGCCGGGACCTGAAAGTGGTCAAGACAAACATCCTGGAGAGCAAGCCGGCCACTAAAGTAGAAAACATCTCGACCATCAAGAAGCATGTTACTCCACAGTCCTCAGCAGTGAGTGTTTTGGCCAAAAGTCTTCCAGACCCACACCTTTTATTTCTGTGGTTTGTTTTTGTCATCATTAATAAAGCACATTTCCTCTTAGCAGAGCTTTTCCCCGAGCATTCTAAAGGTTACTTGTCCGCTGTTTTGCTGATATTTCCTCTGTTCACTGTAATTATTTTGGTTGGAGCACATCAAGAAAGCCGTGGCTCAGCACATGCTCTGGTATTTGGGTCACAACTCAGAGCAGCAGGAAGGGAAAATGTTTACAGCTACAGGGACACGTTGCCTGCCTGATCCTTTACCCACTTTAAGGGACTAATAACCCAAAATGTCTCAGTTTCCCTCTAGAACGAGTTATCTCACATTATCCATTTAAGGTGCTTTGAAAGAACTTCTGTGAAGCTGACCTTCCGTCTCGTCTTTTACCAGAAAATGGAAGACAAACTGGAAGAGGTGCTCCGAGAGTTCAAGTCACTCAGGGACCGGGTCATCCTTCAAGACCGTCGGATCGCCAGACTGGAAGAGCAGGTCGCCAAGGTGGCCATGTAAGAGAGACAGCCTTCCCAGGACCACCTGGTTGTTCAGGAGAGAAGCAATTGAATGGAGTCAGCCGTGGCCAAATTCTTAAGATTCGGCTTCACTGAGCTTGGCGTTGTCCCTGTGATGAGACCAAGCCCACATTCCAAGATAAACTTTCATGTTGTTCATCAAAAGCGGCCTGTTTCCCACTCAGCCCTGACACACACACACACACACACACATGCAGAGAAGGTCAAACTCCCACAGAAAAGGTAAAACTTGCAGCTCGCGTACACAATAGAGAGACATTTTTGTTGAAGGAAGTCTTAAAAGTTTGTTTTGTTTTTTTTCTATTCAAATTGTGGTAAAACATTCTTACGTGAAGTTTGTACCTACTGCTCAAAAAACTGTATGTAGCATCAGTATTTCCATCCTTCTTTTTGTGTTGCCAAATATGAATTGTGTGCGGTTTCGTGCACTGCTTTTACATTTTGCTTTTTCTCCTGTTGTACATTCCATCCACCACCTGGTAGAACAATAGTCAAGCTGGATTTTTCTCTTTTTAAACAAATAGCTGTCGAACTGTTTTCTTCCCACCACCCTGCTCAGTGACTCCCATCAGATTTATGAATGTGGAAGAAACTCTTCTAGACATTTTTGTTCCGGTTCATCTGGGCGTAACGTTAAGGTTTTAAAGGGGACGGGTGGGCGGGGAGGGGGGGGGATTACATCTTTCTGGTGTAAATGTTGTGCAGATGTAGTGGTGCCTCTTGTCACTGTTCAGGGTCAAATGCAGTTGACCTCTCCAGTGCATATTGGTGTTAGGAAGGGACCACTCACTCAGCTTGTGTTTCACTGAACCCCTGACAAACAATTCTGTGCACATAATAAAGATTTTACACATGCGATTGTTTTGTCATATGATCCTTCAGAGCTCATTCCTGTCTTAAAGCTTGAAACTTAAACTGCTTCAGCTGGTAACTTTAGGACTGTGTCCGGTTCAGTGCTCAGTTCAAGTCACTCCGATTCATTTCAGGAGATTTTCAGTTGAGTAATAAAGAGATTGATTCTTAAAAAAAAGATTACTGCTAGTTATTTTACTTTCTCTCATTGTCATTTTTTAATGGTATGATATTCTTGCCTCGTCTGTGCAGTTTTAACTTTTTATGACGACAGATAAAGAGATATTCTTTGCTATTTGATATTCTTAGTTTCCAGTTTAGCTCATTAGTGAAATGTTTCATTAAAAAAGAGACTTCATACAAACATCTTCATAAAAATGTTTAAAATTCCATTAGTTTTTGTACATAAAGTAATAAGGTTTTCTTTCAATATGGAAGGGTTTTATTGATCTGATATGTCTATAGACCAGAGCAAAAATACCTACATTTGTATTGGAATGGCTGATATCTATGATTTTGTTAACAGGAAAACAGTAAGAATTGACCATATGTATATGGAAGTGAGGGTAGAAAAACATTAATAGACTTATGTTTTGCTGGAGCACATTTAGAGTTTGTCACAGTACACATTAAATGCAACATTGTTTAAGTTCGCTTTAGTTTCCATCCAGAGAACCATAAGATTTTTTACTCTAATATCTTCTTTTGAAGATAAGAGAGTCTAATTAGTACATACAATCTCCTCCACCAAATCTCTAAGATTATCCTTGGGGTTCGGATGTGATTTGAGAGAGTGGACATATTTGTTTAGAGAAAATGTGATCAGTGGTTAAACTGAGATTGCCAGGTGACCTAACATTTATCTAAGTGCCTGACGTTGCTGAAATTACATCCGAGCCACTGAAGCCACTCCAGATCATTTGCTAGGTTAAATTGGGCCTGTATTACAATATTTTAAGTATTGCCATGTCCTAATAATGTGTAGACACAGTTGTTAAATCGGTTGGGGGGGGTTTAACTCAAATGAATGGCTGTGCTGTGGGCCAGAGGGCTAACAGGACACCCTGCATGACACATGGACAAATGCCATTAGCTCCAATTTGGATTTCAGCCTCTGGACATGATATGATGAGAATAATCAGTGTCATCCTTATTAAGACAACACAATCGGCTTGTCAGTGGTTGGCCAGCAAAGCCCACAGTTTCAAAACAAAGAGATCTGTGGACATTGTTTAAGTGGATTTTCATGGGATTTGATCACATGATGGAATTTTGGCCACATGGTAACCCATCACCTCACGCTACCGTGTCACAGTCACGCTTTGTCTCTGCAGGTTTAATTACGTTGGATAGATTTTTTTTAACGAGCAGATATATATTCAGACTACAGCAGAGAAAAAAGAACTGAGGTGGGTGAAACAGGGTTAAAAATAAATTTGACTATGTATCAATGAGCACTTACAGAGGTAAAACAAAAGACAACCATAAAATGTATAATTACTAACATGATCAACAGACTAAAGTGGGCATATAAAAACACGCACTGGTTTCATCCAGTGGATCTTTCATGGCATGGTAACATTAAAAACAAACATTTTCTGACTCAAATGTTCTTCTAAGCCACATTTCTATAGTGACTCATAAACACAGGAAGTGACAGTTACAATTTCCATCCGACAAGGATGTCTCTTACCACACAGGGTACAACTGTGAGAGCCTGAGCTTCATTTTGTCACTGGTAAAAAAAAAAAAAAAATACAACACCCTCCAATGAACACCGCACTGTTGTCAGCCGTCACACAGTCTCAATTGGGACTTTCTGGTTCTATTTCTACATATAATAAAGTTAACGTGCATCATGTCGGCCTCATGTGACTGACAGTCTTTCACTGCCGTGAACTGGCTTCAGTACTGCTCTGCACTCACATGACAGCAGCTTCAGATTTGAGACAGAAATGAGATCAGGGGTCGACATGCGAGAGGCTTCTGAGCAGTTTACAGAACTGAGAGCTTCCTGCTACTTTGACGAAAAAGGTATTTAGGACATGCAAAGAAAACACTGCAGCGCACATAAGAATCCGAGCTCTTCTCTGCTTTTTCATCTCTCAGGTAAGTCACATCTTCTGACTACAAATAAATGTGTGCGCTTCAGGCTTTAGTGGCCGAGCCCATCTTTATGTAAACAAAACAGAAGCTCCGGTGTTGCAGATGTGAGATAAGGCTGCATGTTTCAAAGGGAAGTGTATCTGTGGTATTCTGATTGTGATATACCATAGTTTTTTTTTAAAAAGCGTAATCATTTCCTGTTTTTTTCATCACGCAGAGCAACAGTCAGCATGTCAGAGCTACAAGGATATGCATCGAGAGAGGTTGAAATGAGCGGGGCTGAAGTTTGATTGAATTTTAATTTACTTTTGCCATTCTGTTAGCCAGAAACAAGGTAAGATCAACGGTGTCTGAGAGGACATGTCCAGTATGTCACATTGGATTTGAAAAAAGAAAATATATATAGTCTATTTTGACATAATTTTCTTACTTTTACACCATCTTTTAACTTTATCAGGGTTTGAATCTATGTCTGCTGTTTTTTCTGTGATTTAAAAAGACACAAATGTATTCTTGTTTATTTTTATGCATTTCGGAAATATAATTTGCCGATTCAGTGGCTCAAAGTTTTTACTGTGGAAACAAATCAAGGGGTGTAGAACAGGCACATGGTAGTTTCATCATATGTTACATGTCGAGTGGAAATATGTGACAGGATTCTCTCCTTGTATGTGGTCAATTCAAAATTACATTTTTAAGCAATAAATTTAAGCCTTTTTCTGTCATTTCAGGTCTTGAATCTAACAATGAAGCTCGTCTGCACGAAGATGTGCGTCCGCCTGCTGTGTGGAGTGATTCTCTTGTTTTTCGTGGAGTCTATGACAACTTCCATACCAGGAACCAGAAGCGCTCGGGTCACTGTTTTGCCAAACGACACAAGGAGGCAGCCAATCACTGAACCTGTCACAGAGCTGCAGCACGCAACTGGGGAACCAGTCCACAGATCTCTGGAAGGGATTACCGGAGCAGAAGCAAACACTGCGTTACCCGTGGAGATAACCGACAAAAGCAACAACAACAACAGAACAAATGGCCGAGCCGCCAGCAGCCCTCCGTCATTTCCAGCCTCCACAGCAGAGGCCCAGAATAAAGCACAGCCAACCCCCACAGCCTCCACAGCTCCAGGTGGAGATCAGCCACCCCCCACAGCCTCCACAGCCCCAGGTGGAGCACAGCCACCCCCCACAGCCTCCACAGCCCCAGGTGGAGATCAGCCACCCCCTACAGCCTCCAAAGCTCCAGGTGGAGATCAGCTATCCCCCACAGCCACCACAGCTCCAGGTGGAGATCAGCCACCCCCTACAGCCACCAAAGCTCCAGGTGGAGATCAGCTATCCTCTACAGGGACCACAGCTCCAGGTGGAGATCAGCTATCCCCTACAGCCTCCACAGCTCCAGGTGGAGATCAGCTATCCCCCACAGCCACCACAGCTCCAGGTGGAGATCAGCTATCCCTTACAGCCACCACAGCTCCAGGTGGAGATCAGCTATCCCTTACAGCCACCACAGCTCCAGGTGGAGCACAGCCACCTCCTGATGCCACCACAGCTCCAGGTGGAGCACAGCCACCCTCTACAGCAACCACAGCTCCAGGTGGAGATCAGCTATCCCCTACAGGGGCCACAGCTCCAGGTGGAGATCAGCCACCTCCTGATGCCACCACAGCTCCAGGTGGAGCACAGCCACCTCTTACAGAGATCACAACAGCTGAGGAAGCCAAACAAACAACAAATCGCTCTCATCAAACTTCTCCACCCTTCAATGCAACAGAGAGCGTTTCTTCTTTGGCTACATCTTCCGCTCGCCTGAAGAGTACTCCGGAATTACCTGCCACCACCTCTTCGGAAAATACTCAGATGACTTCAAGCCGGCCTCAGAGTCCCACGCCTCCCACTGGGACGGTGCAAGTGAACATCACCTCGGGGGCAGCACCCGTTAGCGGCGCCACAGAGACTGAAACGCCCACCAGAGCCGAGCTATCCCCGAAATCTCATTTGACGTCGACCAGCCCTGAGTTCACGACCCAGTTTCCCAGCTCGGCTTCAACCGAATCCACCATCTCCACCAGCCTGGCAGGGATCCTCAACCCACGGGAACCGAAAAGGGGGTCCGTTTCAACACCCAAGCCAGGGCCGGCCACCTCAGCGGCCCCCACTGAGGAACCCAAGACCCCGCCGAGCAACGAGGTCCAGCCGTGCTCCAACCGGGCCGTGGTGAGGCAATGCCTCGTGGTCATCGGCGCCCTGGCCGCGCTGGCCACCGCCTTCATGGTTTCAACCATCGTCCTCTGCGCCAGGCTCTCAGCCAGGAAGCCCAACGCCAGGAGGCCCCAGCAGATGACCGAGATGATGTGCATCTCCTCTCTGCTGCCCGAGAGGAATCACAACTACACCCGGCAACGCAACCCCATCACAAACGGCGTGCTGGTGTTCCCCGCCGCCGGAGACAGCGACGAGGACGGAGGGGACAACCTCACGCTCAGCAGCTTCCTCCCAGAAAACGAGCGCTACGTTTGAGCCAACTCACGCTGAGACCTGAGACTTGAGTGTTCCGTCTAGCGTCCGATATGCGGAAATGATTGCGACTTCTATATTCCTGGTTCGGCTTCGCTGCACGCATCATCTGAGCAGGAACTGACACAGAAACCACAAACAGCAACAGCTCTGTGTTTGAGCACCACAAACTTTGGTGAGGTGATGGAATCTAGAACAGAGTCAGTACTTTTTGAATAACTTAGCCCCTGGCCCCCACTGGAGACTTTCAAGCCCAGGATGCTGGGAGTTATCAAAGCTGTTTTTTTTTCTTGTAAGCATCCGGAGCAGAGCCCTGATGGTATTTCACTTACCGTCAGTTTTCTGGTGGATCAAGGCTTAAGGGGGCAATGCTGGATTTGAATTGATTTAAGGTGTGTGTGCGTGTCTGTGTGTGTGTGTGTGCTCATGCGCGTGCGTGCCTATGTATGTGTGGGTGTGTGTGTGTGTGTGTGTATTTAACTTTTGGATTTTTTTCCCAACAGTTTCTTGTATAATTTAAGGATAGTAAGTGGTTTGGTACAAATTGTCAGCTTGAAAGACAAAGTAAAACTTCTGGAGAGTTCTGGAAATATAAGACATCTGAAAACAGTACAAAGGGCAGCTTGTTCATTGACACTTTGCAAATCTTAATGTGATCGAATTTTAGATACTGTTAAAGTGAAAGATTTGCGATCCGTCTTATTTTTAAATGGTATGTTTCAGATCTTTTTTTTAAAGTTCTTCTCTACAAATGACCTATTTGTTAAAGGGGTGAGTATTACAGCAAGTGTTTGCTCTTTGATGTGACCCAGACTAGTTTCTAGAAAGACATATATTTATAATAGAGGTGCCTGTGCATATTTAGAAGCATCAACCTTTGTCTGGTTTGGGCTGTGAGACTGTACAGATTTTACATACTCCAATAACTACTAAAGAATCTTTAGAAGAGTGCAAAATATAAAGTTCACAAAAAATCCTTGTAAGATTTATTCCATTGGAACCGATCATTTCTTGATTTAGAAGTTGAACACATGCCTATAACTGACAAAGATCCCAAGAATTACTCTGGAAAGTTATCAAAATTAAGATTCAGCTTTATAAACTTGCCACTAAAGTTGCCGAACATGGTCAAAGGACAACCCGGTTTCATTATGATAACAGTGGGTGTTTTGTAACATGGTCGACTGTGTCTTTATGGTAAATAAAACTGAATGCTCTTCGTCAGTTCCTTTATTTATAAAAGGCTAAACAAGAGACCTTTCTCTTGCGCTGGGTAGGATTTCATGTTCACTTCCCTTCCTGTGAAACGAAAACAGTCCACTGAATGCACATTAGGCTTGTGAAGCCTCTTTTTTTTTTTTTTCGCAGAAAAGAAACAGACAGCGGTGACTATCAACAGAGCAGAGTCAGATGTAAACCTGCTGGATGCAGGACTTTGTCTCACGCCGCTGTTGACCATATAAAGCTGGACTTGTCTTGAGTGATTGCATACCTAGCGGACTTGCCCAGAAAAATGCACTCACTCATGCCGGGGTCACACTGCCTCCCTAAAGTGGTCACACTCGCACCGTGTGAGTGGAATTGCCTGTGTCTGGATAAAGAACACTGTATTGTTTGTAAAGGTGCGCCGTGTAGCCCCCCCCCCCTCCATCTCCTGGCTGTTACGGGGGATATGCCCTCACAGGAAACATTAACCTCTTCCTGCGTATGCAAGTCACTCAGGCCAACAGCGGCCTGACTCCTGACCCTGGAGTCTTGCTGTTAATCATGAGGATGACGGCTTACAGGCCGGGCCGTCAAGTCTGGAGGCCGATCGGATGAAAGCTTTGTGGTTAAAAGGCTGGTTTTGTCCAGCTTATTAAGTTTTAAAGTATTTGTTTATTGTTGCGTTGGCCTTTCCACATCCAGCGAGCCACACAGGAGAGAGAAGAGGAGGTCCCTGCCCCCACAGCATATTATAAACTCCTACCTAACAAGAACAATCTGTGTGCAGGCCAGAGAGCCCCAGACACTCATGGGGAAACTGAAGGGGGAGGAGAACAGCGGAGCAGCAGAAGGAGGGATCTGTGCTCATGGTTAATGACATCTTTCTTGCACTATCCAGACGAACCTTCGTGCCGAAACCTAAAACAGCAGAAGTGGCGCGGTTGACCCGAGTTGTTGCATGCAGTCGTGTCTGTGCTGCCACTAGGTTCCCGGCTTCTGCTTTCATTCAGCCTCCACCACAGCGGATTCCAGCACAGACACCTCTTCTCCTGCACTGCATGGTGAGTATAGCTGCACTTTTATCCAGTTTGTTTGTCTAAATTTAGTTTCTCCGCTAAATGTCCTAAAAGAGGGACAGTGATTTTAGAGCATTTTTGCGATTATTAAAGCATATTTAGCATTCCTTTGTAAACAGGGAAATCAAAGAGGAATCTGTTGAGACTGAGGCAAATAATACATTTAGGAAATGTAAAATTTCTACTCGAAACAACTAGGTGATGGTTGTTCTTTTGTGTGTGCACGTCCACATGTTCATGTCCCCGATCGCACAAGGCATGTGTGGCTGTGGGATTCATTTAAAGAAAACAAAAAATATCCCATCCCCTTTTCCGATGTGAGAGAGCAGAATTTCACGGGGGCCAGCTTGCACACAGATGCAGCAGAACGGGGATAAAAGTTTGGAGGCGGCTGCCAGTTAACACACACACTCGAGCAAAAAGCAGGGTGAGATCCAAGTCAATAAACACAGCACAGCTTCAGCAGGGTTCAAAGGGTTACTTCATCCCTGCTGCTTTCTGCAATACTCCCAAATACCCATTTAGTAACAAATCATGCAAATATTGTGGATTTCCCTTTCTCTTACAAGCATTCCGCTGCCAGTGGCTAGAAGTTAAATATATGGCATATTAAATATTTCACTGTAATATTTTTTACTTCGTATTTGCAAAAACTGCACAACTAATGTAACTGCCTCCACAATACAGTTAGTTGGAAGAACAGTACACCGGCAGTGAATGATGACCGATAATTTACTTATTCCATCTGTTTTTTAAATAGGCACATTACAGCTGCAACAAAACACTGCAAATATTAAGTAGAAAACTGTCTCCATATTTTCCGTCATAACTGATATACAAAGACACTCAGAGGATACATATCTCTGTACACAAATTAGCAGAATGTCTGGATCTTCTGGGTGACCTGTACATCTATGAATTAACCAGTCTGCTCATCCATTCAAAAGATAGAAAATAGGCAGATTGTAATGACATGAGCAGCTGTTATTTAAGATGAGAGAAGAAAAGGGTGTTCTCAAAGAGTAACCAGAGCGCAGAAAGATGGAAATACCTTTACGTTCTCTGTGTCTTGGTGGGTCTTTTTGTGGATAACTCCTTTGGATAACTGCTGCTTCCCTAAACGTCAGTTTTTGAATCACTGCAGCCCTCCAACACTCTGGATCGCTCACAGATTTTGCGATCACTCTCCAAATTGTAAATTTTAAATGTAAAAGAATGATCTGGCCTCATTTGAAAACAAATGCTTGTTTTCCACGTAAGCAAAAGTTTTAAAGTATTATATTGGACAACTTACAAAATTTTCCAATTCTCACATGGTGTGAAATGTCCCAGGATAAGCTGGAAAAATTCTCATTGGAGCAGCTGGAAGAGTCAGGTTTATACTTTTCAGGAAAAACAGATGCTGTTTGACATAAACATACACACGAGCCACTAACTGTCTCCCATGTGGAATTGACATTATGTTTTTTTTTTTTTTTGCAGACCCTGAGAGGAAAGAATGCTCCCGTTGGCCCTTCGTCAGATCTGTCTGTGTGTGGTGTTTTTCGGGTGCAGCAGCCTGGGCACAAGTCTACCTTTTTACAGCTCTCAAGAGGGAAGTACAGATGAGGAAGAAACCAGTTTCGTAAATTCCTCTGTGTCTACCAGGATCCTCTCTACTGAGCACCAAACCACACCAGAGGACCCAGCCCAAGCGGAAACAGACTTCCTAAAACAGCTTGTAAACTTTCTGGAGGAGAACATGCTTCTGATCCTGGTTGCAACCACGCTTCTTATTCTGGTCTTCCTCATTATCTGTGGGGCAATTTTCATGAGCCACAGGCGTAAGGTCAATGCGTACTACCCTTCCTCCTTTCCCTCCAACATGTATGTGGACCACCGGGACAAAACCGGTGGCGCTAAACTCTTTAATGACGTGCAAGAAAAGGCTGCTCCCGAGCGGCAGAAGGAGCCAGTGGACTCTCACAAACAGCTCCAGGCCGACATCATGAGGGCTGCCAAGAGCCTCCGCACCCCCAATAAATCCACCGACGCCGCAGAGAGGAGCGAGCCCTGTAAGAAAGCGGCAGACTACAGTCCTGAGGACAGCTCCATGCCAGATGGCAGCATCCTGAACCAGCAGTTACCAAGCGTCCCAGAGGAGAAGGAGCAGTGCGAGCTGTCCGACGGCGAGGCAGCTGAGGCGGTGGCGGGCGGTTCGGAGAAGGATCTAGAGCAGCTGGCTCAAGAGGGGGACGATTCCCAGGAGCCCTCACCTGGCAGGAGCCTCCGGCCCCCCTCTCTGCACATTCACAATGACTCTGCAACCCTCCAGCTCCTCGCAGGAGAGAAAACGGCCTTTTGAAATCGCTCCACGCTAAATTGCTTTCTGTTCAAAAGTGGAAATTTGCTAAGTCAACCCGTCCAGATTTCCTCAGATTTAAACAGATGCAGAAAAAGCTGACAAATGCTGTGAACTCCACAAATTTTCTCTCATCTATTCAGCAGAGATGGGAGCAGTTTTGAGTTCTAACATGCAACCTTATAAATAATTTGCAGGATGCGTTAAAAGTAGGCCACTTATTTTGGTGTTGAGCTTGTCAGAAACTTTTTGTTTTGTTTATGTCTTATTCAAGAGCTACTTTTGTTCCCACTTATTTTTACTTTTGTGTAAAACACTAAGATACAACTTTTTCAGTCTTTTTTAGAAAATGTTTCACATCATCCAAATGTCTGAGTATCTTTCAATTCTGTGTGACGCATCTCAACTGTTTTAATAGGTGGACTGTGTGATAAACTGAACTCAAACTTTGTGTGATTCAGAATAGTTTATTGCAGGCTTTTAGGAAGCAGTAGTAAATAATACAAATTACACTTAAAAACTACTGGACCTATCTTTTTTTTGGTTTAGAGCCACTTAACTGCATATCCATCGGGCAGTGCTGTCAAGGGGCATTTGATCGATGCCTCCAACTCATAACAAAATCTGAAAACATTACACAATCTCAAAAATATAAGGCTCAGCTTTGTACCAATAACCCATACATTGTGCGTTTACGTGACAGGCTAAAAGACTCGGTGGGGAGGGTTTAAGGACCACAGACTAGTTGAGAAAGCCTGGCATAATACTGCTACGGAGGGTTGACAGTGGCGTGGTCGTCGGAGCAGCCGGAAAGTGTAACAGTGATGCTGGGCTGCTGCTTCTCCTCTCGACAACAGGAAGCGCTCGGCTTTAATTGTTGGCCCTCACTGCCTCCTGCTGGCTGTCGTCCTGCTTGAGGCGATAGTCAGCCAGCGCCGCCTTGATGGCGTCCTCTGCAAGCACTGGGGGCGGCAACAGAAATGTGTGAGGCCGCAGCACAGCGCAGAGCAAAGTAAACCAAGAAGGTGATGAGACGGGCTAAGAAAACTTACTGGAGCAGTGGAGTTTAACGGGCGGAAGACTGAGCTCTTTGGCGATGTCCGTGTTTTTGATTTTCACAGCTTCGTCCAGCTGAAAAGAACAAAACAACGTCTTTGCTGTGGGAAGAGGCTGAATGACAGCACGTAACGAGGAACAACTATACAGGCCGTGCTCCAAAAGGAAGACAAAGAGGTGTTATCGTAATCTGTTAACATGATCACTCACAGATTTTCCCTTCACCCACTCAGTAGCCAGAGAGCTGGAGGCGATGGCAGAGCCACATCCAAAAGTTTTGAACTTGGCATCCACTATCTTCCCTTGGTCATCAACCTCGATCTGTCAGAAGTATGAAAAAGGTCTAAATAAAACACATCTGTTTGATTTTATACCAGAGGAATAAAATATGAAATGCTTTTCTTCTTGGTGTTAGTTTTATATCTTCACTGGTTGGCCCTAACGGGGGGAGACGGGAGCGTACCTGCAGCTTCATTACGTCCCCACACGCTGGAGCCCCCACCAAACCGGTTCCGACATTCTTGGAGGTTTTGTCCAGTGACCCCACATTTCTCGGGTTCTCATAATGATCCACCACCTTCCAAGAGCAGCCAGACAAAAAGAAGAATGAGGACTGGTACAGCACACGACGGACGGCAGGTGTATGCCAATCCAACCCCCCCCCCGAAAAGCATCCCTACTGGTGATGCCCTCACTCTTACACAAGCAGGGTTGTTGTGTTTTGTTATATAAGGATATCTGAAATAGGCAGATTAGGACTGGACAAAAGGAGCTCTTTTGTCCTGTGTCCTGCCCTCCTCCTGGTTTCTGCTGAGTCATTCTGACCATGGCACATCCCTGTAGGACGGAACATGTAGGGCATGTTCAAGCGGTCCAGTTTAAACCTTCAGACATATACAACCACATCTGTTGCAGAAATCGACCCCACTGTGTTGAACAAGTCATACATAACATCCAGAAAGACATTCCGAGTCGTTTTAAGGTCAACCTGAAGTTTATAAAAGGAGCCACGGCACCTGTTTCCAGCACACCGGCCTCCAACTCAATCACTTTAAGCGTTTTAATCGGATGTGAATTAAGAATTTAAACTGCGACAGCTGGGGGGGAGATTAGGAACGCACTGTGAAACTTACTCCGTAGCTACTGTGAAGCAATTGAGACAAATATCGTTTCTGAACGTCCTGGAGTCTGATGAGAGATTATTTATCTCACCTCACCGGTCAGCATGTTATAACTCACATGGATGCTGACTGATGTAACTTTGGGCCTTTGCTCAGTCAACATGTAATATATTTTCCTGTGGTTACCCCCTGCCAACGCAGTTCACTTTGTCTTATTTTTCTGAGCGAGTACGCCAATATTACCTGCTAACAGCATTGGTATTGACCTCTATTACTTATGTTATGGCTCAAACGACATTACAGTATTTGTAAACAATTATCCGAAAAGGCAGTTAACGTCCGTGACGTCACGACAGACACTCTATTTACCTTCTCGTGGTAGCAGCACCGAGAGACAAACTCCGGAGCCGAAAGCCTCCTGGTAAGGAAAGCCAGAGGGTTGAGACACTTCTTCGCCACAGTACCCGCCATGTTGACCGAACTGCGCAGTTTGGGGCAGAAGCTTCCTCAGTCTGGCTCTGCCGTAACGGACTGTGGGAGGGGCCAGTAAGGTCTCCACTGCGCATGCTCGCTGTGTGTAAATCAGCTGAGCAGAGAGCTCCTAAACAGGGTCCAGAATTGGGTTATGTGGGAGTCATTTAAATCAGTTACTTCGTGATCTAAACAAAACAAACCATCAGAACTTTTATGATATACAAAATGTGACTGTAGACGCGTAATTTCTTGAGGCTCATGTCAGAAATGGCAATGGCAATCACAAAGTTCTACTGGGAATTTTGAATAAGATTAATGCACAGGATGCAATTCTTGAAATGAAATAACACTCCTGGGTCTTGACATTTAAGCTACTGAGCTACTCAGAGAGCTTTACCACTCAAAGCCAAATTCACACAGTACTTGCCTCAGACATGCGCTTTAAAGGCTCCGCAGTGATTTTTCTGTTCTAAAGTTACTCACACGAGTCACTCACGTCTTGCACAGGGACATTGTCCCTGTGGGTGGGAAAATAACCCCTGATCTGATCTCCATCACCATGTTCAGTTGTTAATAAAGTGTCTGTTGAAGAAATTTGCAAATCATTGCGTTCTTATTTTGTCTTTTTTTTAAGCTTGCTCTTGCTTTAAGTCGACATGTGATTACTTTTAGGAAAGCTGTCAGCATTTTTTGGGGGCAAAACATAGTCAATTTTTTGGGGGGGTTTTCGTACGCTGTATTGTTGGTTTAGAATAACATCTGTGATGTACCATGGGAAATAATGACTTTTTTGAGGAGTGCCCTTAATATATCTACTTCCAACTTCAGTGTGCCCATATAAATCATAAATCTTTATGAACATTTATGAGGTTCTGCAATTAATTTAGTATTTACATGTGACATTAACTGCCTATGTCAGTACATGCATTAGCAGAAAAAAATCTGCAGATAAAAATCAGCAGATGTGTTAGAAAAAGTTAACATGTATTGTACATGTGGTTAGTTCAGTAAAAAGAATCAGTTCAGATCGTTGACATGCTTTCAAATAAACCATTTCCCCTTTTTGGCACATGGAACATTTTTAAAGAACAGAAAGTACATTTAGAGCTGGTATTTTGAATTAATAGAAATGCTTATATAGCGGCTTTTTCGAGTGCTTACAATGGTCTGTAGGTCCAACATCTCTTAGCATAAGAAGTGTGAACTGGTGGTTCTTTCTTTATTTGTGATTTTGATACTATGTTGGGCATTTGATAGTATGAGGGTTTTACATTATTGCTTTGATCTTTCCTGTGTGGGGTTTGTGTTTGCTTGGGTTAGGGTTAGGGCTATGGCTAGGGCTAACATTTTTCTCCATGAATTTCCAGTTACTCCTATTGTCAAAAAACAAGCATGTAAGGTGAGGGTCCTTATTGACCATAGTTGTCTGTGTCCTTCATCTCTGTGTGGCCCCATAAAACGCAATGGAATAAGAAAGTATAGAAAATAAATGGATGGATTCAGTGATCTCCATTCCCCAATTGCATGGGGTTTTTTTTCAATTTCAAGTCCCTTACACGTCACTCTTCTCAGAAGCACAGCCCAAAAAACAGAAGCGAGAGTAAAATACAGCAGCAAAGGACTAAAGGAGGCGACGGTCACCCTCACGCATTGTTTTGACAGGACAAGTGAGTATTCATTTATAGTTTACCTCATGTTTCATATTACACTGTGCTGTCTTTATGACTTTTCCTCCCGTTGTCTGTTAGTATGGTATGGGTGAATGTTAATGAAGAAAATCATGTTGACTTCATTTTCAGGAAATCTGACCATGGGTGTGGATTACATTGAGTATGATGACTATTCTTCAAACAATGAAACTGACAACATCACAAGTACAGATGGGCTTTTCTCTTTCGAAAGTTCTCAGTTTTCCATGACTCGTGTCCTGGTGGCAGTCAATATCATCATATCAGTCTCTGGGCTTGCTGGAAACTTGTTGGTGATTTGGATCTGTGGATGTAAAATGAAAACAACCGTTCTCACAACCTGGTATACCAGTCTGGCCATTTCAGACTTCTTATTTTGTGCTTTTTTGCCGCTCGAAGTGTACTACATGATAACCTCGCACTGGCCTTTTGGACCAGTGTTATGCAAGCTCACTTCTTCCGTCCTGTTTCTCAACATGTATAGCAGTGTTTTTCTTCTGGTTTTGATCAGTGCTGATCGCTGTGTAATGATTTTATGTCCAGTGTGGGCACACAATCACAGGACAGCGAAGAAAGCATTGGGAGTGGTTGCCCTTATGTGGCTCCTCTCTGGACTCCTGACGCTGCCCTCGCTGATTTTCAGACAGACCACAGTCCGCGGCTCAGTCACCCAGTGCCACACAGATTATACGGAGCACTACAGACACAAGGCCGTGGCTCTGAGCCGATTTATCTGTGGATTCTTGATTCCTTTCCTAATTATTATATTTTGTTGTGTTGTGCTTGGTGTAAAGTTGAGAAGGCTGACAACCAGGTCAAAAAAGCCTTACAAGATCATGGTAGCACTCATTGTGTCTTTTTTCTTCTGCTGGGTCCCCTATCATACCTTTGTTCTTTTGGAGTTGAACATTAAGAACTACAACTTGGAAGTAATTAAAACTGGACTGAAAGTGGGGGTCTCTCTGGCTTCAGCGAACTGCTGTATATCACCCATTCTCTACGTATTTGTTGGTCACGACTTCAAACGCACTTTGAAACGAACTCTGACATCAAGGATTGAGGAGGCAATGGCAGAGGATTTACGCACAGGTGGTCCCTCCACCAAGTCCAAATCAATGGAAATACAAAAATTAAGTTGATACTTTTAACATGTAGAATGCAGAAGCATTTCAAATTACATGAAAATTATTGTGTAATTGGGTGAAAATGATATAACACGATTGCTGATTACATCAAAATATGTTTAACTTTAGAAAATTGTTTAAATATCATTTTGAAAAATGTGTGTAATGTATCAAACATTTTGGCAATAGCACATAGTAAATTGTTCGCAATAAACTGTCTTTGTTAAAAATGTGAAGCAAGAAAATAAATATTTATATTTGTTTTATGTTAATGCGTGTGCGTCCATTCATTTATACATACGTATAGACACGTATTCAAAGTAATTTACAGAAACCGAGACGCAGGTAAAGATAGCCAATAGTAGCGCTCCTCGGGCCTTTAGCCACGCCCACAATCACAAAGGATACGCCCCTCCCCCCCAACAACAGGAACTACTACCGGGGTTCGCAGATTTGCGGATGTGATGCAACCAGCTGTAAGGATATTTTTCTTAACTTTTAATAACTAGTGATGATTTGAGAGTATTGTATAAACGCCACGTTTGATTCGCGCTTTGACCACAACGGCCTGTGTGTTGTTCTGTTGTGGCTTTATCCGTCAGACAGCGAACTCCTCTTCGCTTGCTAACGTCGGCGTCCACTCTCAGTACAGACGGTTGTCAGCTAGCATTCGGTGTGTTGTTGTTTTTTTTTTAAATTCCGTCTAATTTGGCTTTGTATTGCCCTTTCTCCTGCCTGTTGACCATCAGCCCTATCACCTGGACCTCTCTATACATGTATGTTGAGGCGCTGGGTGCTGACGGAGTCGCCCCCACAGCACTGTCCCGGTTGCTGGATCACGTTGGAATAAATGGCGGCTGCTGCCCCCCCTCCTCCGGCCTCCGGCTCCACGGCGGCCGCTGAGAACCCCGCTCCCGGGGCCAGCAGCTCGGCTGCGGCTGACGGTGGCACCCAGGACAGCACGTTCGAGTGCAACATATGCCTGGACACCGCTAAGGATGCCGTGATTAGCTTATGTGGTCACCTCTTCTGGTAAGATGGAAATTGCTGTCTGTGACCTGTGTTTGAAACCACATGACTAAGTCCAGTTACCAGAAGCAGCTTCTGAGTCAGTCATTGCTCTACTGACCAAGAGTTGATCCGAGACTCAAATCTTTTGGCATACATTTAAGAAACCAGTGTAGTTTGTGGTTGGCTGCATGTTTTCTACACTCTTTGTTGTAATTATGTAGTTATATTTACTACATTTATTTGGTATGTCTGTTATGTTATGCACTTGAGCAACATTCACAAATTAACAGAAAACCTTTTATTGTATTTAACATTTTGTTTGGCTTTATTATCCCTCACAGTGATGCCTGACGACGCTTTCACGCTCATGATTTAAATAAAAATTACGTTAACTGTAGGAGTTAGTCGCTTAAATACCCTATTTTGTACATTTTGTATGGTTTATGTGACGGAAAATCTTCATTTTCCAAAGTGGCTAGCTCTGCTCTGACATGACATTATCTCTTTGGGATGAAACAGTTTCTGCCTGTTATCACCGTGAAATATTCCTTTTTGCATTTATGTATTTTGTCTATTTGTTGTATTTATGTACAAAAGCTCAAAAACTCCATGAACAACATGAAATCATGTCATCTTAGATGAGACAAGTGGAGGTCATTTCCTTGTCAAAGTGAGCTTTTTAGAAATAATGTGATTTCAATATCAGTGTCATACATCACTGAATGCCTAAAGAGAAGTTAGATAAGGAAATAAGGGCTTTCTGTTTCTTCTTTTTTTAGTGGTTGCTTATATGCTTCCTCTGGGTCTCATGTTTGTCAGGTTGCCACAAGATTAAGGATATTCTACTAATCAAACTTCTTCCCCTCTTTTTTGTCCTCTGTTTTCTTCTGAACTCGTGATTAGTTGGCCTTGTTTGCATCAGGTAAGGAGAAGCTTTGCTTTCATTTCCTTTTTTAGAAATTCTAAAGAAATCGGCCCAGAGGCCTCACGAATAAAGCGGTCAGGGTCTTCAGTGTCTTCTTGTTTGTCTGCAGTGGTTGGAGACCCGACCCAACAGACAAGTGTGTCCAGTCTGCAAGGCTGGTATCAGCCGAGACAAAGTAATCCCCCTGTATGGGAGGGGGAGCACCGGCCAGCAGGATCCCAGGTGGGTGTCCAGTTGCCTTAAGAAGCTATGTTCTCATTTTGTGGGGTAGGGTTCACTACTAGTGTAACGTCATTTATACACATAAAAAACGTAAATCTTGTTTCTCTCTTTTTTTATCCGAAATTATCTTTTAGAGAGAGAACACCCCCTCGACCTCAAGGACAAAGACCTGAACCAGAAAACCGTGGTGTAAGTACACAAAACCTAAAGCTTCAAGCTTCAGATTTTTTTTTAACCCCCTGTGGATACCAGCAATCGTCTTAGTGCGCCGAGAGGCGCCGCGCGCTCCTGATGCAAATGTTACCTGCCGTGATGTAACCCCTGCGTGTCCCAGAGGGAGCCATTACACCGCAGCCACATGGAGGCTTTTCCTCTCAGGGGGACGAGCAGCGCTGTGTCGTCATGCCCAGTAAACACAGGCTGTCCTGTCTCGCAGGGTTTTCAGGGATTCGGCTTTGGAGATGGCGGTTTCCAGATGTCGTTTGGGATCGGCGCCTTTCCGTTCGGTATTTTCGCCACGGCCTTCAACATCAACGACGGGCGACCCCCTCCAGGTAGACGCGGCGCTCACTGTGAGTACTCGCCATCTGTAAGCCACCAAATGACCTCCGTTCAATCTCTTGTCTTCGTAGCGGCCCCTGGAACCCCGCAGCACACGGACGAGCAGTTTTTGTCCCGGCTCTTCCTGTTTGTGGCTCTGGTGATTATGTTTTGGTTACTAATTGCATGAACGTGTGAGAGGAGCGCGTAGAATTAACCCAGAGGACAGGCAGAGGGGCACAGCAGCGTCCCATCCCGGCCTGTTCAAACGTTTTTCTGATTTCCTCCACATTGTCTTTTGGTTACTCCCTGTCTTTGAAAATGAACCTTTTTAAGGGGATAAACCTCCCGCTGCTTCATTTGCCAAGTGCACATGATGGGGAGGCATTTATGAAGCGTCAAATTGCTCTCTTTGTCATGAAAAAACAAATCTGATGCAGAGAAAAAACAAGTTTCTCCTTTGTGTGTTCCAAATCAATTCCATATTAACTCACCACTAGACTCACTGGTTTATTTCTTATTTGTGGCGGTCTGCTGGAATACACAGCTGCCACTGGTACGGAGCCTCTGAGCTCTCACTGGGAGGTTGGTAAAGGAGGTTGTGTGCTCATCGCTCTGACCAGCCAGTTAAAGGTCAAAGTGTGTCATACTGTGGATTGTGAGCGAACCTTCAGACCATTGATTCACTGTATCTGGACAAGATGTTTACAGACTCTGTCTATACCACAAAAATCAAACTTCTGTTTTAAGTCATTTTGTTTTAGTTTAAACCTTTCTGTGCTGAGCAAATCAACTCCTTTTCCTCCCCATGCTGTATAATCTGTTGTTTTGCTCGGCGCCGTTGTAATTAATTGTAAAATACTGTAAATGACAGAGTTCAAATGGAAGCATGCTGTTGGACGACTTTTCTAAGTGTGAATTTCCCCTGTTGACAGTAAAGCTTTATAAACAAAGTTAGGCGAAATTGTGTTTCATTCTTTTCCATTTTATTTGAAAATCTGTAGTCTTACCTCTAATAAATATACAAATTGACACAGTCTAAATGACATTCCGCATTAAAAAAATAGTTTAACTTCCACTCCACCAGTTTGTGAAAGAACAGGCGACTTTAAAAAAAAGCAGAGAAAAGCTCCCTAAAGTCTGTCCTGTGCTCCCAGCTCCTTCTTTTTCACCTGCAGCTCTGCCTGGGCAACGTTGAACTCTGCTTCATACATTATCTGCTGGATCTTCATTTTTGTCTCGCACCTTTTTTGCGGGGCGAGTCGCTTCAGAGCCGGAACGAAGCTGAGCATAAACAGCTCGTCTTCGTCCCGCGGCCTGGTGGGGAGCGAGGCCCCATTGTCTTTGGGCAGCCATTTGGATGGCGAGTTCGTGCTCTGAGGAGAGAGCGGCGACACCGACCCCAGGGCAGGTTTCCTCTTCCGCCCGGTTTTGCTGGGGGGGGTGATCTGCGGCACTGACGGCGTCTTGGCTCCGAGCGGTGTGTCCTGAGAGGGCGCGGGCACCTGTGTTCCAAAGGCCAGATGAGGCTTGTTTTCAGAAGGACTCACAGGTACCTTCGAGGCATTGTGTGGTGCCTTCACAGACTCGGATAAAGCGGTATCTGCCTCGTGGTCATCAGAACAGTCCTGCATGTCATCATCGTCGTTTCCACAGATGTCCGCCACACTACCCCTCGACCCAGTGAAGGGGGCGATGAAATTCATAAGTTGTCTGTATTTCCATTTGCTTTGTATGATGTCTCCCTGCCGCTTGCTTTTGATTTCCATTCGTACTTCTTTTAGGTACCGGTCTCTTAAGTTCTTCCATTTTCTTTTACACTCTTCAGCTAAAGGGAGAGACAATAATGTCAGAAGCAGAAGTCGATAATGCCCACAAACATAGAAAGATGCTACCACATCCCTAATGATGCACAGCTGGGTGTGAATCTTGCAGTTTCAGACACTATAAAAGAGGTAAATGTGTACTGTCCTCTAACTGAAATAGCTACTTCAACCGTTCAGTGCGCCCTTCAAACGTTGTCAAGCTTTGTAAACAAAGTATCTATTTTGATAAAAGGAAGTTAAGAAGAACAGTTCTGCCTCTGTTCCTCCAAGAGTGAAGTGCTCAGAGATTTCTGAAAGGTTAGAGGAGCTAAATACCAAATCAATATCAGTTATCAAAATATTATCTTTATCTAACTCCAAGCTCTCAATCTAACTGTAAACTCTGTAGTGATTCATTCAGTAAGTCTCTTTATATCTGATGCCAGTTATACTTTTTAGTATTTCCAAATTTAAACCACTTTTAAAACTTTCATTTAAAACATATTTTTGTCCAGTAATGCAAATTACGAATTCATTAATCTACCATTCATTAGTGGATTTTTGGGGTCTGAATTCCTAATGTGTTTTAATCTGCTGAGGGAATTGGCAAAAGTTGCCTCATTCCATAACTTTCTGTCAGCGTGCCATCGCCATGCTGAATGCACGGGTCACTTTTTTTCTTCTACCCGGGTTTCTGGGTTTCTTTTACGCTGGGGGGCCTGCGTCTAAACGCTCCGGCATATTTTATCCCAAACACAGCGGCGGCTCCCCGCTGTAACAAGATTTTTGCATTCAATAAGTTGCCGGGCAAACCGAGACGCCGACACGGCTCTGCTCCTCCAGCGTGCTGCTAGCGGCCTGCGGCGGCTACCGCTAGCACGCCGCGCGCGGCGGAATCGACGCCACCGGGATGGGGGCGCGTGCGGAAAAAAAGGAGCTAAAGTCTGCAAATTCCATGGAAACGCGTGTCAAACGCATAAAAACCGAGCGCCTACTTTCTGCCTGTGTATTCCTTCCAGTTTTAGGAGGCTAAACCAATATTAATACACAGTAAAGTTGCATAAATAGTGCATTACTCACATGGAAGACCCAGAGAAACGCTGATGCTTCTCCAGGCATTCGCGCGACTTTCTGTGCACCGGTAATTCGGCAAAGTGACGTTGAACAGCTCTGGGTAATTAAGAACGGCCAATATTAACTTATCGTCCATTTCGCCTCAGTGTTTTTTTTGGTGGGGGGTTCTGTGCTGTTGCGCGGACGCGGAAGCGGCAGCCTTCTCCCGCCTTTTCCGCTCTGCTGCTGCTCAGACGCCAGTTATCGCGAGCTGCGAGCAGTCTGCAGGCTGTGGACACGAGAGGCCGCCATTACCAGGACCGGTGCCCGGGCCCCTCGCTGGGATGAACTCACATTAAACAAAAACAATAAACCGGGAATAGCCAAAATTGTAATAACAAACAATTAACTCTTTCTGTTCAGCCAAACCGAATTCGGGGTCTTCTGAAAAGTTCAACTATAGATTCTGACGCACTGCCTCAAACCTTTTTTTTTTTTCCTGGACCACATGGGTAAAAAGTTATGTCCAGGCATCACCACTATGTGAAACATTGTGTCTATCTAATAATGAAAAAAAACAACACATAGTTTTAACAAAGTAACCAGTTTGGACAGTTTTTGTCAACCACAGTCCACGCATTAGAGTGTTTCCTTTTCAACCATTCTGCTGATTTACTCAGCATGCTCAGGAGGCTTTTCTCTTCTTTTTTTTAGCATAATTTTGCAAAATACAATGATTTCTCTCAATTCTTCGTTTTTTTTATTTAATTTCTTATCTCTGATGTACTGCAGTCAATAGTGGGATTTTGAATTGTTTGCGAATCCCTGTTTTCAGTGTGCAGTTTGCACGTTTTTCCTGCGCCTCCTTGGATTTTCACAGAGTTCTCCACATTGTTTCCACAGCCACAAGACGTCTGTGTTACATTTACTTGAGATTCAGATTTGAATTTGTTTTTCTCTCAGCAGTAAGAATAAAGCTGGCAGGGGTTGGGGCATAAATAGATGGATATATTATAGTTTCATTTTCATTTTTACACCAAATCCCTGTTACCACAGAAACAAGTTTGTGTGCTTGTTTTTTCTGACCATCCTCCAGCTCCAGTGTTTTTCTTGTTAAATGCTCACGAATCTGTGGGATTTACAGGCCAACCTTCGAACGGGGGGAAGCATTCTTTTGGAAAAATAGCTTGAGGATGGAACCCTTGGCTTTTAATACAGGAAACTTCAAATCTCCATGAAATGAGCAGATTTATGTTTTTGTTTTTTGTTTGCTCAAAGCTGATTGGAAATCTTGACTTCTTGATTTCATGGTTTGAAAATGCAGTGCACTACTTCAATGTTTACAAACCTGAACAATAATACACGCAATGATTACTGAATAACACGCCATCAGCTTAGCCCTCTGCCTACAGACAAAGTCAACAGCACGTCCCTGAGCTCATTGTCAGATCTCAGGGGAACAATTATGGAGAAGCACATCGCCGAGAAACGTTCTACGGCACAGATCGGTTTTCCTGATTGTTCTCATGTGTCTTCTGAGCTGCGATTCTCTGCACAACTTTGGAGAAGATATAGAGAGTGAGGCTGATCCTCTGCATATTTCTGGTCACACAGCTGCAAATTGCTCATTCCTCAGGAGGTGTTGAAACCCAGTCCAGCAACAAGCAGAGACACTGAGCATTGTTACACGAACCACTGATCCATTCTGCAGTGCTCTGCTCATTCACCAGCAGTCACTATGTGGGTGTATGCGATTGGCCTCCTGTGTGCATTGAACTGATAACATTTGTGTGTATTGTTATTTTATTTTTTTCCTCCCAAGGATTTCCGTTTGAAACGCTCTTCAGAATGTCTGATCCAAACAAATAACCTGAAGGGCATGTTGGTCAGGGGTCGGTTTGCAGTGCTCAGTATTCCAATGGAATATTTTCAAGATGCGACATGGAATCCCAGAAAAGCCAAATGAGTGGGCACAAGGAGTGTCTGTCAGAGTACAATAAAGGTGTTGCTCGGATAGCTCCGTGATGGTTACAGGCTTTTTAAAATAGCAAAAAAGGTTAATGGAACGAAATTAATTTGGAGGAAAAATCTGTTGAAAAACCTAATTCGAATTTGTTTGTTTTTTTTACTTACCATTGTGTGGTGACTCTTCTCTACACCTTAGCTCTCATAACAAATATTGCTTACAACAACAACACAGACCTTTATCATTCTAATCCCCAGTAATGAATTTTGAACTCCTTGAACCTACAAGGATGTGGTACAATCGCTCCTATTGAGGACCACAATAACTGCAGATAACAATCTCACTTGCGGCGCAAACTATACATCAACAATCTGGAAGCTATTAAACCCAAGTGAAAAGGATGGTGTTTATTGTTATCTTTTTTTCCTTTTTTTTCCCAAAAGCCCTTATGAATGGGGGCTTAAGACAGATTGTGGAAATCCATTAATTCCCTGAAAAAAGGTGTATCGCCTTGTATGAAATCACAGGATTTGCTGAGGGGATGAATTTAACCTGAAATGCCGTTAGCTCAGCTGTGCACATTGTCAGAGAAGTCAAAACGAAAAGACTGCAGCCCATGGATGAGACACATGATGCATGATCGTGAATACAAAGCACAGGGATGGATATCGTCTCTTGATTTACTCCCTCTGTGTGCGTTCATCTGCATTTTATACAGATGTATTAGTGTCAGCACATGCCAACGGCTCAAGGCAAAGAGAGTCATCCATTCATCTCTAACCCCCTAATTAGTTGGTGAAATTACTGTTAACATCAGTCTAAACCAGTTTGTAAAAAAATTCAGGAAACCACAAATTTAAAAGTGATTATTTGTTGATAAAATTGAATCGAAAAGTGATATTATGAAATTAATTTAAAGGATAATCCTAAAATTAATCGCGTACAATCTCAGGCTACACCAAAAACGTTCATCTTTAAATCCAGGTTTCTAATACCAAGCAATCCCCTTTTCTCTAAAACCTCAACAATAAGGATCTTAGGAGCTCTCCACTTCTCATTTTATGCAGTGAAATCTGATTTCTTTTGGAGAAAGGAATGAGGTAAGATTAACTGAATCTGCTGTCCTCCCTAACCTCTTCACAAAACTGCCCAGATTAGCTAGGAATTAAGTTTCAACCGTTTTATGTGTCTGGTCCGCAGGGGGATTATGGTTTTACTTTTTTTCTTTTCTTTTTTTTCCTTTTTTTCTTTGCTTATAAGGGCTTGACTCGCTGTTGTAGAAGAAGGAGAGGAGAGAGGCAGAAATCAAACTGTTGTGTGTCACTGTCCTGTGATCATCACTGCTTTGAGCTCTCCCGGAATTTCCCTGTAGATGGATGGACTGGTCAGGATGGAAAGACAAAAGTTTCCATTCAGCATTGAAAACATTCTGAGCAAATACCCAAACGGCAATGGAGAAAAACGGTCATGTGGAGCAAGTGGTCTCGGACTAACAGAGAAGACAGCGCGTCCTGCCAGAGGCCAGGCGGAGTCTGTCCATCGTGCCTGTCTCTGCTGCTGCTGCTGCTCTCACTGCGCCGACGTATTCCACACCGATTTCATCCATGAAGGTAGGACCATTCCAGCAACTCTCCCAATAAAAGAAAAAAAAAATCTGAAGTATTCTGCTCCCAAATCTTAAATCTGCTCCCCGCAGCCTGTCAGTATGGCTGGAACCCAGCCGTCCTGTCGGAGCCCTGCAGGCTGGGAGACGCTCCCCGGGAGGAGCAGCCGCCCGGTCAGGTGCAGAGGAGGACCCGGCGTCACCGGACCATTTTCACCGAGGAACAGCTGGACGCGCTGGAGGAGCTGTTCCTGCAGAACCAGTATCCAGATGTGAACACCAGAGAAAAACTTGCACAGCACACTCACTTAAGAGAAGAGAGAGTAGAGGTAAGATATGTTAGTCTTGTCTGTTTGAGAGTGTTGAGTTGTTGAGTTAACCTTCTTTAATATGCTGACATGTACATTAATGTACAAAGATACAGAGGAATGCAAATATTAAAGAACGTAGCGAGGATGATGTTTGAATTTGTATTCATTTGAGATCTTTTTAACAAATTTTAACGTTTTACTGATGCTTGTTAAATGTTTTCAACATGAGCATGAAAATATGAATGCAGGATGCAAATAACTACTACTCAATACTTCCCAATAATGCTGCTTCTTTTCTAAAACACAGGTTTGGTTTAAAAACCGAAGAGCAAAGTGGAGACGTCAGAAAAGACTCACATTTGTCGTTGGAAACACAGAAAATTGAATTTTGTATTATTGACACAGACCACTGCTGAAAAAGATGGAGGATACAAACATTATTTTTTGTTTCTATTGTTTGAAACGCTAACTAGAAAAAGTGTCTATTCAACCGGGGGGAAAAGCGATATCATAGAATAAACTAACTTGGATCTTTTTGTGTCAGTTCTGCCAAATAAGAATAGTTTCTTTAACTCTTACTGGTCCAGTACTCCATGCAGGTATCAGCAATATAACTAACACTGAAAGATAACTCTGTTCTGTGAATGTGTGTTGCTTATTGTTTTCCACAGATTGTGAACAAATGTCCTTGGGGAATAAAGTTTTATGTTTCTTTTTTGTTTCAAGTGGAGTTAGTTTGTGCAAACACACTCAATGCGAACTCAGAAGATGATGTTCACTGAAAATAAAACCTTAGGATTTAAATATTTCTCAGAGGCTCAACTTAAATGATAAACCACAACACAGGTTGTCACCTTATGTAAGTTCAATCTGAGATTCAAACATCTGTCTTTATTAAATTTGTTCAAATTCTTCATGGTGAAAACATCACAAATATAATATTTTATAATTATTTTTGTTTTTCCCCAAATGGTGGCTCAGATTTACGTATGTTCCCTAAATGTACTAATTTACAGGTTCAAATGTTTGACAGCAAAATTGTCTAGCTTTTGTTTTGCTGATAGTGTCACCCGTGCATAAATTAATCACCCTAGCCATTATCTTTTATTTCGTCAGGAAATTATACTGTTGTCAATACACGAAAAGTCACAACCAATTAAAACATCGAGGAGTTTTAGCTCTACTCTCCTCTCTGAGGTCACGTGTTAAGTTTTATACTGGAAATTTCTTCAGCTCCGAACATCCGGTGACGTAAGTCTTTAACCATAACGTAAGTGCGTACTGTGTGTACAGTGGCGCTTTGGCTAATTGTAAGGGGATTTGTTGCAATTGGAGACTCTAGTCTAATTGCTAAGGCGTAATTGTCTTCGGTACTATTTTTGTCAAGCCTTGTTTATCAAGAAAAGGGGCAAACTATCTTAATTTCTGCCCTGTGGTTGTTTTTTCGGAGCTCTTCTTTAGCCTTTAGGCTAGTTGGCTAACAGGGTTCACAATGGAGGGTAGCGCTAGCGTGAGGAGAGCGTTGTCTGGGACCCTGGTCCCTTTGGCAATCACAACAGTAGCTCTGCGTCAACCCGAGGAAAATGAGAAGGATAAGGGGAAATTCAAACGAAAAGTTCTTGATGAAGAGGAATACATTGAAGTAAGTTGTTTTTATTGTTTCCGGCACAGCAGACGCCCTTCTCTTTAGCTTGAGTTGTTAGCATGTTGTGTACATCACAATAATACTGTAAACAACGTATTTATTTGCACTTTTTAAATACACGCATCATAATATGACAATGGATAAATGTGTCATTTGGAGAAAGAAGTATAATTGTAAAGATTGTTAAGTGTAGTTACATCAGAGATATCAGTGGACAGGTTTACTGTCATTTTCTATTAAAAAAACAAACCATGGAGTCATATTGTCATGCTGTTGGATACATTCCTCGTGGTTTGTTTATTATTGCAATGTTTTGCGTTATATTTTGCACTGCTTTTTTTCCAGAACTTAGAAAAAATCATCCAGAGAGATTTTTTCCCAGACGTGACAAAAATGCAAGCACAAAAAGATTATTTGGAAGCAGAAGAATGTGGAGACCTGGAGAGAATGAGAGAGATCTCTATCCGATATGGGTCATCTTTGAACAAGTCTACACCACAATCAACTGCTCCCTGTAAGTAAAGAGATTGAAAAATCTTTAAAGAATTTACCCTATTGTCACTCATGACTTTAATGTAAAAAATATATACACAATATGTAACCCCCCCCTCCCTTTTTTTAATGAAAGATGTCACCCCTGCAAGCTTTGAGACACCAGTGGGCTGCCCAGGATCTCCCTCCTCCACCTACGGTAACAAAGGTTCAGATGGAGGTACGTGTCAAGTTAAATTTATTGTTTGTGTCTTACTTTGATTTTTTTAAAGTGCTATCTTACTATTAATTCAAATAATTTTCATTCAAATTGAAGGTTTGACAGAACATTCAATGAAAATACAGAGATTCACTCATCATTCACCCTAATTTTTCTGTTGATGTTTTTATAGAGAAAAGGAACAATGACAATGAAGAGAAAAGGTTGCCCTGTCTGGACCGTTTCCTTGCCAAAAATACCAGTGAGGATAACGCATCCTTCGAGCAGATAATGGATCTGGCAGAGGATAAAGAGAAACTTAAGCATTCTTGGTTGTATGAAGCAGAAGTAGAATTCAAAGAGGTTGGTGGATCTTTTTACTATTGTTTTTAAGTTATAAAATAACCATGGTCTGGTTATTATTAGTAATTCTCATGGTCTTTGTTTTTTTCCCGCCAGCGCCATGAGAAAAACCTTGCCTTACCATCAGTAGAGAAGGCTGCTCTTGAATGCGTCAAAGCTGGGCTGGAGACGTGGGAGTACAAAGCCAAAAATGCCTTGATGTATTATCCTGAGGGTATTGTCTTTGTTTTCTTCATTTCACCTTTAATGTTAATTTAATATCTAAAATCTGCCCATTTAACTGTGCTTGGAGGACTGAAAGCAACGTTTTGACATGTTTTCTAACTTTATTTAGGTGTCAAAGACGATGATGCTTTGTTCAAGAAGCCAAGAGAGGTCGTACATAAGAACACCCGCTTTGCTGGGGACCCATTCAGCAAAGCACTCAACAAAAGCCAAATTCAACAGGCAGCAGCATTGAATGCACAGGTACAATCATATGATTCCTATTTCAATATTCATTAAGTAATCTGTACATTTCTGATAAAATATATATATATATATATATACACACACAATGTGTCAGTCTGAATGATGTGGTAAATGTATCTTTCTTTCTCTGCAGTTTAAACAGGGCAAAGTGGGCCCTGATGGCAAAGAGTTAATCCCACATGAATCTCCAACAGTGAATGGATACGGCTTTGAAAGGACCCCCTCCCCTGCACCTGGTAAAGGGCTTTCTTTTTAATCCTGAAATTATTCAAATTCTTCTCTTATGCTAATCTCATCTTTATGACTATTTTCACTGGGCTAACATAAAGTAACGAGTTGAAACATGATCCCATCCAGGCCATCTATCCACTTTGAGTTGGAATGTGTGAAGTTTGTAAAATAAGCAGACAAGATTTCAAAGCATTCTAACTGGGTGTGTGCATGTCGGAAAACATCCTAGTGTCTTTAGGGACTCATTTGGCTATTTTTTTTTACATTTATTTATCATGTCAATCTTTTTTTAATCCTCTGTGTTCCTTCAGGTGTAACTGATTCCCCTCTGATGACCTGGGGTGAGATTGAGAGCACCCCTTTTCGTTTGGATGGATCTGACAGTCCATATGTTGAGAGGAACCACGGCCCTTCTTTTAAGGTACTGAACGTTTAGCCTTGGATTTACTGACTGTTGCTCTTCGATTGTTCGAAATGGGAACATTTTCAAACGTCTGTTCTCTCTGAAAGATTCCAGAGCCGGGCAGACGGGAGAGGCTGGGATTGAAAATGGCGAATGAAGCTGCAGCCAAGAACCGCGCAAAGAAACAGGAGGCATTGCGTAAAGTCACAGAGAACCTAGCAAGGTATAAAGACTCAGTCATTCTGAGTATATCCTCTAAAAACTCTCTGAACTTTACAGATGATTTCATTTTGGCCTAATATTTAGTTTTAACAGGAGATTGTGTGTTTTGTTGTTCAGTTTTCCCTAACAGTGCACCTCATGTTTGTATTGCAGCCTTACACCCAAAGGTCTGAGCCCCGCTCTCACGCCCGCCCTGCAGCGGCTTGTAAATCGGACATCTAGCAAATATACGGACAAAGCGCTGCGGGCCAGTTACACCCCTTCACCCTCACACAGAGTCCCAAGCTGCAAGTCTCCCTTCGGTGGCCCAGCCACTCCTACAGGAACACCCACACCCAACAAAGCCAAGACGCCCAGCTCTCAGGACCTCACGTCCCTCACAGACAATCTGCTGCAGCTCCCCAAGAGACGGAAAGCCTCCGATTTTTTCTAAGAGGACAAACTCTGCTCGGACTGTATCTACAAAAAAAAAAAAAACGGACTTGTGAACATTTTTACCATCACCATCCAGACCAGTTTTCTTAATTTAAGGATTTTTTGGGGGGGTTGTAGGATGTGATGAGAGCATTGTACAGTGGACTAATGAACGTATTAAATAACTATTTGTTACATTAGAACGTAGATGATTTTGTCTGTTTTTATTTTAAGTTTCAGAGGTTTTATAAAAAAAATTAAAAACAAAATCATGCATATTTTCCTTGTCTCACACATGTTCGACACGTGGATCTCTGCATCACTTATTCATCAGATGTCATTCATCACATGTTCAGTTTGTGCTGACAGACTCCAGCCATGTACCTCTACAGCTTTTACATGAACTGACCCATTAAAGGTCAGTTAATGAGAGGAGACTTCATTGTAGATTAACAAGAACAATTCACTAAGACATTGACTGGTTTTCTGATTATATGATCTGAAATTATCTGCAGGCTGGAGGCAAATCAATGAAAGTAATGATTTTGGAAAATAGCCTAGATTTCACTGATTATTTCTGAAAGTTTCTTTTAATCCTTATCAAAGGCACAGTCAGTGACGGAGGTAATCTCCATAACGGGGTTGATAAGCACACTGACATGTCACAGTGAAAGCTGGGCAAAGTAAGCCTCCTCCTGCTTCACCCTTGAAGCTTTTTAGGATGAAAAGCCCACACCACATTGTTCCTGTAAATATCTAATGAGGGTAGTTTTTTACAATTTTTTACCGTTCCTAGACCAAAGCCTTTTTTCAATCAATATTTTCGGAAACTTGTTGATTTAAAATCCCTGCACAGGTCACACCACAAGATCTTAATTGGATAAAGGTTGCTAGTTGGATTTACCCAGGTACTAAGCTTTTACATCCTCTAAACTCCAGGTCATGGAGTACTGCCCAGTCATCCTGTGGAAAATGTTGCCAACACAGTTTTACATTCTTTGTCCTTTGACTCAAAACCTTGTTGTGCCCTTTGCTATATTACATAGTTGGTTGGATTTGAGTTTATAAGCATAGTACCCTTTTTTTCCCCAACAAACTGCAGCTTTGTGCGTTTTTGCCATTTTTCTTTTCTTAAACATCCTCAGAGACCAATTTGGTGCATTTTTCTGATTCAAATGCAAAAAGGTGATTGAATGTGTTGTCTTTACTATGTAATAACACAGTTACAATAGCACAATATATCAACACGATGGTATCCCCCTACATTTAGGTAAAATCTTTAATTTTCTCTTTATTTTTCCAGTCACACTATACTCAGTCATGCGAGAAAAAATACTTTAACCTGCGTGGTCGGTCAATAACATCCGGTCAATACAACTTTCTGTGATATTATCATAGGTGGCTCTCCGCGTTATCAACCCAGCAGACCCGCTCGTACCCAAACGCCGTGTGCCAGGCGGCGTAATCTGCTAAACTCCGCCCCGGCAGCTCCTCCAGCTGACGGCCTGCCCGTGTGATGCATGTTTGGAATTGTTGTGATCGGAGGCCGCAGCCATCTTGGATGAGCGCCGCTCCGCACCGAGCAGCAGCTCCGAACAGTCGACGGTAACCGCCGAGCCAGCTAGCTAACGTTAGCCTCGCGACCAGATTAACCGCAATCTGTGCCGCCGTGCAACGCCACTATGCTCCAAATGCGTCGTTTAGTTCGGTCGGGCGACGCATTAAGTGCGTAGAAAAATGGACAGAGAGTGTTTCCAGCCTCCATCGTTGTAATTGCAAGAGGGCGGCGGCGTTGCAGATCCTCGGTATATTTTTAAATTTTCTGGATAGAGGAGTTACTATGAATGGCGGATAAATGTTGCCGAAGGCTGACAGCAGCAGTTTCGTCCTCTTCTCTCTTCTCTTCGTCCTCACACTAACGGACCCACCACGGACAGGTAAAAAAAAAATAACAACAACAACAACAACAAAAAAAACCTAAGTTGTGTCTCCCTCCCCCTGTGAACACACTTCTGTGGGCAGGAAAAGGCAGGAGCGCCAGGTCCGGGGCAGAGGCCTGCCGGACCGGCCGCGGACTCCCGTGGTGCTTTAAACCGAGGCTCTGCCGCCTTTTTCAATGCGCTGTAGCCGTTTCTCTGCTAGAAAAAGGGCCCCTGAAAAAACAAAACAGTCCACAGTCCTTTAACAGAGGCGCTCAAAACCAACGCAAACCAAAATTTCCCTCAACGGATTAATGCACAGGTAACGACAGGCTAGTTCACGCGCTGACCGAAATATTAGCTAGCCGGACGTGTTGAACCACCTGCATTGGGAAGTGATTATATAAGAAATGTTCGTGTTTATTAACTTGCACGGGCTTGTTTACCCTTACCTGTATTCTCTGTGATTTTAAAATGCAAATTGAACGTACTCCGTTATCAAATAGCTTATATTGGGTTGAACACATCAGTCTGGCAAAACAGACAGTGATTGCCTGCATTTTATTTGAATAGGTAAATTCCCCAGTAAAATGGGGTTAAAAAAAAGGATAGATGGATGCCCAAAAGCCCTTATAAGGACATGCAGGCTATTTGTTTAAAAACCTCATCCATTTCTAAGGCAGCACTGTCATATTGCCTTTCCCTCCTGTCTGCACATGTGTTTGATGAACCAAACAAGGGCATCCTTTTCAGATGGCTCCTCTTAATGGAGAGCCTATACCCCTGCTTTGAATAAAAGCCTTTCTGTAGCTTTTTAAGCTGCGGGAGGACAAATGCGTCTTGTGGTTTCCTTTAGGCCTGGTCTTGTGATCCTGCCAATTGTGTGGATTAGAGAAACCGTTATCAGTTGAGCTCATGGATAAACGCATTATTGTCTGGCTTCAACTAAAGAAGTGACCTCCTGCCTTGAAAACAAATTAAACACGTCGCAGTCTTAATGTGCGCCGAGGTTGGTTTCTCTGGCCATTTCAAGATGGTAGAGAATTTGAATGACTCAAACGTTTAGGAATACAAAAACATTTGATTTGTACATAATTTGAGTGAATCATCTGAAAAGTAAAGGTTGTCCTTTGTGCACACGTCAGCCTTGCACTCTATCTTTTTTAATAAAGTACTGCCTTGGCCTGAATGCATGTTTTGAAACCCCAGCTTGTTGTTTGGCTGATGATATTTTGCACAGGCGGTGTCACAGGGTGTGTTTGTGTGGCTTTGGGAGCTTGATAGCCTCATGACTTGGACCTTAACCTTGAAAATATGTGGTCTGTGAAGATCACGTTGGTTCAGATATCTCTTATTGTCTTACAGACTAACAGCATAATTACACTTTTACATGGACCTAGTTTCATTTTCAAGAGAGACTCTTAATTTTGTCGTTGTGTGCTCAATCTGTGAGTGAAATTAAATCCTTAACTTATTTGTATGCTTGCTCTGCAGCAGGTTGTCACAAAGGCAAATGTTGCTTTTAACCATCACATTTCTAAATGACTTATCAAGCATTATGTGATTTAAACACAGTAATACCTTTAGGGTTACTCTTCTCACACAGCACTGAACTATAATGCGATCATTTGTGACAAATGCAAATCAGAGGTCCACATGACAGAGCTCTCAGGAGGTTTAGAGGTTATGAACATTTCCTGTGGTTGTTGGAGTCAATTCCCTTAACACAAAGACTGAAATGAAGTGTTCTGGACCAAAATGCAGAAGTTCTCTATTAAGATGAGGTTTCGAAGTGAGCAGAAAAAAAAAGCAGAGTAAGTAGCGCCTTATTGAACGGAACATTCTCAAAACCCTCATCAATTTCAGCCGACAGTCAGCTGAACTCTGTCAGTGTGGTTTAGCGCCTGACTTGAGTTGAATTGCTCTTGCGGCTGGATTAGAGAAAAAAAAAAGTTCGGTATTTTTCAATCCCAATGGACCAAACAACCCATTACCCATAAAGGACATCTCTTATTTATTGGACGGTAGTCTCTTAAATGTTTCTATAGATATAAATAGTATGGTTGAAAAACCTGTGAGAAGCACTTCCAGAGCTTGCAGGTTTAAGTGGAGCAGTCCCCCCGACATAAAGCAAAGTTATTGCTCTGTGGGCTCTGTAACGGGCGTCCAGATGCTCTGTTTCCTGCTGCAGGATGCTCAGAGACACCCTTGACCTTCCACACAGTTCTGTCTTGGAGCTAAATGAGTTTTGTTATGTCTTCTTTGTACTGATTTGAAAAGATCAGCAGTATGGTTTAGTAACTAAAACAGTTTGATAAGGAAGTGAAACTTTATTGTTAGATATCTTGCGTGTTGACAAAAGATACTTCAGCCAAGATGACGATACACTTCCTGAAACATTTCATGGTTACTTCGACTTTAGATTTAGCTCCTTTTGGCACTGGTCAAAATAACCCGCTGACACCTGGCTATAGCGTGCGATGGCCAGATGTTTTCGTACTTATTATTAAGAGCAACGTCTGGGGTTCTTGATCTCAACTCGCCTTCTTTCAGCCTGAGTGGGAACACAGGTTTTGCACTTACCTCTGCTGAGTATCCTGCATTTATGGGGAAAAAAATTGGCTCAGCTGATTTTTTTGTCCACAGAAGCATGTTTTTACTGATGGTGACGTCTCACATGGAGACTCGGAGGCAGACTCCAGGGCAGAGAAAAAGCTCTTTTTTGGCCTACCTTTGGTCTGTTGATGTCCTCTATCACGAAAAAAACGTAGTGAGCTGTGAACAGACAATCTCACAGTCTTGCTTAGTTGCAGTGTCATCTTTTCACTCCTGAATATGGACAGGGTGGGCTTTACTGAACCGGTGAGCTAATAGAGCACCGATGATAAACCCGCCAGCATGTGCAGTTTGAAAATTGATGTTGTTTTAGAGGTTTGCTGACATTTAAACCACCGTTTCAAAATGCTACTTTTGGTTGGGTCTTTAAGCCTTTTGTTCCTGGTTCAGTTCCTGTCTCTGTACATGAGCAGTGTTGTGATATCATAGTCTGTAGCTGGACGGCGGTACACAGAAAACGATTGCCTGCTCTCCGCTTTAACCTGAAAGCCTCACTGTTTGAGTCGCCAGTGGCCCAGCGTGTGCACCAGGCTTTACAGAGCCATTACACTTCACTTGGACTGAGCTGGGGCGGCCTCATAGTCTCTATCGTATTTTCCTGTTGGTTATATAAGAGACACAAAGAGGCACTTTATTTTTTTTCTCAGGGTATCCAGGTTCACTCATTTGTAGAGACGCATTACGAAAATGTGAAGTTCGCGAGAGAAACGGCCTACGTGAGAGTGGGGTTTACTCTGCTTTGCATTCAGTCATTTTTATAGGTTTACAGGTTAGGTTTTACTCTGACACTGCTTCTGGAAGTTGCCAAATTGCAGTAAACAGGATTTTCTGTGCCAGATGTTTTGACTATAATTGAATGTCTAAGGTGAGCCTTCTAGCTTTTTTGCAGTTTTTTTGAATGACCACAGATAGTAGTGTCCCCCTTATCTTAATTGTAGCGTATAGTGTTTAGCAGCACTCCATAGTCATGGAAGCAAGTTGTAGTAGAACAGAAAAAAACACCCTTCAAACTGAAACTGGTCATTTGGATAAGAACTAATGACAAAAATGAAGGTGGCTCTCCACTACAATTCTCATCGGATTGTTTTGGGGTATAAAAGCTTGACCTCATCCAGTGTACCTGGACAGGACCCGTACATGGGGAGAACTCCACACAGAAAGGCCTCTATCTGAATTTGAACCAGGAACCCTCGTACTTTCAGGTGACAGTACTGACCAAACTGTCAGGAGTTAGAGGATGAAGCTGGTCTACTTCAACATGTTCATTGTTTTTATCTGCTGGTTGAAAAAGCAGATTCAGTTAGTAACGTTTCTTTTAACTGAAGATAAAACTGCTTGTGATCATTAACCCCTCCCTCCTGTTTTCTGCCTTTTTTCAGTGTATTTGTTTATTTAGCCTGCTGTTGCAGATCCATTTCTTTATACTGGACCTTTGATTAACCATAAGCCCTTACTGGTCGCCTTTACAATAACCAAACCCTAACTACCTTATAAGCTGTCAGTTAAACATCATTTAACTGAAATCCTGACCAAAAAGAGAAAGATGAGCTCTCATGTGGCTGTTAACTAGATCAAATGCAGACACTCCATTCCAATCAGCCGGAAATTCCCATTATGACAGGGCATTATGCACATCAATTTGAAGCTCTTTAATATCAAGGATGATTAAATGTGATTGTCCCCAAGCTGTGCTTCATCATATCTGATAACCTAAAGCTTCCGCCGTCTGAATGCATTTGATTCTGAAGCCCTCTGCAGCAGCACAGGTATCAGAAACACTCTTACAGATGCATACAGTCTGTGCACAGTCTTTTGCATTATTTTTATGGGTTTGGTCGCATAAAGGTGTCGTAAATACGGAGCAATATGACTTTCTTTTGCATTGCAGTCTTCCTAACAAGCCAGGAAGCATGTACATGTCCAGGGTCCTGAGTTTTGAGATGACACCGTGTGGCAGCCATGAACTGCCCTCACAGCCCTGTGCTCACTGAGACAGCCCCCATGTGCACAGACAGAAGTGTGCAGCCCTCATATAAAAGACATTTTTTCACAGTTAGCTCCCCAAACATAAAGCTGAGATGTCTTCTTTTTTGTTTACCTGCTCACACATTTTTCTTTTCCATATTTAGATGCATCAATTATTAATTGCCTTCAGTTATATATCTGGATGCTGTAGATTTTTTTTAACTTTGACCTACATTCAGCCATAAGTACCCAGAGTTGGTTATGTTCAGAAAAAATCCTTCTTTTTTACAATCTACAGAGATACTGTGGAGAAGTTCATCTGCCAGAAAACTGAATTGCATTTGATTAATAGGGAAAGGATAAAAACAGGTTATCCATAATGACTTCAACTCTTAAAGACATTTTTTTATAAGCCTCTTACCCACTTTTTAAATAATTTTCAGGCCCAAGGCGCACCAGACAGTTTTTCAGAGTGACCATAGCTGAAGGTTTGTGTGTGGTCACCTGAGATGGTTGATCACACATGAGCCAGCAGCCACAGCCTCAAATAGCCCCAGGCTATTTTCTCCTCAGGGTAAAAATAGTGTGGCCATATTTGTTAGTGGAGGGGGTGATACAGCCCCATTGTAGGCGCACACAACCCCCTGGCCTCCAACAAACACTGACAGACCTGAGCTGATTGTGTTTTGTGAGCAAACAGCATCTACAATGAAACTTTATTACAAAAACAGGATCCCGGTAGTCATTTACTGTTTCTGTTTGTTTCAGGTCCACGGCTAGCCCTGGCAAGATTATTGTCAGGTAAGCAATCAGCTTGTGTTCTCAGCATAGTTTAGTTTAGTTATAGAACAGCAGCCCCTGAAACGGCTCCAGAGAGCCTGACAGCAAAGGAGATGTGTTGTAGTCACAATATTTAGCATTTGATATCTTAGTTTTTCATCCTCCAATACTGAATAAAAACTATCCTGGTTCACGCCACAGGCTCCGCGCCAACAAATAAAGTGTGTTTTAAGGAGCAGCAGCATCCCGAAGCCTGCTCCTCTCATGGCCTCTGTCACCAAACCAAACCCGATGACATGTTTACAATAGGAGAGCTGCTTTATCTTCAGTTGTCCTAGCTTGTCAAATTTGATACATTTAGCTTTGAAGCAGGCTGACAACATCCAGTTGCAGAGGAAAAGCAGTTAGTTGAAGGCAAGATAAGGCTCTTCTACAAGTTTATGTCAGCGGAAAGCGTCTCCCTTTGATTTGCTGGCGTCTCTGGCAGAGCGTCAGCAGCAGTTGGTGGTTTAAGGTGCTGAGATCTGCTTTCTCCTCTCTGCTCTGTGTTAAATGAGGGAGTGGACTGGCAGTGATTTTGACATGTGTGAATAAATCATCAGTAACAACGTGGTAATCTGATCCTCGGTTTATCGTTTGCTGGCCGGGCCCCACATTTGCTTCCCCTGATTCTTCATCCTTTTTCTCCTCGGCCTTAAGAAGGCGCTCAGCGGTGTCCTGCCCTCCGGAAGTCTGACAAAAGCACCCAAACCCTCCTGTTGTGTTTCAGAGCAGCGCTGCAGCCCCGGGCAGTTCGCCTGCCGCAGCGGGAAGATGCAGTGTATCCCCATGTCCTGGCAGTGTGACGGCTGGACGGCGTGCGAGGACAAGAGCGACGAGATCGACTGTCCCCGTGAGTGGATCCCACCTCAACACCCACCCCCCCACACCGTGACTTTACACAGAAATCACTCGTTGGTTTTTCTTAAAATAAAAGCATCCTGCTAGGGTGTTTTCCCACGAGGCAGTTTGGTCTCCTCAAAGCTTTTTAAGCCATGTACAGCACGTGTAACAGAACCTCCTACCTGGGAGGCCAGGCTGTTCAACGTTTAGCCAAATGACCACTGCTTTCAGTCTGTCTGTGCTGTTTGGAAAATAGATTTTTGCCAATTGGTTTGTGCAGTTTGTAGCCGCAGAAAACTTTCTCCCATTGGCTCTTCTTTGATAACTTAACTCAGTAACAACTGAGTGATGCTGATGTGTACACACACACACACACACACACTCACGTAAGACAACACATACGTAAGAGCACTTCTCTCAAAGAACTTGAGAAGTCAGAATTAGCCGTAAAGCCTCAGTAGCAGGCTTATAGGGAGTCTTACATCACCTGCTTCTGATAAGCACATCCAGGATACCAGCTGACCTCCCTCCTCCCCCCTCAGCCAGTTGCATGGCTCTTTTTAAAAGTTCCTAATCAACCAGATTCCTTTCTGACGAGTCAGTAAAGAAAAAGTGAAAGTTGCATCTTTGTACCTCAGAGGGTAAAAGGTACCTTACATTTCTGGACCGATGACCTTTCAAACTGTGCTTTACCTCTAAACTGAACACTCTGCCCGTCCTTCACTCATCCCCAAGCTCCCCCGGCTCATTTTCCGTTTAGCGGCAGCTCAGACGTGTTGGTAATGCTGTCTGTGTTTTTGTTTACAGTTGGTTGATCTGTTGAACATTCGATACATGTTGTGGTGCTAAGCCTTTGACCAAAATCCTTTTGTTTTCCTCTTAAGTCCAGCAGATTTATCCCCGGCTCTCTGCCCTCATAATGGGAATTATGGAGAGGATTGAGTCCAGCATGTGACCTCCATACTGGAACATGCTTTTAGGTTGACGCTGAACCAGTTCTTCAACTAAGCCCACTTCCTGGTTACTCTGTTTATCTATTGAAAGTGTTAAACACACACGTGTTTGAGGAGAAGAGATGAAGAGACAGATTTTTGTATTTTTTCTGTTCATATTACGTCTTTACATTCCTCAGCAATGAGTTAGTGTGAAAGCAGCAGGACCACTGAACATTAAGGCTCCTGTGTGGGATTATCTTTTTGTTGAGCAACGCACAGAGGTGGCGCAATCGGTCCCCAATGACTCCAGAATGAGCAAAAACCACAAAAACTTTTCAGCTTTTTGTAAGAGTTGCTTTAAGAGAGGAAAATACTTTGGGGAAGTAAACAAATGTGTTAGTGTCTGTTGAAACAACTACACTGCAGAGTTGAAGAATTTAGATGTATAAGTGACCATTTTTAAGACCTGATTGCAGACGGATTGTATTTTTGTCCAGGTTCACCAAAGAGAGAACTTCTAACTAAATAATGCTTGATAACTGAAGCGGTGAACATCTCTGAAGCTTTATTTCTGCCTTCAGTTTTCATCAGTGTCAAATGATCTTTTCCCTTTTCTCTGCAGCTGCAAAGGAGGAGCGCTTTCACTTCGGGAATGGATATGACCAGGGAGAGGACGTCATCGGCGTGGCTCAGCCCGTGCGCTTCAACAGTAAGCGTCCCTCTTTGCTGCCCGCAGTTTGCAGCCAGAGTTTTGTCCCGCCGCAGCGTTGACGGTGTCCTGCCCCCCCACAGAGAAATGTCCCAGCGGGTGGCACCACTACGAGAAGACGGCCAGCTGCTACAAAGTGTACCTGAGGAACGAGAACTACTGGCAGGCCGTGGACACCTGTCAGAAGGTCAACGGCTCCCTGGCCACATTCGTGACGAACGAGGAGCTGCAGTTCATCCTGAAGATCGAGGTGGATTTTGACGATGATTTCTGCGAGCGCCGGGATCAGTGCAAGTGAGTAGCCCGTCCAGATCCACGCCTCGCAGGCTACAGCGTTTAGTGTCCAGCTCAGTGTCCGCCGTGTGCGGCGCGCTGAGCTCGGGTCAGGGAACCACGATTAGAACGGGATGCACGCCATCTGCTGGTCAAAACGAGGTCTTTCCCAAGTCCAACTGTCACTGTAAACCACAGCCTGTTTTCTTCTCTTAAATGTTTGTCAGGTTCTGGGTGGGTTACCAGTATGTGATCACCAATCAGAGCCACTCACTGGAGGGCCGCTGGGAGGTCGCCTACAAAGGTAGGAAGCCTTTTCTGTTCAGCGGCCATCTGTCCTGCCGTGGCCGGAGCGTTAACCGGAGCGCTTTTGTCTGCCGGTCAAAGGCTCCATGCAGGTGTTCCTGCCGCCCGAGGGCCTGACCAAGCTGGGAGAGACCTCCCCCGCACAGGACAACGTCTTCTGCGCCCAGCTGCAGCGCTTCCAGATCAAGACCATGAACGACCGCGGCCTGCACAGCTGGCACGCCGAGAACTGCTACAAGAAGTTCCCCTTCCTGTGCAAGAGGAGTACGCGCCCGCCGCCGCAGCGCCGCCGCGGCCCCGCCCGCCCGCCGGGGCGGGGCCTTGATGTTGCCTTCCCCCCCACAGGGCAAACGTGCGTGGACATAAAGGACAACGTGGTGAACGAGGGCTACTACTTCACCCCCAAGGGAGACGACCCGTGCCTGAGCTGCACCTGCCACGACGGCGAGCCGGAGATGTGCGTGGCGGCGCTGTGCGAGCGCCCGCAGGGCTGCCAGCACTTCCGCAAGGACCCCAAAGAGTGCTGCAAGTTCACCTGCCTGGATCCAGGTGAGCCCCCCCCCCCCCACACCCACCCACCGTCCCACTGCCGTCGGGTCCCCAGAACCCACACGGAGCTGTGAGAGGTCCTTAACACCGGCCCTCCCTCCTATGGGAGCATAGTGGGATCCATACATGAGCCCTTAACTCGGGGCACAGCCATGCTCAGATTAGTTTCTCCCGCGCCCGCAGATGGAAACAGCCTGTTCGACTCGATGGCGAGCGGGATGAGGCTGATCGTCAGCTGCATCTCCTCCTTCCTCATCCTCTCCCTGCTGCTCTTCATGGTGCACAGACTCCGCCAGAGAAGACGCGAACGCATCGAAACGTTAATCGGAGGCAACTGTGAGCACGAGTTGTTTTTTTTGTTTGTTTGTTTGTTTTTCCTTTCATGTGGCCTTCAGGTGGAGTGAGGAAGATGAAAACGGGCCGCTCCGTCTCACTCCCCCCCCCCTTGTGTTTCTCTGCCCAGTGCACCACTTCAACCTGGGCAGGCGAGTCCCGGGCTTCGACTACGGTCCCGATGCTTTTGGAACTGGCCTCACTCCTCTGCATCTGTCTGACGACGGCGAGGGAGGCGCTTTCCATTTCCAGGAGCCCCCCCCGCCCTATGCAGCCTACAAATACCCCGACATGCAGCATCCGGATGACCCCCCCCCTCCGTACGAGGCCTCCATCAACCCGGACAGCCTCCTCTACGTGGACCTGGGTAGGCACTCGTCTCCCCTCCTGCTGTCCGAGTGTCATCAGGTGCAAAGTGCGCGCGGCTCTCATGCCCCCCCCCCTCTTTGTGGTTTGTCTTCAGGACACAGGGGTGTTTCCATGGTACCGAGCCAGATGAACGCCATCGGAGACCGGCGGCAGCCCGATATCCCCCACGCCTCGGGCCCTATGCCAGATTCGGTGCCCCCCTCTCAGGGGAGGGAGGACTCCATAGACAGCAGCACCCTCCTGGTGGGGCCCGACACGCCCACAGACGGCCACGCCCCCGTGCCCGCGGACTGCGCCCCCTCCCTCAGCACCGTGGTATAGGGCCCCAAGCGGGCTGCGGGGGGCCGCCAGCGCCATGGGACACAGCAGACTGCCGCCAAACGCTCGCCGTAGACAGGAGCGCTAGTTTGTACAGACCTGTTTACCGGCGGAGCAGCCACGCCCGTCCAGCCGTAGCCACCAGCCCCCCCCCCCTTCACAGTGTCCGGCAGAAAGGACGAACTCTCCGGCTCCTTCAGTGCCGACTGAACAAAGCTCCAACACGGCCTGACTGGCGAAGACTCCCTGTTGTAAATAGCCCCTCAGGCCCATGAGCCCCTCAGAGCCCCCCGGCTCAGTCCAGCGCCGGACGAGGGACCACAGTCCAGCCAGCTTTTGTCGCTCGTGCGCTTTGTTTTTTGGTTTGCGTCATATTTTGATGCGCCTGAATCGATGTCCAGGCTGCAGCAGCGCACGCGTCCTGGAGCAGCATGACCCAAAGTCCCATTTCTATCTGCTCACAGAAACCCCTCGGCCCCCAGCTTTTACGATTCGACCCCGTCTTCCAGATTTCTAGAGCAAGACGTTTTGTAGTAAAGAGGTCGAGGGCGACGGTGAGTTTTCCTGCTGTGGGGTTTTTATTGGGCAGCGCTAACGAAGCTTTAGCTGTCAGAGAGCTTGTGATAAATATGAGTTTAAAATTTGAAATCGTCTTCTGTTTGATGATAATTTATGACTACAGGTTGTTATCTTGCTTGTTTGTGGGATAGATGTAGGCTGACCTCCCTGGTTTGAAATGAAGAATAGGGAGAACATGTTCTGTCTTTAAATGGAAAAAAAAGTTTTAAGATAACTATTCTAATCATTCAGTCATCTATAATCACCTGAATAATGTCTTTGTTGTTACTTTAACATCAGCAGGATGTTTTGTTACTGAACTGTGTCAGCACTCATCCTCCATTAAACATCACAAGCCAGAAAAAAAACCCATCATCCGCCAGAGGAGTCTGTGTGTTAGTTTTCCCCGCTTCTCAGCGGGATCGCCATCTAAAAAAACGACAGAACAATGCATTCAGAGAGGAGTTCTGAGTGAATATCCGGAAAAAGTCAGGCGACAATCGTTGGACTCGCTGAGCTGTGGCTTTTCCTGCTCCACCAGCATCGTCCACCAAAACCAGCCGCCAGCATGTCCCACTGCACATCTCATGTTTGAATGTACCGAATGTAAAACACTTCTGTTCTGCTTATGTTCAAGCTCATTTCCCCTCTTTTGAATGAAGTTGTTTTTTTAATCTTTTTTTTCTTTAGTTTTTATTTTGCATCGACAATCCACAGCGGATTATCCAGCAGGTGAAATGTTTTTTTTTTCCACCAATCGTTGAGGCGGTGCATGTTTGTTTTAGAGATGGTGTACTGGTTTGACGTTTGCTTTCTTTCTTTTTTTTTTTTGCACCGAGTTTGGCTTGATTTCCTTCCACCTGCTTTATGGAGCTTTGGTGCATGTTTTTAATCTTTTGGCATGCTGAGAGATTTTAGTTTTTCTTATTTCTTTAATGAAAACCTTTTTAGCTCAACAGTGTACAGTTTTTTTTTTGTTCCAGAGACTGCTGTCTGTAGTTGAGTGTCTCTGTACGCTTTGAATAACCGCTCTCCACCTGAAACGGCTCCGTTTCCACAGGAGCTTCTGTGCCAGACTACGCTGGTGTGAGATCAGACATTTGAAGGGGTGTGTGTGTGGGGGGGGGGTTGTTTTAAATGTAATTCAACTAAATGCTACATTTAATTGTCTTTTATTTGATAGCCTTTGAATTAAAAAGGAAAAAAATGCTTTACAGTCTGGGGAGCTTGTTTTTTGTTTCTTTTTAAACGCACATCTGACCAAACGCCCAAAAATCCACACGCCTCGTGCGTCATATGAACTTCCCCCAGAACCTCACCAGTCCCGACATTTAGCCGCTCTGCAAGTTTCCATCGGGGGAAAACATTCCTCCACCCGCAGGGACCAAATGTCAGAGGATTAAGGTGGGATTCGGGGAAACCCCCCCACTGAGGATAAGAAGGAGCTTTTTTGGCGAATCGGATCCGAAGCCGTCAAAAGATATGAATGATTTAAAGGAAGCAGATATAAAGCTCCCCACAGTGAGTCATCAGGCGGCGGGCGGGGAAAGAGACGGTGATACCCAGCTGTCAGAGAAGAGAGAGGAGGCTTTGTTCTGCTGGGCCCAGCAGTGACAGAATCAGCGGCTATTCCTGGCCGGAGGAGACCGACACCTGATGCGGAGCTGCCCAGCGCACCAGCTCTGTCTGTGAGGCGCCAGAGAGATGGTTCATTAAAGGTTTTATGTACCTGTTTGACCCTGTTCAGATTTAAATGGTGTCCCTCGTCTTTTGTGATCACGGTGTGTCTCCCTGCTGAATATTAATGTGGAGAACAATGATGGGAGTTAAGGGGAGAACACAGAAACTCAGTGAAATGAGCATGTTTCTGCGGCCTCCGTCCTCCTCACGCATCATCTGGCTTCCTCGTGAGATGAATGGGTCTTCTTACTAGTCGCTGGGCATCTCTGCTGGTGGCAGCAGGGGGGTGGGGGTGAGGGTGAGGGTGAGGGTGAGGGTGGGGGGGGGGTGAAGCTGTCTTTGCATCAATGAGCCTGTTGATCGGAAGGGACCACCAGACTGGTAATGACACGCTTCAGCGATCAGTCCAGGAGAAAAGAACAGTGGGCTTTCACCTCCCTTCCTACTTAAGCAGGACGCTCGCACAGGTTCCCCCCCAGCCCACCTCAGATCCTCACACCTGCCTGGAACCGGCCATGATCTGGACCGCAGCTCTCCTGATGACCGTCGTTCGCGCCGCTAATCCAGGTGAGGTGTCCTTCTCCCAGATGAGAGGTGGGGAACCACAGAGACCACCGTTGGTCTTTTATTTTGGTGTTTAGAAAACCAGCACGTATGTGGACACTGTGCTCTGTGTTTGTTTCAGAGGACTACTGTTACGACGAGCCACAATGTGGTAAGTGACCGAATCTGTGACCGACCTCCTGCATTCTAGTGTTTCCTGGCTGATACTAAGAAGAAACGACAGGCTACAGAGCTGCATCTCTGCCTGATTTAATATCTGAACTCTGGTTGTTAGAATAGATTAAATGGGTCCTTCGCTTGTGAAAAGACATCATAGGAGCAAATCTCCCCCTTTTCTTACTTCTAAGTGATTTCTCGTGTTCACCAAACCAAAATAAATTAAAGAAACAAGAAGATAGATGAGATCTGTGTGGATGGACGGTGACTGCATGCTCTGTAAAGCAGCTGTCGTGTAAACAGTAACACGATGCACAATGAAAGAAACATCTGGAAGCTCCTATGACCGGATCAGTAGTGGTCTGTAGATCTGGCCTTATCCTCAGAAATGAATGTAAAAGAATCAATTTAGTGAAACAAGGACATCATTTTAACATTCAAATAGATTTTTCTCTATTGTGAAATGAACACGACCGGTTTATCCAGAACCTTCTGCTCCTCCACTGCTGTGTGTTCAAATGTTTCAAATGACAGGGGTTTGGTTTTTGGTCGGGGGTCCGGCTTAAAAATGCGTTATTTTTGTAGTACAATGACTTATTCAGGTTGTCGGATTTTGCCTCAATTTTCTCTCTTTCGTCTCTCGCTATTAGTGCCCCAGAAAACGGCGGGGCAGCCAATGTCAAAGAATGTCATTCTTTATTCCTTTATGTTTTAGTTCTGTGACGTTTGGTAACATTTTGACAAAAGGCACCCGATTTGATTTGTGCCTATATGGGAAAAAATGTTGGATCACCTGTCATCAGAGTTGAGGGACACGGATTGTTCTGACCGGCTCTGTGTTTTGGTGCCCTTTCGGTTCTTGTTCCACCTTTAGACCCTTATGCATGGGGTGACCTTTTCCCATCATGTCACCCTTTACTTGAACTCCACCACTCTCCGGTCAACCTGGACGACGGCATGACCAGAAACGCCTCCCTGGGGCCTTTGCACCTCGAGGGCTTCGAAGCGGTCCAGACGGGCCACTGGACGCTGAGCAACGACGGTCACTCTGGTAAACGGGCGGCGGGTCACACGGCAACAAGCCGCTCTCTGACCAGAGGCCTGACCCTGTTCTGTGCTGCTGCCCCCAGTCCTGCTGCACGTGGGCAGCGGCATGGCGGTGAGCGGCGGAGGCCTTCCAGATGTGTACCACACCGTCCAGCTGCACTTCCACTGGGGGGGGCCCTCCACCAACGGCTCTGAGCACACGGTGGACGGACGCAGATACCCGATGGAGGTACAGTACGGTCAGTAGGCGGCTGCACACTGTTTCGGCCGACGCGCGCCCTGCGGACCGCCTTAATGTTTTTCTGATTCATCCCCCCCCAGATGCACGTGGTCAACATGAAGTCCGTCCACCCCAACATGTCCGCGGCTCTGGACGACCCGACGGGAGTGGCCGTCCTCGGCTTCTTCGTGGACGTCAGTGGTCAAACTCACCCCGCACCTTCACTGTCCGCCTGCCTTTTGGGACTGACCCGCGCTGACCCGCTTTGCTTTTGCAGGTGGTTTACGCAGACAACCCCCACTTCGGACACATAGCCCAGAAACTCTCCTCCGTTGCTTACAAAGGTCAGAACGGACGAAGGCGACCCCAAATCTGCCCTTAGGGAACCATTGACCAATGCCTCTGATTATTTGTGTTTCTCCCCCAAAGGTCAGACGGCTAAAATCAAGCCGTTTCCGCTGATGAGCCTCCTGCCCACGCACAACCTGAGCCAGTATTACCGTTACTACGGCAGCCTGACCACCCCGCCCTGCTCCCAGGCGGTCGTCTGGACCTTGTATGAGGTCCCCATCTACATCTCATGGTCCCAAGTAGGTGTCTCTTCTCCATTCCTCAGGTCCACCAGGACAAAAGGAGGGCTGTTAAGGGTCTTCTCTCTCCCCAGTTGGCTCAGTTCACCTCCCAGATCTTCTCCACCGAGGAGGATGCCCAACAGGTGACGCCTCTGCAAAACAATTTCAGGCACGTGCATCCCACCTACAGTCGCACGGTGTCGGCCTCCAGAGACGCCGGACTCCTCAGAGGGACGTCCGGTCAGTCCCTCAGGTCAGCGGCCTCAGCGCGTCTGCTTCTGATCGCCCTGCTGGGAAGGGTCATCCCTGGACTCTAGCGCTGGGTGGAGTCCTAAAGACGCATTATGAGTAGAAGCCAGAGGGTCCGATAATCGTCTGCTCTGTGTTTAGGGTCCGGGTTGTGTTTTGAAGTCTTGTTACCATAAAAATAGTTTTTTTTTCTTTTTTTTCTAGATAATTTTTTGTTCAATATCCTTAAAGGGACTAAACCAGGGAATACGGGACCTAAAAAAAAAATTAATGTAACCGGAAAGAAAAACATTTACATAATGTTTTGCGTTCAGACAAGTTTCTGATTTCATCATGTATACAGTTCAGAAACATTTTAGCAAAAACTATGCATGAAAAAACTGTGAAGAATAATACTGTCAATGCCATTGAATGATTCCTATTTATGCAGATTGGCTCAGCTCCATTAGCACGCTGTTATCTGCGCTGAATGAGCAGAAGTAGGATAAAATGTGATTAACTATGCCGGTCGTGTCTGTATTCATTGCCACCCACGTTTGCGTCGCATTGTCTTTAAAAAAATTGTAAAAATCTAACATAAAAATTAACAGCCTTTATTTGCCTGTTTGTTCTCTTGATTTTACTGATGGACAAAGTCGTGCACGACCCCACCAACAACCCTGCACAAACACAAGACTGAGAAATCTGACAATAATCTGAAAAACGACATGAGACCAGCTTTACATTTTGGATAGTTAGCGAGGCAGCAAAAGACTGAACGCTGCATCATTTTGAGCTAGAACCATTTTGGGTAAAAAGGTTCAGCAGCAACATTTCAACAGGAGAAAACTGGGGTCAAAGAAGCTCCCAAGAAGGATTTTTTTAGGTAAAGCTGTTGAGGGAAATCATGGAAATTGCTGAGAAATTGTAGGTCCATCATCTATGCCATAGATGATGGACCTACAACTGTGGGATGATCAAACCCATAGAATCTATGGGTTTGATCATTTGGAAAATCCCTGCATTGTTATATTTGCAAAAAGCTTCATTCAAATCTGTGGCTGAGGTGTGCATAGCATGCTGAAGTAACACAAACCAGGTGGTGTGTAGACATCTGTTGAGGCTTTTTACTAATGTATTTCAGGGTGCTTTTCACTGGTGGAGGGGAGGAAATCAAAGAAAAGCTGGTCCACATACCTGTTTATCTACGTCTGTTAAAGAAAAGCTGAAGAGGAAAAGACAACGGCTTCCACCACTTCCGCTTAAAGCCTTTTGGGAATTAGGATAACTTCTACTTGCTCAGATTTTCACAGGTATAGAGACTTGGAAGTCCAAACTTGAACCACCCTGAACCTGACAAAGGACAAAAAAACTCACAAACCTGGACAATACGACCACAAAAAAACAAAAACACATATCCATTTCAACAGGATCCCCTAAAACCCTGTTTAGTCTGTGGTTTCGGAAAGGAACCGGAGAGACGATGGGTCCGAAGTGATGCCACCAATCAGATGGCCGGCCGTGGGGGCGTGTGTGTGTGTGTGTGTGTGAGGTGGTGTTAGCAGATGGTGGCGGGTGTGAATGGAACTCCCATGCTGTGTGTCCCGGCCCTGCCTCTCCGCTTGTGCTCACACCATCCTCCTCCTGTCACGGCCTTCAGGCTCGCACACACACACACACACACACACACACACATACACACACGGACCACAGACAGGGCCTTTTCTCTCTCCAGAGACTGTGGCTGAAAGTGAGTCCATTTAGCACAAACCACTAATCAGCTGTGCATTCCCTCATTAATAAGAACAGCTTCCGTTTATGGATGTATGCAAAATTGCTTTATTTCATTTTTTCCTCTTTCTTACATTTGTCATATAATAAATAGACACGAGAGGCAGGCTGATGCTTCAGTCTTCTCCCCGTGCCGATTCTGCACCTTTTTCATTCTCCACACCGCAAACAACTTCTCATAGAATTTACAACACAAAATTAAAAAAGAAAAAGAAAAAAAAAAAAGCTTGACACAAGCTGAATTTCCTGCTGCCAGCTCAGGACTCACCTCATCGTCACACGTGGATGTCTGAGCTGTGTTCTCTTAGCAAATCCCAGGGAACAAAAATATATATATATTTATATAGTATTCACAGTTACACTATTTACACATTTTAGGATTAGAAAGCAAATAGGCAGAAAAAAATGAAGACGTTTCTACAAGAAACAATCTTTCCCAAAAAAAAAAAAAAAATCGAGGTGGAGCCTTTTCCTGTACACAGTGGACCTTTCTTCGTTAAATAAACGGCTTTTTCAACCATCAGATTCCTTTTACAGATCCCTGAAAATGTCTTAAATAGTCAGTCTGCTTGTTTGTTTTTTAAAAAGAGAGATGCATCTTAAAAGTGTTACCTTTGTGAAGATAAAAAAAAAAGAAAAGCTTTCGATCTTCTGTACAAGTAATCATATACAATATGAACATCGGAGGTGGAAAAAGAAAATCTCCATGATCGGTCTGAGTAAAAAGCAATGACTGACTTGGTCTTTTGAGGGGGGGGCTGGGAACTGGCTGATTGAAAGAGGGTGTGGGGCAGAAGTGCAAACCTCGAGTGCATTCAGTGTGTTTTCTGTTTTAATCTTAGTGGACTGTGAAGAGAGAGTGACCCTGCAGACGACGGGCAGACGGAGGAAGCTTTCCTCCGACGGTCAGCCATCCCAGTTCCCAACAGAGGAAGCCCTGGTCGGACGACCCCAAAGTGGGGCTGAGGTTCCCGGGGCGCACGCACACGTATGGCACTTGAAATGAGAAATAATCATTCCTCGAAAGCTGAACGCTGGTCTCAGCTGGCCGCCGCCCGGTGGAGGCGGTCAGGGGTCGGTCTCACCCCCCCTCCTCTGGCTGTGCTGCCCGGCTGGTCCCGGCCTGCAGGGGGCGCTGCGCTCCACCTTCTCTCACCCCCGAGAAAGCGCTCTCAATCGATACTTGTTCACACAGGAACACGCGCATAGTGTCTTAGAAGTAAAAAAAAAAAAAAAAAACTAACTAAAGTGGGAGGAGGAGCCCCCAGAAACACTGGAAGGGGATTAAT